GCATATACTGTGTTACTTAAAAAAGGATTGCTTTCATTTTATTAATTCCATGGGACTGATCAATTCAACAAATCTTTGTACCATTTCTTCATTTCCTTAAGCACAATTTTCATGGTTGGAGCAAACAAAATACCTTATCTCTGAGTCTGTTCAGGCTTGAGAGAAACTTCATGGGCAGCTACTTCTTTTGTTGAAAATTAAGTGAATTTGGATGAATTTATAAGCATTCTAAAAAACTTATAATAGCTAACATGCTAATTTTCAATTGCCTTGGTAAACCTCACTTTTTAAATTGAAAACAGATACATACAAGTTGCATACTCCAAACACAACTTGTATGTATCTGTTTTCTGATAAATTTGTATCTGATAAATTTGGCTACATTTATTTTTCTGGATTTCTTCTCTGAATGATACATCAAACAAATGTAGGGAAGTATATCTTCTCACTTTAATACCTTTTTGCAATAAAGCCCTGAATACATAGAAAGTTTGAAACTCAGATATTAAATGGTATAGAGAAAGATTTAATAACTTTTTGTGTGTGTGCTTCTAGGAATAAAAAGGATTCATTAATGAAAAGTATGATTAGCATCATCTCTACAGTGGTAGCACTTGCATCACCTGGATGATTGGCTACCTCATGTTAATAAGTTATGAAAAAACAAGTCTTGCTTTCAGCTTCCAGTTTTGCATTTTGAATGCTACCCAGGTATAATATTTAGCAATTCTGAAACTAATAATTGAGATTTAAAAACAAAATTTGACTTATTTGTTCTACAGCTTGATATAGGGTGGGAACTTGTTAGAAAGCAGTTATAGGAATTCAGATTTTTTTTCAAAAACAGATGCTGGTTTGTCACACAAAGAACTCTTACCCTTGTACAAATCAAGGTAGGATTTTATTTCAAGGTCAACATTGAAAAGACTGTTCTGTCTGGGGGGCTTCTCTTACACCAAATAATATATAAAATTATTTTCAGAAAGAATAGCAGGAAAAAAAATTCCTCTGCAACAGATTTTGGAAAGAGTCCCAGGGTAGTAACAAGAGCTTCATGGCTTGAGACCTTTCACAGTGATACTGAAAAAAAGCCTTCAGGGAAGTTGCTGCCTCTTCTTTCCCCCTTTTCCAGCCTTGCTGGACTCTTGGCCTTGTATTCCTACAAACAAATCCCTTCATATAAGGCATATGAAGTACTCAGAGTAATGGATTCTTCATTATTATGCCCCTGGCTACTTTCTACAAAACAGCTAATTGGAAATATGTGAAAATCTCCCATCCCCAAACATTAAGTTGATTATTGTCAGTTTGATCTACTGAAAACAGAGTGCCTGTACACCAGTGACAATCAGATCTGCAAACTCTGTGCAAAAAGTCCTGAGGAGATCATACCACACTGATGGACAGATTATGCCCAGGATTTAAAACTGAAGTCATGAGCAGGAAACAGAGATCCATTTATTTAGAAACATGAGCCTCCTTTTTTTTTTTTAAATCAATATTCTCCTGTTTAATCCTTGAAATGAGAATTTAGAAAACCAGTATAGAAATGTTAAAGTCTTTATTCCCTTTGTCTGAATCTGACTGAAGTGCTGACATGGCACACCACATTTAACGCTTACAGCATCCTCAGCCAGGTCTTATCTTCATCCTATCCAGATGAGAGTAACAATATGATCCTGAGACAGGCTCCTGACACATGCTAACTAATCCATTACAATGTGCAAATGAGGCATCTATAGCTGGGAATCACCTACATGGATTCATTTTCCTGTTCAAAGTACTTCATTTATTTCAAGTTTTTTATGTAATTGTTAGCAGTTACCAAAAATAATTTCATGGTTGTTTTTCAAATCAAGTCACATTGACTGGTTCTTTTCTGGTTTTAATAGCAAAATAAGTCCACACTTTCATTTCCTCTACAGGAACTCCAGATTTGTATTCTGTTCACTTTCAGAACACCACTCTTCAAGAAAAAAGTTTTCAAAGTGTTCCCATTTTCCAGGTACCACTGTATTTGCATGAAAAACACAAAATGTTTCAAAATCACAGCCTGAAAAACATTCACAGGAAACTTCCAGACCAACCCAGACTTTTTCAGACAGTATTTCCTTGTCTAACTGGAACTGGAAACCTGCAAATAGGTGAAATACAATCCCACTTTGTTCATGGTTTGTTTCATGCAGCTTTCACAGGTACCTCGAATGATGGACACACTTCTCCAGTACAGACACACAGAAGTTGCTCTCTTTATGCCTTTTGTATATTCCAGGCCCACTGGACGTGGCCAATGCACTGCAGCTCTCCTCTCCCTTTCATAAGTAAAAATTCCATTTAATTAAAAACCAAACAGTATCTCAACAACCAGCAATTATACATACACTGTGCATTACACATGAGACTTTCTGAGTGTCTTCATGGAAATGTTTCATCAGTCCTGAAAAGTCCTCCATGTCTTAGAAATCCATGCTGTCTTATGAAGCAGAAAATAAGTGTATTTTATGTATAAGCATTGTATAAACAATGTATAAGCATTGATACACCTCTAAAAAGATCAGTCACACCAGAAGCAAGGCTGAAGTTCATCACTACTGCTCCAGAAAAAGCAGAGAAGGTCATTAAAAGTTATTTAGGATAGGTGGTTCATAATTTTGGGTTGTTTTCTTTTTTTTTTTTTTTTTTGGAGAGGAAGTTCATGTACCTGTGGGCATCCATTTTTTATTTGTAAATCCAATGTATAATGCTTGCTTTTGCCAATTCCTCCAATTTCCTTCAGAAATTTTCCTTTTCCTTTAGAAATTTCTGTGGTTTAGGAAGGATGATACTTGATTGTGTTGTAAAACATTTCTAGGCACTGTGAGGATGACTCCTTAAATGAGTAATAATATTTTCTAATAATTGATATTTTTTTCTCCACAAACAAAAGTATTCTCTAAAGAACATCCCATTTAATTTTGAACAGCTCTTTAAAAAAACTAATAAAAATATTGTTTCCATATTATCCCAAAAAATGAAGCAAAAAACCTACAAAGAATTTGAAGTATGGAATTGGAAGTATTGTCTTCTTTTACTAATTAAACATCCTGTCATCTGTATTTCAGATGTGAACAAAATGCTGTTCTTGCCAACACTGAACATCTTTTGCTTAATATAGAACATAAACCCCCCCGCCCCTCCCAATTATACATTTCATGGCTTTTTTCTCCTTTCATCTAGGGAATCCTAATTTCAGAAATGGGACGAATTAAAATGATCTTTTTCAGGTAATATCCTAAATTATTACAGGAACAATAGTTCAGCTCTTATCTACACGTGGAATATATTTATCTTCATAATGTAGTGAACTTTAGCATTGTTTGTGATACGTGGGCTTTAGGGATCATGAAGTTTCTTGTTAATACTTTGGAAACACTGCTTTGATAAAGAAATGGATTGGAGAAGGACTGAATCATCAGTACAAAGGTATGCAATACAAGTGGCAGAAAGTAAAATGGATGGAAACATCCACTTGTCCAGATCTTTCCCATATTTTTTAAAGCAAAGATTTTTTTCATTGAAAATACCCAAATATTTTCTAAATACTTTGTAAAGTTTAGAAAAGAAGCCTCCCAAACCATGCCCCCTCCTCCTCCTTGAAATGTTTAGAATTAAAATTTGTATCGTGTTCCATTCCAAATTTTCACCTCCATTTTCAATCTCCTTACTGCTAGTTGGACCCTCCTCTAAGCCAGGACAGATAGAACAAAAATTTAAAAACTCTTGTATTTTTCTTGTCCCAGCAGAAAATAGATATTAAAGAAAAAAAGGTGTATTTTCAGAGGCATCTTTAACCCAGGAAATACCTAAGCACAGTTGTGCTTTCGGTAGCTGTGCACAGGCACGTCCTCGCTGCTGAACAAAACCGGGCAGCATTAATCCCAATTATCCCCCAGCAACACGAGTTCCAGCTCCAGAAGCTCTGGGAGAGGCCCCCTTAGGAATCCATTCCCACACATTGACAAAACTCGGGAAATTAGCTGCAGATTCATGGTTTGTGTCTCTTAGGGGGACAAGCTCTGAATAAAGAGAGGTCAGCGTGACAGGGTGTGAGGGCGTGTGCGGCAACGAGAGTGACGTGACCATTCAAGGACGAATGACTCCTGTATGTGGGTGTCTAGCAAGTCTAACAAGTACGGAGGAATTTTACGGCCCTTTTTTCCCCTGAGCACCGCCAGCCTACGAAGGCCAAGGCTGGTATTTCGACAGAAACCCTGTGTCAGAGCGCTGAGCTGGCACGGCGGGCAATGGGGACCCGCCATGCCGGCCGCGAGGGGCGGGCCCCGGCACGCGCAGCGCGCACGCGCGCGGCTCGCGCAGGCCCGGCCTGGCCCCGGCCCCTTCTCTCTGCCCTGCCACGTACGGGCGGCGGCGGCCGTGCGGGGCCGGACGGGGGGGCCGCACCGGCGGGACGGCGGAGGAGCCACAGTAAGAGAGCCGGGGCTGCCGCCGGGAGCAGCCGCGCGTGGGAGCGGCGGGAAGGAGGGGAGAGAGGGGCAGCTTTGGGCTTGGGACGGGCCGACCGCCCCCTCCTCCCGGCCCCGTCGTTCCCCGGTGCCAGCGGCGCCGCGGCCCCTGGCGGCGGGGCCGGGAGACCCCTCGCGTGCCCCCGGGCGCGGCTGAGGGAGGCGGAGAGCGGCCGCGGCCTCTGGGCCCCGGGAGCGGGGGATCCCGGGGTCCTGCCGCTGCACGGCCGGGTGTTTCCTGGGCCACCCAGCCCCTTTCCTCGGGGAGCCGCAAGAGCTGCCGGCTCCTCTCTGCCAGGCTGTGATTTCTGTTCCCCTTTGGGCCGGGCCTGCCGTACGGGAGCTGGAGAAAAGCGAAAAGAGCTCTTCTCCCTTCTGCTCCCTCGCGTCACCCCCCCCACCTGCCTTGGGAAAACTCATGGCTCTCTCTCGGGTGCCGTTTGGGAGGCACTCCTGCTTGCTCGTGTTTCACTCTAACCCTTAACCCTGTTTTGACAGAAAAAAATTGAAGCAGGAGTGTCTGTCCTTCCCTTGCTTGGGCAGGGCTGTTTTTCTCTGCTGCTGCGCAGAAGGGGTAGTGAAATGCAACGTGGTCATGGGATGCTGGCTTTAGATGGGATCCTGAAGTGGCTGGCCTAGATTGGGCAATCCCTGTCCACATGCACCACCTCGATTAGTGCATGATGTGAATGAAAAGTGAGCCGGGAGGGGAGGAAAAGTCTGTACCTGCGAAACGCAAGTGGTGCACCAGGAAGGTTAGAAAGATTTCAGTGTGTTTCTTATGGAAAGCGGTCTGTAGTCTGAAAGATGGAGACATAAATGTTTTTTGGTTGGTTCCTCCCCACCCCGGGAATGTAGACACTGATTTTGTTAAAAAGCTCATTAATGTGCATTCTGGATGTGTGTAGAACTCTCTTAATGGAGTCATCCATTCAGCTGTGTCACAGTGAGGGAAAAAGCTTTAGTGCTGTGTAATTCAGCAATTTGAGTATTTCACATAGTTTTCTGTAACAGTTGCAAGCAGCTACAGCGGCAGCGTTTAGTGTCTTTAAATCTGGACACCTTCGAGCAGAATGGAGAACAGCTAGACCAAAAGAAGTGCATTTATTCTCCTGCTACCTTTTCGTAGTCAGTGATGGACAGCAGGTTTCTGTGGGTAAATAAGGATTACAGTAGCTCCTTTCCTTGCACGAAGAAGTGAACAGTACATTCAATCTCTTGAAAGGCCACAGGAGTTCAGCTGTGTCCACCAAAATGTGTGTATGTTTAGGACTTAGAGGTGAGGTTCAGTTCTCACTGTTAACAGTTTCTGAGTAGCATACATTGTAACGCTGAAGAAGCAAAACCAGTGCCCAGATCTAACGCTTAAACAATGTGAGGGGAGTACTTAAATGAGGTTTTTGTTTCTGCCACTTTTGGAAGCATTATCTGTATTTGTCCAGTGCAATAAGCTCACCTGGAGCTGTAGCAGGTCTGGGGTGAAAGGGGTGCTATCTTCATGCCTTGCTTATTTCATAAAATGTGAGTGAGGCATCAGAGGAGTAGTCTCTTCCTGTTCCCCTGCTTAGTGTGTCACAGCAGTCTCACTGTCAGGAGCAGGCACAACCCTTTTTAAAGGGGAGCATTTCGTACCCAGGATGAGCTGCCAGCCTTTGAGGACCAGAGAGTGGCTTTGTGTCTTTTCTGGGGTTTGCTTATTCTCTGCCTTCATCCTGTATGTTCCAGTTTACTTCCACTTGAGCTGGGAGGCCCAGCTTTATGTGAATGAAGGGAAACCTACTTTTTTTTTTCCCCTGGTTAGCAGTGAATAATCTAAAAATCAGATTATGGATTTTTGAAATTGGCTGTGCCTGTGAAAGAGAGGAATTGCCAGGAGTGTACACCCATGGGGTCAAAAGGGTGGAGCCAGGGGTGTTCCCTATTGGACTGTTCTGTATGCTAAATCATCTCCTGATCTTAGTCCTGCAAAGGAATACATTACTGTTAGGAATTACTACATGCCATTAGAAAATATAAAAAAACCCTTCTATTACAAAATTTGAAATGTTGTTTGAGATCTCTTTTAGATGAATGCAAATTTTATGCAAATCTGATTGCTACATTATGGATAAAGCAAGGGCTTTTTATATTGGGTATGTTCACTAAGATGTTCTAAAGTGAAAGATGTGAGTTGTGTCATTCTAGGGAAGTGTGACTGTAAATGTTTAGAGTTGAAAGAGGAGAGCTGGGAGGCCCAGCTTTATGTGAATGAAGGGAAACCTACTTTTTTTTTTCCCCTGGTTAGCAGTGAATAATCTAAAAATCAGATTATGGATTTTTGAAATTGGCTGTGCCTGTGAAAGAGAGGAATTGCCAGGAGTGTACACCCATGGGGTCAAAAGGGTGGAGCCAGGGGTGTTCCCTATTGGACTGTTCTGTATGCTAAATCATCTCCTGATCTTAGTCCTGCAAAGGAATACATTACTGTTAGGAATTACTACATGCCATTAGAAAATATAAAAAAACCCTTCTATTACAAAATTTGAAATGTTGTTTGAGATCTCTTTTAGATGAATGCAAATTTTATGCAAATCTGATTGCTACATTATGGATAAAGCAAGGGCTTTTTATATTGGGTATGTTCACTAAGATGTTCTAAAGTGAAAGATGTGAGTTGTGTCATTCTAGGGAAGTGTGACTGTAAATGTTTACTTTCTGATGCAGCTTACTGTTCCCTGGCATTGACAGTGCATGGCGGCTTATCCTAACTCTGTCCTGAAGTGAGGTGGGAAAACTGTCCAGTAATCCAGCATCACTGAACAGACAAGGTAATGGTAACTGTATGTTACCATTTTTGGGTAATGTTACCATTTACTGTTTTGGGAAGGAGATTAAAGGAAGCCTGTGGGTCGATACTGTTTTATTTTTTAATGCTTAAATTAGAAAAAATCCCAACAACCAACCAACTTGTGCAAAACCCTATGCTTTTAAATCTAATTTAAAGTTAATTAGGTTGGGTTGATGTGCCTGCAGTCAAGATTCCTATGTTGCAAGACCTGAATAATGCATTAGTGAGCATTAACAATACTATAAACCTCACAGTTTGATCACAGTGCCTCAGCAGCAAGGTGGCTGTGTTAATTGCTGATCCCTTTCCCTGCAGTTAGACTGTATCCACCTGCCCAGTCTTACGTGTGATGAGGAGAGTGAGTTTTGTTCAATAATTGCTTGTATCTTTTTGGGCTAAACAAAGGGCTTTGCCTGAAGTCTTTGCTTTGTATTAAGTTAATTACCAACATGCCCAGAAATTTAATTGCAGTCTAAAGATAGCATTATACTCCTATCTTTTTAAGGCAAAATATTGTCACTGAAACAGTAGAGTTAAATATATAGAGTTGCATCAAAGAATGTACTCAAGGCTTTAGCTGAGTGTCTTGTTTCTGATAGGAGAGAATTTTCAGTGCAATATTTCAAAAATAGATTCAAAAATTCATTTTTCTCATAAGGCACTGTTTTATAACATCCTTAAAGATAAAAGAAAAATAGCTGCATATCTCTGAGAGTTCTTCTTGTGCAAAAGAATGAACAATGTTCTTGCCAGCATATGGCTTCAGAAATCTTGAGTTGGATATGGGCTGCTTATGTTTTAAGATCTCCAGTAATTGTATTTCAAATGTTAAGATAACTCCTGCTTTAGTTGCTCCTCATTCCAGATCTGTTGTTTTGGCCCTGTCCAAAACAGTGAAAATAGGAGGGGACATTTGACTAACTACCTGGATCTCTTTTTGTGTTTTTTCCCTCCGCTTACTCATTTTTTGAGTAACTTCACTGTAATCTCAGATTTTTAAATGTAAAGCCTTTGTGTTTTTAAATGAGAGATGCTTATATACAAAGTGGTAATTTTTAAATTTTCTTTACTAAAATGTTAAAAGATATAACAGAGGTATATGCTGTGTGCTGCTAGGACACAAGATGACTTTATTGCACTTTCTACTCAGTTGGAGCACCTCTTAAAACACTGAGAGTAACAGACTGTTCTGACCATGTGTTGAGCCCAATGAATAGCTAATGTGTGGTCTGTTGAGCTGCTTTTAAAAGTCTAAAATCTTGGTTAAAATATCCCAATCAAAGTTTTCAAAAATTAAAAAATTGTGCATCTTCTTTTCTGGAGAGGATCTCTCAGTGAGTTCTGATCATCCATGTGATAAAACCAATGTTTACCTCTGCATTTACTGTTCAGAAAATAATACATGATTCAGCTTGATCCCCTTAGTAAAGCTACCTTAGAGCCTGAAATCTTTGAGATATTTGTTCTGGCAGTCTTTTCTTAAATGAAAAAAAAAGTCATTTATTCTTTTTTGTAATGGAGGGGGCATGTAAAAGTAATCAAATTAGGTGATAATGTAAAGCTTCAGAACTGTCATCAGATAGATTAAAATAACTAACAGTTCAGTTTTCTGAAATGTTCTTAATGTTTTCCTGCTAACAGGTGTGCAGGTGATAAGGAATCCACCATGAATGGGCAGCTGGACTTAAGTGGGAAGCTGATCATCAAAGCTCAGCTTGGGGAAGATATCAGGAGAATCCCTATTCATAATGAAGATATCACCTATGATGAGTTGGTGCTAATGATGCAAAGAGTTTTTAGAGGAAAACTTCTGAGCAATGATGAAGTCACAATAAAATATAAAGATGAAGGTAAGGTTTAATTACTACTTTTGAGGTTTAATTGGCTACTGTTGCTCTGATATGGATACCAATAGATAGAAACTTTGACATTCACCTTTTAGAATTGTCCAGTCGCTACTGTTGCTCTGATATGGATACCAATAGATAGAAACTTTGACATTCACCTTTTAGAATTGTCCAATCTCATGGGCAAATGCAAGTGATTTCTTGTGAAATCTTTTTGATCAGACAATAGAAGCTGTATTTTGTTATCTCCTGTTATGCTCTCTTAATAGCATTTCCTCCATTTCTTTCATGAAATATTTCCTCAATTTTTCTCTCTGAAAGTGAACTTTTTGCTGTTGCAAGAAGTCGATTGCAGGTTTCTCTTGTGTTCATTCATTTAATCTTTTTTTGGTGTGTTTTCAGTGGTTTTGAAGGTGTAAAGAGAATAAACATGTATGGCCTAACACAAGTTCTTATAAGACTGAAAACTTAATCTATGTGATAGTAGTTCTTGATTGTTTTCTCCATCTATAAAGATTAGAAAGATAACTTTCAATACATAATTTCAAGTTAAAATTATCTTTCCTCTCTGGAACCCTTTGATCTGTTGCACACTGGTTGTTCCAAAGAAAATATTGATCATTAATGTTGAAACAAACATAACCTTAAGGACTTCCACAGACTGAGGAGCGAATGAGGAGAGCCCTATTTGAGATGCATAGAGACAGAAAGTTGTGATTGGAATGTCAATGGAGCATGGATAAGTTACTTGATTTGGGACAGAGGAATAGTGTTCATAAAATGAAACTTGGAATGAAGTGATAAAATCCAAAGTCTCTTAAAGACTGATGGTTATGCTGTTGCACAGTAAAAAGTGCCATGTTACTGAAGCATTCAGGTTCGTTTCCCTTTATGGCCCTAGGAAACTTCAGTGCTACCTAAAATGTCAACTTTTGTTCATATGTCTAAGCAGTAAAATTTCACTTTGAATAACCCTGAGGCTTGTTTTTTTTGAGGTTCATGAAGTTTTTGAGATGTTGCTTATCAAATTTGTAAGTAGTGTACGTCTTGGGGCTTGACCAATATTTTGGGTCTTGATCTCTGTTGAGAGGGAGCTCAGTGGATTTGTGGTGGTTTTGTACCACATTTTTTTTTCTTTCTGAAATGAGAAAGGTGAAAGGAGATGGAATGCTTTTTCCTTAGATTAAATCAAGTCAGTTACTTTGGTTTTTTTTTGCATTCTTATCTGTGCTTTAAGTATGGCCATTTGGGGGTTTTGGTGTACACTACTCTGTTTTATTCAAAATAAGATAATGATGTATGATGAGTTACTTGATTTGGGACAGAGGAATAGTGTTCATAAAATGAAACTTGGAATGAAGTGATAAAATCCAAAGTCTCTTAAAGACTGATGGTTATGCTGTTGCACAGTAAAAAGTGCCATGTTACTGAAGCATTCAGGTTCATTTCTCTTTATGGCCCTAGGAAACTTTAGTGCTACCTAAAATGTCAACTTTTGTTCATATATCTAAGCAGCAAAATTTCACTTTGAATAACCCTGAGGCATTTTTTTTTGAGGTTCATGAAGTTTTTGAGATGTTGCTTATCAAATTTGTAAGTAGTGTACGTCTTGGGTCTTGACCAATATTTTGGGTCTTGATCTCTGTTGAGAGGGAGCTCAGTGGATTTGTGGTGGTTTTGTACCACATTTTTTTTTCTTTCTGAAATGAGAAAGGTGAAAGGAGATGGAATGCTTTTTCCTTAGATTAAATCAAGTCAGTTACTTTGGGTTTTTTTTGCATTCTTATCTGTGCTTTAAGTATGGCCATTTGGGGGTTTTGGTGTACACTACTCTGTTTTATTCAAAATAAGATAATGATGTATGATGCAGACAGTAATTGCACTTTCATTCTTTGGTTGTCTTTTACAGTCTAGAGACTTCCTGCTTTCACTTACAGTTTTCTTTGTCGCAGAATTGCATTTGGAGACAGTAATTAGAGTTTAATTCTTTGTTGTCTTTTACAGTCTAGAGACTTCCTGCTTTCACTTATAGTTTTCTTTGTCTCAGAATTGTATTTGTTTTGCATGGCCAGGTTTTGGTAGTGGGGGGGCTCCAGGGGAGGCCAAAGCCAGGCAGTTCCAGGACAGACATGCTTGGCCTTAGCTGGCCAAGACTGAATCAGTCAGATATATGTGGTAATGCCTCTGTGGTAACATTTAAAAGGGGAAAAAAAAAGTTATGGCACAGATGTAGTTTTGGCCAGAGAAGAGAGGAGCAAGGATAAGTGAGAGGAATAGCTCTGCAGGCACCAAGGTCAGAGAAGGAGGGGCAGGAAGTGCTCCAGGCAGCCGAGCAGAGATTCCACTGCAGCCCATGGTGCTGACCATAGTGAGGCAGAATGTGCTCATGGAGGTCCATGGAAGTGCAGCCTGTGGAGGAACCTTACACCAGAGCAGCTGGATGCCTGAGAAGAGGCTGTGACCCCGTGGGAGGCTTGTGCTGAAACAGGTTCCTGGGGAACTCATGGGGAGAGGAGCCCATGCTCAAGCAGGTTTCCTGGTAGGACTTGTGACCCTGTGGGGGCCCCGTGCTGGAGCAGGTTATTCTGGAAGGACTGCACCCAACAGAAGAGTGACCCACGCTGGAGCAGTTCCTGGAGAACTGGTGCCAAGAGGATGCACTCACACTGGGGAAGTTTGTGGAGGACTCTCCCATGGGAGGGACCCCAGGCTGGAGCAGAAGAAGAACTCCTCTGCCTGAGCAGTGGCAGAAACCATAACCTTCACTCCTTGTGCCTCTGCACCACTAGGGGAAGAAGAGATAGAGCTGGGAAGGAAGGAGGGGTTGAAAGGTGAATTATCCTGCTCTGATTTTGACTGGTAATAAATTCAGTTCATCTCGCCAAGCTGAATCTGTTTTGCCCATGAGGGTAATTGATTTGTGATCCCTCCCTTTTCTTATCTCATATCTTGTCCTTTGTTCTCTGTCCTGGCCACTTGTGGAGGGGAGTGATGGAGTGGCTTTGGTGGTGTGGGGCCCCGTGCTGGAGCAGGTTGTTCTTGAAGGACTGCACCCAACAGAAGAGTGACCCACGCTGGAGCAGTTCCTGGAGAACTGGTGCCAAGAGGATGCACTCACACTGGGGAAGTTTGTGGAGGACTCTCCCATGGGAGGGACCCCAGGCTGGAGCAGAAGAAGAACTCCTCTGCCTGAGCAGTGGCAGAAACCATAACCTTCACTCCTTGTGCCTCTGCACCACTAGGGGAAGAAGAGATAGAGCTGGGAAGGAAGGAGGGGTTGAAAGGTGAATTATCCTGCTCTGATTTTGACTGGTAATAAATTCAGTTCATCTCGCCAAGCTGAATCTGTTTTGCCCATGAGGGTAATTGATTTGTGATCTCTCCCTTTTCTTATCTCCTATCTTGTCCTTTGTTCTCTGTCCTGGCCACTTGTGGAGGGGAGTGATGGAGTGGCTTTGGTGGGTACCTGGCATCCAGCCAGGGTTAACCCACCACACACAATGTACTGCTATTCCACTATTCAGTGTGTGTTATGCTAGCTGATCAGCACTGCTGTAAACAAATAAATGTTCTTGCTATCAGAATTAGTTGCAAGTGATCAAGGAAAAGGTTGACAAGTTTGCTTGTCATGTGAGAGCTGTTATATCCTTAACTTCATTTCAACTAAGCTTAGATTCTTCTTTAAATCTATTTCAGTCATTAGATGCATTGGAATACATACATTTTAGTTATTTCTGTTTTGTTACTTATCCCTGCAGACCTGCAGGAATGCTTGTCTGGATCTGTTATGAGGAGATAACTTAAACTGGTCTAAGGATGTCCACTACTTCCATAGCCTCCATCTGTGTCTTCTCGGAATTCTTATGCACAGTCTTTCAGTGTTCAAAGAATGTTTCATCTACCCCTCCATATTCCTGCAATACATTTAGGTTATGTAGTGCTTTTATTAATTACCAGAGAGAAGAAGCCTCAGGTTGAACGCTGCTTTGTGAAGTCAAGTTTTATATTCAAGCTTTCAAACTCCTGAGCTAAGGAAATTGCTCTGCTAGATGTGGAACAATTTTCATGTGCTATTTAAAGTTTTTGCACACACAAAACCCAATGTCAGCTAAAAAACCTCAACCCCAAACAAACTAATGAGGACTGTCAGCAGTGAATTTGTACGAATCAAAGGGTAAAATTGCATCTTAAACACACCATGTCACTGAGTTACACATGCTAAAAGGCTCTATAGAGCCAATAACAGGAACTTTACTTTTTTTTAAGTTATGCTTGAATTTAAAAACAGGGTGTAATGTGAGACTGGCCATTTTGCTCTTGTTCATTACCTTGTAATAGAAGATTGTTACTCATGCTGCATGTATTCAAGCTGCTGTGCTAGTCAGTAATCTCTCAGCCTTTGGTAAATTTACTAGAGTGAAGGAAAACTACATTTTGATGTAGTGTGGTTTTTTAATTATGTAGGATTTTGTGGTTTTTGTTTTTTCAAGAATGGACTAAATGAGAAATAAAAGCGTGGATAAGTGTAATAGATAATAAAGCTTAGCAGATGAGGAAACAGCTGGCAGGGCGAAGGAATGAGTCAGATTTCTAATGCCATGAAGGTTGGAATACATCATGGTGATGCAGCATTAATGCTGAAATAGCTTGCAGCCCAGTGGTTAGTTTAAGGGAGTCACTAGTTTATAGAAAGAAAAAAGTTATAATTGGCATAGCAGAGAATGTGGTACATGGGAAATTGTAGAGAGGGAAAGCAGTGTCCGTTGTGAAAACGAGAAAGATCTATTCCTAAAATAACAAGATTAGAAAGGAAAATAAAGGAAAGTATGTCTTATTTTTCAACAGAAAATAATTAACATTGTGTAATTCTATCCATGTCATGGTAACAGGAATTAAGCTTCATTGGCATTCCTTAAGATGAAGAGTTTTTTTTGCTATATCTAATATACTTAAATTGTCAGGCTTGACATATACCTTATGAACCCTAGCTTATACTCTACTTCAGTAATAATTTGATAGCTGTCATTAGGAATCATGGAACTGACTTTATGCATCTAACAAGATTCTGTACTTGGTACTTCTCAGCCTTTTTTTTTCTGCTAACAATTTACAACAGAAAATTTGTTCATTATTCTTAATGCCTTCAACCTAAAGGTTAAAATAGGTGAGGGAGAATTAGGATGGAATGATCCCAGTTCTTTTGGGTGGCATTAAGCAATGTGTATTGATGTGCATTTTCATTTCACTGTGCAGGATAGACTGTTTAGAACGTGCATCTTTGTTCAGGCAGTGAATCTGACTGTTCACTGGTATGACAGAGGAGCGTCAAAGGATGGTTTGCCAATGTTGTTAATTACTAAGAGAAGTAATTATAATTTATTGTGTTACCATGATAATAAGGAATAGAAGGGCTTTGTGTTAAGACACCGGTGGATTTTAGTATCAGTGTTTAGGAAAGGTTACTGAAAAGCTGGAGAAAGTGTTGAGTTGGAGGGAGCACAAGGTGGCATTAATCCATGTAAGCCATGTGTCTTGATGTGCATTTTCATTTCACTGTGCAGGATAGACTGTTTAGAACGTGCATCTTTGTTCAGGCAGTGAATCTGACTGTTCACTGGTATGACAGAGGAGCGTCAAAGGATGGTTTGCCAATGTTGTTAATTACTAAGAGAAGTAATTATAATTTATTGTGTTACCATGATAATAAGGAATAGAAGGGCTTTGTGTTAAGACACCGGTGGATTTTAGTATCAGTGTTTAGGAAAGGTTACTGAAAAGCTGGAGAAAGTGTTGAGTTGGAGCGAGCACACACCTCATCACACCCCTCTTTACCGCCAAAGCAAAAAGAAAAGATCTGTTTAACTTTGGTAAGGTCTGATTGTCCAAGTCCCATTATTGATCATAATGGCAAACAGGGACACTGAGCCTCCTCTTCCTGGCACTGGCGAGGTGGCACCAGGGAGGCTGCATGTCTGTGCTCACTTTTAATGTGTGCTATCCAGGACAAAAAGAACTTGGAAAAGCTGCAGAGGGGTCTAACAGGGTGTGGTGAGGACTGGGAGGGGCTTTGTGCAGGTGGCCTTCAGGGAGCATTGCAGGGAGCTGGGCTTATTCAGTGTGCTACAGAGGGGGCTAAGGGCAGAACCAGTGGAGAGGGAGTTGCAGTGTGACCATTGAGTGCAGTGTGACCACTGAATGTGAGCAATTTGCAGTAGCACCAGATGGCAGCAGTCAGAAATTGCAGTTTGGGAGGTTGAACATGAGTTTTGGCCAGGAGGGCAATGTGTCACTGGAGCAGGCTGCCTGGTGGGGTTTGGAGCCCTTGCTTCTGGAGACTTTCCAGTCTCTACTCAGAGAATCCATGGCTGATACTGCTATCAACAGATGTCTTTTAAGATTCTGAAAGTGAAAGGACATAAAAAATCTTGGGAGGCAACACTATTTCTTTCAGGAAAACTTGAAAATTATTTTATATGGCATCACTTTATTAGTGTTTGTAACTTCATTTTGTTGAAAGCACCTTCTTTGAAGACTGACAGGCACTGTGAGGTGTTATTAATAGTACTTAAGAAAACCTTGCTTTGCAGAGGTGTGACTTGTAGTCAGGGATGACAAAATTAGAATAAGTAGTTCTTAAAATTCTGAGCTGTTTTCTACTTGATATCATGTGGTTTATTACTATTCATACTGAAGGATTAATTTATTTGAAAATTTTAACCGTAACTTAGATGCAGTTTGCCCTTGTCACCAATGTGTAAGGAATTTATATATACAGAATTTTTAGACAGTAATCTGTAATGTAAAACATGTTCCTGTGTCTGTCCACAGAGCCTTGTTGCTACAGTGTTTTGTGGAGGAGTCTGGGCAGCCTGGACATGGCTTTGTTCCAAGCCGTGTGGCATTTATCTAAACACTGTTGCTTTTCGAGGTGAAACTTCACTGGATAGTGTTTCACCTCAGTTATGAAACTGCTCAGGCAGGAAGTGTTCCTGCTATTCCTTGTGCCAGTGCACGTTTTCCTGATAATGTGCTCTCATTCTTTCCTTTGCACTGCTTAGCTTGGGCTGATTTAAGCTGTGAATAACCTGTTGAACATGTTAAACACCAGGAAATCTGTCCTGCCAAAGACAATAGTTTTGTTTTAGTTGTGGTTTTGTTGAGTAAGCAAAGATGTCAACATAGCTTTCCTTGACTCAAATATCATGAGAGACCAGACTTAATGGGAACTTGGTATCACTTTTGAGGATTAATACGATTAAAAGTGATCAGTGATCAGTACTTCATGCATAGCCCTTTGTAGCTTAAGAGTAAATGATCCCATCCAGTTCTAATATAGTTCCTGGGACAGATGGCAATGTGTAAATTCATTAGGATCCTCTGACATGTGACATGGAAGAAATCCATGCCTAAGAGTTGTGACTTTGTGTAAAATTCCTGTTTGAGAGAAGTTTTCTTCTAACTATTTTGGCGGCTTTGTGTCTTCATACTTACTTGTGTGTTAAAGCTGAGAGAGCTTTACTATTCACTTTTACACACAAACTTTGTTTTTCAGCAAGGCAATGATAATAGTTTTGCAACTCATGTTCTGAATAAATACCTGAGGAAGTGTTCTAGACATTTGAAATTTTATTTTGATTTAAAAAAAATTAATTGGGTTTAGCTTGTGCCATTGTTTTGACTCTTGTCTGTTCATTAACAGTATGGTTCTGGAGCTGCTTGGCATAGCCATTTCACTTTTAACTGGTAGCATCATTTTTCCTGGTGTTGGACTTTATGAACTCTTAGCTCTAATATTTCATCCTGTATGTAAACATAAAAGAAAGATGGACTATACGAAACATCAAAGGGCTAATGTCAGAAGACTCCCTTTTGGAGCCATGCATGTTTCTGTCTTACCTTCTGTGCACAATTTCTCTGCACACCGATTCTTGCACTAAAATAATAAACATTTTTTTCTAATGAATTCAAAATCAAATAGGAAGGTTATTTTTGAGTAATGGAGGAACACTTCTGTCCTAGTCATAGGCTGTGATTTTAATGTAACTTTTTCTTGTTCTTTTCAGATGGAGATCTTATAACAATTTTTGATAGCTCAGATCTCTCCTTTGCAATTCAATGCAGTAGGATACTTAAGCTGACATTGTTTGGTAAGTACAGAAGGCTATATTTTTCTATTTCTTTTAAATAATATTTATTAAAAGTCAGGCAGTGGACTTCACTGAGAGGTACAGAATACTTTAAATTGTCACCTCAGAAGGTGAAGAAAATGCAATCAGTAAGTTGGTACTGCTGAGTTAATACATAATAGCTGTTTTCTCTTGACGTTTTTAATGAGACTTCCAAACTTAATGGAAATGGAAACTACTGCTTTTTCACACTTGCTCAACGTGTAAAAAGCATTTAAGTATTTGGCATGTTGGATATGCGTGTGATCAGTGGTGCTTTCTTCCTTAGTGCTCTTTTCCATGCTCTCTTCTGCTCTAGCATTTGTGGGGTTTTCTTCACAGGTGCCTGAGAATTTGAAGCTGACACTTATCTTGCAGTGGTACACTGCTCCAAACTAGTGTTAGTTGCTTGGAGTTGAATAGATCTTAATGTTTATCCTTTAGCCTTTGTGTAAAAGTTCTTTATTTTCAAACTAGCATAGGTAACTTAATGTGCAGTTCTAAGCCTTTAACTTGGACACTGACCTTCCTTATGAATTGCAGCAGGGTTGTGTGGACTGTGTTAGTTCTAAAGGGACACTTTCCAGAACCACTGCATCATTCAGGGTATATTCAGGGAAATGAGTAAACAATGCAGACACTCACTGTGGACTTTGATATTTTTTAGCTTTTGCTGAACTGAGATTATATGAAAGGAACAGTAAGCTCTAGAATGAGTTCAGTCTGTGTGGACTAAATTTTGTCACTTTAAACTCGGCAAAGGATGCTGATACTACAAGCAAGTAAAAGTTGGAATTTTTTTGGTCATCTTAAGCTGGATGTTACTACAGTCTTAAGTTTATCTAATTGCTGTTTTGCAGTGAATGGACAACCAAGACCCCTAGAATCTAACCAGGTGAAGTACCTGCGCCGAGAGCTGATAGAACTTCGCAATAAAGTCAATCGTTTATTGGACTGTTTAGAGCCGCCAGCGGAACCAGGACTTTCCACCAATCTGCCCGAGAGTGGTAGGCAGCATGGCAAAGAGTTTGATTTGCAGAGTGGTGTGCTGTTTAACAAAGTGAAAGATGGATCATTTTTAATTGTCGCTTGATGGCTCAGAACTTAATTTTTAATGCTTTAGTTATTTCAGAGGCAGAATTTTTGTTTGATGTATCTGGTGTAAAGCCCTGAACTAACTTAGGAATTGAAACTTCAGAGTCTGAGGTTTTGTTGCAATGTATGAAAACACTGTAACTAACACCCATGAACTCCAGCAATGTCTTGAGAGGGCTTTTTAGCCAAATTAATACCTTGTTGTTGCTGAAGAGTTCTTGCTCGCAGTTGAGTAGTCCCTCTGCTTACTTTGGGCTAGCTCTGGTGCTTATCTTGTGTTGCTAAGCAAGTTTGATTCACTAAAACAGTAAGAAGTGAATTCAGCAAAAATTATATCCACTTTTTTTGCCAGGTTAGGAAATTGAATCCACACATTTTGCGCTCAGACCAGCATCAGAGCTGTCTCAGGGTAAGCAGCACAAGGGTGCAGGTAGGGGTGGGAAAGGATTTTTGGGGGAGGGCAAAATGGGAAAGAAAGTCTTATTCTCACAGTTTTGAGGTATTTATCACCTAGCTTAGGGCAGTTGTACTGCAAATATTGTATCTCTGTGTGTTTAACTACAGAGTTTAGGTAAGCTGGACACAGAAAATAATGACACAAAGTCATGAAGTACAGTGCTCTGAGTAAAGAGGTGAACTGAGAACATCAGGCTGCCTTTTAGGAAATGTTACTTTTGTATTTGCACTTTGAAATTTACTGCTTTTGTTGCTTAAAAAAATCCCAGCCCTGTTCCTATAATACGTGCAATTAGTAATTTCAGTGGAATACCATGGATGCTGGTTACAAACTATTTGGAAAGAGGTTAGAGTGGTGGTCTAAGAATGTAAACAAAACTAGCCAGTCTGTATCTATCTGTAGTTGTTTACTTTTAACAGAAAATGTATCACTGTTAGGTAAGGCTTTTTTGAGCAATTCAGCTACTTGTATAGTTGCAAAGATCTCAACTTCACCTGTCAGTTTAGGAAAGATTAGTGGAGAAGGGTAGAGTACAAACCAGAAACTGTAGATGATAAAACACCATAATAAGTTGGAACTATGCTGTATGTTTTCCTAATTTTGGATTCTTTGTGGCCAATAATTTGTTTGAAACAGGAGCTTTGTAACTTTGCATTTCAGAACTGGTGATACATGATATTGATAGTCCACAGTGTTAGTGTATCTTTAAGCAACTGTGAAAGAAACCTAAGCTTTGTGATCCATCCCGGGTTCAGATACATCAGTGATTCTTCACTGCTATCCTAACACGCACATTTCAACAGTTGAATCTGTGAGGCGCCCCAGCTGTGCGATGTTGCGATTGCTGCAGTGCGATGTGTATGTGTGTGCTGGTGTTTCAGTTCTGGAGAGCTGGTAACCGGGCGTTTTGCTTTGTAGATGCTGTAGATGGTAGGGACGAAAAGCCTGCTGCTGCTGACGCTAATGTTAAGCCATCCACTCAAGTTATAGCAGCGAGCATGTCTGCATTCGATCCGCTAAAGAACCAGGATGAAATCAGCAAGAATGTCATGTCAGCCTTTGGCTTGACAGATGATCAGGTGTCAGGTAAGGATGTGGCTGGTGAAAAGGAAAGCTAAACCTGTTCATAATCAATTGCTCCAGTTTTGATTTGTAACAAAGCATTTGTTTGTTGGATGTATTAAGCTGTGTTCTGTGTTCACTGTGTCTTTTCAGAATTCTAAAACTTGCTATGTTAAGGTGTTGTGTCTGTGTGCTAATGTTTGTATACAAAATATTGAAATTCTGCTGTTGATTGTGTTTAGGGTGGAGTACAAAACAGCTTCATTTTTTTAAAATTTGAATTACTTAAAGCTATTGTGTTGACTAACTTAATTGTTATCTGCCAGTGGTAGTAGAACTCACTGCTCTCTGCTTTAAGGTTTGATCTTGCAGTTCATGTTCTTGGCTTGTGCTTCTGCAGTTTGGGTCATTCAGAATGTGTTGTATGATCCCAGCTTTTCTCTCTTTCATTTTAGAAGTAAATAGAATCAACATTTTCACAGTTAACAGAAAGGAATAACATACTGCTCTGAATTATGTTTATTTTTGAGGAGCTGTAGGACTGCTGGCCCTAGTAATAGAATGCTAAGCATATGAAAACTGACTATGCTAAACTGAATGCTGTCAACTTGAGACAGGATAACCGAAGCTAGAAAAGCAATGTAGAACGTGATAAGGAGTGTGATGCAGAACTTAGGGAAGTGATTTTGCACAGAACCTGTGTGGGCCTGGCAAGGTTTAATGGTTCATTGAAACATGAGAATGAAACTGCTGTTAGCTAACAGGTTTTGCTGTGTAATCCCATCTCCAGAGCAAGTGAGTTTATATGATGTGTGAAGTAATGATACAGATGAGCAAACCAGGAGGAACTTGAGGTCGTTCCTCCAGTATGCCTGCCATGGCAGAAGTCTGGAGTAAAAGTAATAGATCTGCACTGTGTGATTGTGACTGTACAGTATCTAAAGTTGTACCCACAGACAGTGGTTGACTTCAGTGTGAAGTACAGGTCTGTGGACCAGGCCTATTGTGTGATCTCCTCCTCCATGCCACATTTTGGGTATTGTCACAGCATGGTTCTTTCACAAACCAGATGGTACTTAAAAACTTGCAGTGGGCTATCTGAACAAGTAAGCAGTAGCAAGTGAGGCACAACTGGCAGAAAATGTGAGTAAATTTTTGAATGAGTGGTTTTGATCAGTGATATTTCAATATTTGTGTCTCCATAATTCTTCTGAGAGTGTGAAATTGCTTGACCGTTCTTTGAATGTGCAAAGAACTCCACAGAGGACATTTAAACAGGGTATAAGAAATCCCATTTCTAAAGCTGTCATCCTGCAGTTACGTATATAAATGCGAGTCAAGAGGTAGGCAGATGTAGTTAACTTTCCCCTAATAAGGTTAGCATGAAAACACAATGAGGGACTTGTTGGATGCATATTTATATTGTGTAAATATAACTATCTTAAAATTGCAGATGTACTGGCAGCAGTTCTAGCACTTGTGCTTAACTTAAAGTGTGTATTTGAAAGTAGTGTCTCTTAGCATTCATACAGTTGCAAAGATCCAGGTTTAAGCTCCCTTGTTTCTAACATTTTGCATTAAATTGTAGTGTATTATATTCACATGTGTGTTTCAGAACTTCTTACTAATGTAGAGAAAATCTGAATTCCCAGTTTCCATGGTGTCTTTGGGGGTCAGCTGGAATATTTTCAGAATTAGCAGAGCAGACAATTGCTTTTAGACTAAAGCCTGCCATATCCTGTCTTGGAGTGTGATTTTAACACCTCTTTGGAGGTTTTCTGTTCACGTGCTATTTGTGGCCTGGTCCATGTGTTTCACAGTAAGACGCTAATCCATTTGGATAGTTCCATGCAACCTTTTACCTTTCCTCCAGATAAGAAAAAATAGGTAAGTACATGTTGTGTCCAAACATGGCAGCTCCTCAGTGTATGTACGTGCAAGGTTAACACTTGAAGCTGTTGAAAAAACATGCTGTCATGAAGGGTTTTATCTCTCAAATGAATCAGGTTCCTCAGAAGAATGAAATCTGAGTGACCTAGAGATAGATGGAAAATTCTGCCCCCTCTGCCTGCTCCCACCCAGTATTTTCAAATGAAAGTTTAGGTGTGCAAATATACACTTAATTTTAGCTTAAGTATGACACACATGTAAATCTGAAGTGGAAAAAATTATAAAAAACATTGCAAGGGAGGGATCTTGTATTAGAATTTTTTAATTCCAACTCGGTGTTCATTTCATATACTGTATTTTGGTTTTGCTCCTCTAGGACCACCCAGTGCCCCTGCCGAGGAGCGATCAGGAACGCCGGACAGCATCGCTTCCTCCTCCTCTGCAGCTCATCCCCCTGGGGTTCAGGCACAGCAGCCACCCTACCCCAGCACACAGCCACAGACGGGGCAGGTGGAAGGTAAGCAGGGTGCTTTTCTGCTGTCCAGGATGTGAAGGATGTTGTCTGATTGTGCCTTGAATCAGCAGACCCAAAGTGGATACCAGACTGCAAATGGATGTGTGCCCCTAGGCAGAACAGCTTTTGTCCTTGCTGCCCGCGCTGGTCCGTACAGAATCAGCAGGTGGAGCAGTGGCTCTGTTTGAAAGGAGAGGGCTGTAACACGAGAGAATTTTCAGGCTACTGTTCTGTGCTTGCATCTGTGCTCGTGTCATACACTGTGTGTTGTGTCAAGCTTTCACTCAACTATCAGTTTGTGGACTTGTCTTCTATGTATTAAAACAGTTGTTTACTCACCATTTCTAACAGATTGGAGCTAGTATTTCATTGCTTCCTTTTTGTGTGTGGCTCTGTGCTAGTCAAGTGAAACCCTGTAACCATCTTAAATGCATGGTGGTTCCTTATAACTCCCGAGAGCTCAGCTGGCTATCTTTTACAGTTAGGACCTTAACTCTGGTATTCAGATTTGTTTGCACTATGCCCTTAAAAATTTTATTTAACTTCTCAAAATTTACATATTCTGAGGTTTCCTATATTTGGGCATCCTTTCTTCTGGTGCTATTTTGTAAGTGCGTTGAGCCTTCAGACCTTCAATTTCTGGATTAAACTGTCTGTGAAATAACCTGCTTTGTTACTTCTTCCTCCATATGAAGAATAATATAAAATTGTTTCTGTGCTGGTGTAGGCACAAGTGAGAGCCCCCTGATGCTTGCTTTACTGATGCTCAGACAAGTGTGAGATAGTGATCATAGTATCTATAGTCATTTGGATTGTCTTGCCTGAAGGGAAAAAGTAATATTTTGATCAAGCACAGCATTTGAACAGCTGGTACTTGTATATATTTAAAGAGGTATGAATACTGCTGGTTGAAGTGGAGCTTAAGAAACATGTCTTTTTCTGCTTTCAGCCTTTTCTTGCTTATTAGTCAAGTGTTATAACATAGTAAGAGACAAATTTGTAGCTTAAAGATAGAGCAGTTTGGTGTTTATGTATAAAATTTACTTTTGCAAAAAAGGGCTCCAGGTTCTTCTGTTGGCAGCCAGAAAACTTAATGTTCAGAAAACATATTCTCAGCTACTGAACTTGCATTTTATGAGTTTAATTTTTTTACTTTAGTTTAATACAGTAAGGTAAGAAGTTTTAAGTGTTGCTGTTAAACTGGAACTGAAACAGAGAAGTGAAGCACTTAAAAGCACTAGCAACACTAGCTTGGAATCCTCTATGGCAGCTAACACTAGGGAAGGGGAAAAGTATTTGTTTCATTAAAACTCATCTTACCTTGGGAGAAGATGTTATCTAGGCTCATGTATCAGAGTAGATGTAGTGATTTTTCTAAACTGTGGTCAAGGAAAGTATAGTGCAACAGTACCAATTATAAAGGGTTTGATCTGTAGTTTTATTATTGCTACTGCAATCTTTTAAGTATTGATTATATTTTCTTCACTCTGTGGTTCAGTCTTTGGGAAGAGATCAGAAGTAACTTTAGTCCTTGTTCATTAGAAATTAGAAATACATTGCTTATGCTGTGCATGGTATGTATGTGGTAAACAGCAGTCTCTCCCCAAAGCTGGGTAATGTAAGTGCAATCAATTTTATTCCAAAGTGTTCCAAGACTTTTCTTTGGAACATGGAGTTTTCTGTACTTCACTGAGGTTTGATAGGACCTCAGTCCAGTGGTAATTAGGGGGCTTGTGCTGTCCCCACAGAGCCATAACCCAGCCAGAACTTTGGATAGGTTTTGATTGTTAGGTTTTTAACAGGATGGGCTCACATAAATGGTACTGCTGGTGAACAGCAGGTTTGGTTAGAAACTAGTTTTGAAACTGGAAATTATTAGCTCACTTCATAAAAAACCCAAAACTCCCCAAGCTCTGCTTCCCCCACATGCTTTCTCAGTATTTTGAAGATATGAGTAAACTGGTGATGCCAATCATGTATCAGTCATTCTGGTGTATCAGGGCTTATTAATGGCTTTGTCTCCCAGTAAATGCCATGATGATTATGATTGGTTATTAGGTTGTTACCTGTGAATATCAAGTGCTGGTACTACTGAAGGGCTGCCACCCTTGAGAAGTTTTCAGCATTCACTAATTTGAATTAAATCAGTCCAGCAAAGATGTTGTGGTACAGTGCTGTGTCTTGTGGCCTCTGCTTTTCTATCACTAAATTCAGTCCTGAGCACACACAAGAAGCAATTATATACAGATGTGGATGCTTTTTTAGTCTTTGCTGAAATACATGTGAAATCTCAGTCCCATAAGCACTTCATGATTTTCTAGGGTAAAGACTGTTGTGTGGATATATGTAAATGGTCTGTATTCTGAATCAAACTAAAAGTCTTTTTTCAGTGCATAGAAACAATGGTAAATACTGGCAGACCTTTCACTGCAATAAGCACTGCTAAGTACAAAACCAGACATCAATGCTGTAGCTCATCTAGTTTTCAGAATAAAAATGCAGGGAGGGAAAAGAGTCTGTGTCTGAGGACTCAGAGTATCCCTGCCTGTATTCATGGCTATAAATTAAGAATGTTTTCTTAAATGGCATTGGAACACCTCTCTGTTCCTCAATAACACCTCGGCCCTGGAGAAGACAGCAAGCCTTCTCAGAAACCTTTAGTAAAACTCTGTGCTGTTTCTTTGCTATCCCTTTACCTGGGATTTCCAGCAGGGGCCACTGTGGTCTCTCTGTTAGCCTGTAGGGAACTATCCCAAGATAGGCAGCCTGCTGGTTATTCTCCCAGAACTTCCCCATGTCAAATGAGCTTCAGAAAGAGAACTTTCTGAGTTTCTAATTCTTAATTATCAAGCTAACAGGCTTAAGTTCTCTTCAAGCCTTGTGTTTTGCACTCTCATCATCCCACAATAATTGCACACCAAATAATATTTTCAGTGACTGCATCAGTATGAAGTATTCTAAACACCTTATTGTGAATATAAAATACTGTTACTTTCAGATGCAAGTAATACAGATAAAAGAAGAAATAAGGAGTTACTTTAAAGCAGTGTGGACAGGGATCTGTCTGGAAGAACTTGGAGCAGAGTTGAGTTGATTTTGTCTCTGTGCAGCTCCGAACATAGAGTTTACAGTCTATTTATACAGTCTGCTGATCTTTGCAGAATGAATAATAGTACAGTAACACTTCATAATAGTAAAGTTTCCATGTCTGCTTCAGTTCAGCTGAGCTTTAGTTTTGGCAGATAATTGATTTTGTTCTTTGACTGTGACTTTCTAGATTGAAAAACAGCAGAAGCATAAAGCCTCAACAGGACCCATAGGTTGTGTAAACAAATATTCTGCCTATTCTGGCCAAGAAATTGAAAACAGTGAATGTAGGAAAAATAAGCATTGGCTTGGACTGCCAAGCTTAAGAATATATGGTTTTATTTTTGCTTTGGGTGTATACTGCTGGGTCTCTTAAGAAAACTTAGCAGTGCTAGGAGACTGATGTCTTATCTGGAAATTGTGGTCAGGATAAATAATGTTCCGCTTGCTTACAGTACTTGGTTGCAGAAATGCTCTTAAAAAGCTAATCTAAACAGACAATCTAAGGACATGTTTAACTTTAGAAGTACTTTAATTTACAGTGTAAGTTCTTGAGCAGTTATGAAGATGTTTAAAGATTCCTGGTCTGTTACCCACCAGAGCAGTGCTAACTAAGGTGCATAGATGTGCAATAGTAAGCCTCACATAACTCTAGATAAACTTCATTTAGTCAGAACAGCGTCTTTCAGAAACTAAAATCTGTACTTTGGTGTCACTGGGTTTGTTTCTGTGATGTTGAACTGTCAGGGTATCGTTCACTGTAATGCACCAGGGTACTGGGCTTCATCGAACTGCATTTTTAATCCCTAGGTCAGATGTATCAGCAGTACCAGCAGCCTGGTTACCCTGCTCAGCAGCCGCAGGCTCAGCCCCAGCAGCAGTACGGCGTGCAGTACCCAGGTAAGCAGCTCTGCAACAGCAGCTCAGCTGCAGGACCTCTCCTGCAGTGCCCGACCCTCTCAAGCTTCAGTTCCTGACCCTGTGGGGCAGGTCAAGATGCTGAGCTGCCCAGATGCCTGTGTTCCTTATGGGAACTGGCACAATTCAGAAACAGCCAGGAAGGGAGTGCTGTAGCCTTTTATGTTGTTAATTTGTAGTCAAAGTTCAGTCCAACTTGATTATGAGCAAAGGCAGAGCTCGTCACTAATCAGCAGAATGCCGTGTTAAAAAGGCAGGCCAAATGAATCACCTGAAGGGTGAGCAGCCTTCAGGATTATATTCTGAAGTCATAGGATTCTAGCAAGTAAGTGACTAAACATCCCAATTTAGCTTCCTTAAATATCAAAGGTGTCTAAAGATGGCCCCTATTTCTTGCGTCTAGAATTATCTCTGTGTCCAAAATTTACTGTTGCAAACACTGTAGTTGTCATTCAGTAAATCCTTGGCTAACAGACATACTGTAAAAACCCAGAGAAACTTTTAAGTGATAGTTTTTCTTTTTTAGTTTTTGATTTTGCTGATATCTTAAGTAAGGTGCCAATAGACTTTCAGCAGTAGAATATTTTAGTGTACTAGAGGTTTATGTGCAGTGAAATATGAAAAGCTGGCTTTGGTGTATACCCAAAATAAACCTGACATCAGAGCTTTCAGTTCCTTTAGGAGCAGCTGATATCTAGGAATGCATAGTATATGCTAGGAATGATAATCCAGATGAGGTTTAGGGATGAACCTGTAAAAATTCAATTGCAACAAATTGCATTTTGCTTAATAATTTTAGAAAATGATACTAAGCATTTATTTCTTGTTTCAAAAAATCCTCCTTAAACTAAACAAAAGACTCCCATTAAGTGACTCAAAGCCAGTGTGACCTTTTCTGGGTGCACAGTGGGAGTGCATCACTTTTTATGTAGATGAGAAGATTTGCAGAGCTCACGAAGAAATTCCATGCTTAGCTTGGATAAGAACCCTAGAATACTTGGACTAAACGTTTTGTGCCTCAGACCTTGTTCCTGTGCACTGTGTGAGAGCTCGTTAGTTTGAGTGTCTAATGGTATCTTGTTCTCTGCAGATTTCTCTCCCACACATTTGTAATTAGAATACAGAGACAGATGTATTGAGGTATAATTTCAGAAGTAGCAAGCCAGTAGAAGTAGTAGAAGGGTCTGTCTGCCACTCTAGGCTTAAAAACTGAGTGGGGAAACAAAGGACTTCCAATCTGCTTTCTAGACATATCCTGCCATGGTCTAATCCATTATTTTACTGATGTTTCTGTGAAAACTGTAGTGCAATGTGAAGTTTGCTTTCCAACATCATTGTCAAGTATGAATGAAATGCCACCAGAAACTTACTGGGCACCTCTGTTTGTTATAACTTGGTTCACAATTAATCTTCAGAAACAGAGTTTGCTTTGAGGACCTCTTGACAGCAGCCTTTGGAGATGTTGAGTCATAGGATCTTTTTGTTTGTGTTGCTTTAGTTCTCATGAGTATTGTCTCCTTTCAAACCCATGTCTCCCCAAGAGCAAGATACCTTCCCACTCTTGTAGATCTACTAGGCAACAGTGGCTATTTATACATGAGTGTAAAAATGGACCCTTCAGAGGTTTGCCTCATGAGTAAATTTTGATCTCAGTTTCAAGGTGAGTTTACTGCAGTGCATTCTTACCCTTACTCTTTCCATTTAGGGCTGTGCACTTTTAATAATTTGTGTGTCTGGTGTTTAATGCTGACAGGATTCCAGTCACTGGAGAGGTTTCATTGCAAGTAGCTGCAGGTGTGTTTCACAATGGATAAAAGTAGCTATTTCTTCATGAAAGGACTTTGTTCCATTTTAAAATTTCTAAGAAGAAATATTCCCTTTGGAAGCTAGTGTTATACAGGAAAATCAAATTTGGAACATGTGTAAATGGAAGTTTTGTGCTGAAGTGTTCTGTAATACATAACCTTTTCGTATTTAACGCTAAAGAACTGAAAACACCTATGATTTCACCAATGATTTTTTAATATAAAATCCTGAGAGTATTGTCAAGACAGTTTAATTTGGAGGTTTTATTTGGGAAAAGGATTGAATTTTGCCTCATTTGCCAATGAAGGCTTTTGTTTTTTTGCGTGATATAAAGGAAAAGACTACCTGCCTTTTTTTTTTTCTTTATTTCTTGTCAGTCACAGGAAAACTGTTTTATGGTAACTGTTGTCAGTGTGCTGTGCTGCCGCGGTGTGCACCAAAACCCCGGCCGTGCGCTTATGTGAAAGGCAGGAAAACTCGCAGCTCACGCTTGGTTTGCCTTTTCTGTGCTTCCTGCATCGTTTTGCATTTGTCACTGTGAACATTAGGAACGAAAGGTCTTTCTGCAGGCACCCAGGGCTCCTTAGTGTCTCTCACCCCGCCTTGCTCTCTGCCTTTCCAGCAGGCTACAGCCAGCAGCAGCCGCCGTCGCAGCAAGCCCAGCAGTTCCCGGCCTACAGCCAGGCGGGTGCCCCGGCCCCGGCCGCCGCCTTCCCGGGGCAGGCGCAGCAGCCGCCGGCGCAGCAGCCGCCGCAGTACTCGGCGGGCAGCTTCCCCCCGCAGCCCTACACCACGCAGGCCTCCCAGCCCGCCGCCTACAGCGGTTCCCAGGCGGCCCCGGGCACCTTCCAGCCGCGGCCCGGCTTCACCCCGCTGCCCGGCAGCACCATGAACCCCCCGCCCAGCGGGCCCAACCCCTACGCCCGCAGCCGTCCCCCTTTCGGGCCGCAGGGTTACACCCAGCCCGGGCCCGGCTACCGCTAAGGAGGTGCCCCAAAGACAGCTGCTGACACGTGCGATTCCATCCCGACAGACTCCAGAATTTTTAATTGAGATTCCAAAACTGTAATGAGGCAAAACTATAGCTGTTAATTAAATTCTGCTGGGGGGAGGGAAATTACCAAATCTTTCCTGCTTTAAATTGTATTCGCTTCCTAGTTTAATTTGGGGCTGGGTGGTTTTTGGAAAACACTACTTAAATGTCTGTAAAGTGATTGACATTCTAGCTTGCCTTGTCTGAAGGATATGAAGATACTAGTTGGAAGTTTAGCCCACTTATCAGGCTTGTTTTTACTAATACCATGATGTACTAAATTAGATTCATTCTGGAGGTCAAACTAGATATGATGTATTATAAATTGTAATGTTCACATGGAAAAACTAATAAAAGCCCTGAATCTATTCAGTGCCTGATCTTGATTTTAGAAGTTAGGTAACACTGAACAAGACAGCTGTGCTAAGACCAGTGTGCATGCTGGGTGCAAAGACTTCATGGTGAAGAGCAGCAGTGCTGGGATCTGTGGGGGGAGAGGCAGATTTCTGGGTGTGTAAATGGAGAGGTGCTGGGACTGCAGATGGCTTTCACAGCAGGGAGTGGTTTTGTGCTGTCTGCTGTCATTAATTATCAAGTGTCTCTTTTACCAAATTGTTAGAAACCAGTCCATAAAATCTTAAAGCCTCTTATCAATTTTGCTTTAACAAGTTGTGGGAGAGAATTCATTTATTACTTGAAAATTTAAACCAACTGGGTAATTTAAAAAGAGCTCTTAAAAAAACTCCCAACTTTCCACAGGTTCTTTGCCACCCAGAAAAACTTGGGAATGACTCAATCCTAATGACTCAATTTTGAGCCAAGAAAAAGCAGATCAAGAGCTGTAATGAAGTCAATAGACCACATTACAGCAGAGGGCAAAACATTCTGCCAGTTAATATTTTCCATTTTGCAGAGTCTAGGAATATGTAAAACTAAGCAGGGAATAAAAGAAAATGAGCTGGAGCAAGCTGCTTGAGCTCTCCTAAAGACAAACTAGGAAGTTGAGTGAAAATATTCCTACCTTCAGCATCCTTAAATAGTGCTATGCCCACAGCTACTCAGTAAGCTAGGGCTGTACCTCCCATTTCTGGTCTTGGACCTAACACATCCCATGTTCATCAGACCATTTAACAGGGCCTTGGTTCCAGCAAGCAGTTTGTTCTGAATAACAGCATTTACTGCAGAAACTAAGTCTTGTTTCCATGTAAAACACTTGAAAAAACCACTTGATTAAAAAATATTTTATTAGGAGTACAGTGTACCTGCAATGTACTTTATAAGGTATTTTCTATAAATGACTACTATATAGATCTGGTAGTTCCTGTTCATATTTCTTCAATACATTAGTAAGGTAATGAATAACACCTTTAAAAAAAACCTACATCTCTTTATTTAGTTCATAAATGTTCAAGCAGTACAACAAGTAGCTTTGGGAGAGGTTTTAATCAAAATAACTATAAAGCAGTTTTAAAGTTCAGTTATCAGTATTTCCCCTTTGTCCCCAATGAAAACTGTTTTAAACCAGAATTTTTCTTTTTAAATAAAATAAACCTGATCATGCTGTTATAACTAGTTCATTCTTTTTCCTCTTTCATTTGTCTTTCCAAGTCCCCTTGCACGGTACATACATTTGGCTTTTGAACCAGTAAGTGTCAGGCTCAAAACTACATTTTCCTGAAAAACTCCAGCTGTGGAGGCCAGCTTTGTTTTCTTCATTCCATGTACATATGTACCTGTCCACTTCAATTAGAGAACACCAACCCTCCCTACCAGCCACTGCCAGGCTCTGACTCCATAGTGACAGGCTGAACATGGCTTTGAAAACAAACATGGAAGAAAACTCCACTGAACTTGATCATTTAAAGCTGCACATACAGCAACCTACCTTGGCATTTTGGCAGGAGCATAAACTGTTTGTACGTGTAAGGAGAAAGTGCTTCAAGTTTACTGGCTGCAGGATATTAAAAATTATAGGATCTTTTCTATAATTTATGACTGAGAGATGTTACAGATGGTAACAGATAGGATGGGTAGCTTATGGCACTTGCATTACAGGACCAGTGAATATTTAAAACTAACACACACTGCATTCCATGACCAACTCTGGCATATTTGTGCCTTAAACATTTATTACAACATCGTGATAAATAATATACACACTGTATCTTTTAAAATACCATATAAACCATACCTCAAGAATAGGGAGCCAGCTTCCCTATGCATTATCCTACAACACGTCCCTAGCCTGTGTTTTGTTTTTTTAAATTCTAAAAACAAATTTGTAACACTGGATAACTACAGTAAGCAGCCTACACTATTACACAATGAATGCAGTATTGGCATTAGACCGGTGTAAGCGTTGCCTTCCTGCAGCCTGCGCGGGGCAGCTGGGCCTCTGCTCCCTCTTCCCGTGGCACCTACCACTTGCCAGGAATCGATGTGCCGCACTCGTACCAGCGCACGTAGTTTATCTGAGTCTCCCCGCCTATCTTCCCAAATTTGACAGGTTCCTGACGAACTGCCCTGAAAAACCCTGGAACAGAGAAAAGAGTTTTGTTTGCATGAAGCTCTCAGGACAGTACCGTGCTTTGGTTCCATGAGAAGTCTGTAACTGACAATTCAGGGAGTGGCTGAAATGGTCACCAAGCCGCGAACCCACCTGCCACAAGCAGAGCTGTTTGCTGCCCATACATCCACTAGCACTCTGCAATTTGCCCATCCAACTCAAAGCAAAAGTACTTGGAGTGGTGGCACAGAGGTGAAGCGTGCCTCCCCTGGAGATCCCAGCACCCTGCCGTGGGTGGGGCTGGCTGGGCACAGCCTGTGCCCCCTCTGTCCCCCCTCTGGCTGTGCTGGGCTCCTGGAACAGGAGGGTGCACTGCATTGCAAAGTGACAGTGACAAATAGTCCCCACTGTGCAGCCGTGACACTGCAGTGAACTTCAATAAAACCCGGCCACTGGGGCAAGTTCACAGCATCCCCCATCCAAATAATCCTTCTGCTTTCACTCTGTTGCTTTTGACAACACGCTTCCCATTCAAACAATTAACATTAGGTAAAAAATTAAAGTGAGGAGTTGGGGCTCCATGCAACCTGACTGTAAGGAATATATGTGTGGCTGGAGCCAGACACACAAAAAATACTTTTCAGCTGAAAGACAGCATCAGCTGTGATTCTCTCACAGCCCTTCAGGTCAAATATACACACTGTATCTTTTAAAATACCATATAAACCATACCTCAGGAATAGGGAGCCAGCTTCCCCATACATTATCCTACAACATGTCCCGAGCCTGTGGTTTTTTTCACTCTCATTCTCTCACAGCACTTCATGTCAAATGCGTGAAGTTAATTCAGAAATCAATTTGCTGCAACTACAGCAATTAGTGTGTTGGTCTGTTCAGTTCATTTGCTAGAAGTACAAGCTACTGAAAAGGTGAAGTCTTTTGTTTTCTTGTTTTGTTGTTTATTTTGGCCTAAAATGATCGTACCTCATGAATTCACTCAAATCCAGTTGCTGAAATCAAATTGGTTATAAGTGTCTTTTAAACTGAGGTAGCAAGGTTGTTAGGTAAAAGTTTTTTTAAATATTAAAATATTTTTAAAGGTGTGAATCTGGTACAACTGAGAAGTTTGCTGTCCTGGCAATGCAAATTGGATTCTGACCATCTCTTACGCAAAATATCTTTTCAGATGGGCAGCACTGACTGGGAAGGGAAAAGCAAAAACCTCTTTAGAAAAAACCCACAAAACGCATAAACAAACACCCTTCAGACCATTCAATTACTTTGTTTTTTGGAAAAACTTGTGAAAGACTTAGGAGCTTCACCTTCATCTCCCACACCTACCTCGAAGTGTACCTGGACTCATGTGGGGTGTTTCGTAAATGAAGCACAGGAAGGTTTGGTAAACACGCTGATATTGTACTGAAAACTGTTTTGCTGTTTTCCTCAGTAAAATGTTCCGTGACATGCTCAGCTCTCGTGCACGTACCAGTACAGCCTGAATTCTTACCCCACAAGGAACAGAACACCTCACCCTGGCACTGCTGCCAGCAGCAAGGCAAGAGTTCAGCTGACAGAAGTACAAATTTCTTATCCCTCAGCCTCAGCAATGGATGAAAAATAGCCAGGCAGGTCACGGCTGTGTTTAGCACATCCAGTCCCATGTCCACTTAGACCAGACTGGAATTTCGGGCACCCTTTTGCAATTGGTACACACAGAATTACTGCAGCATGAATTACATTTTCCGGCCATAAATTTTCAGTTTCTCATTAGTACCAAACAAGGTATTTAATGCCCAACTGATTATGTACTGTGCTTTAAATCAACCTTGCTAGTTTGAACACACCACTTAATGCCTCTCTGCAAACTCAAATTTGTGGTTGGGTTTAAATATGTAATACCAACTGTGAATAATTTGTTGGGATGTTTTAAACAGGAGAGAGGCTGTTTGCTGCCTAACAGAACCCAAGTCATAACTTTCTTAATAAGTCATCATTCACTGTCAAAGAACTTCTTGACCCTCTTCTGCCTGCAAAGCTGGCAGCTCCTTTCATCGCCCACCCCAGCAGTGGGCATTCAATCCACTGGTAGGAAATAGAAACAAACAAAGGAGTTGCCCAGGTTTGCTACAGATACAGGTGTTGGGAGTTACCATCTTTGACTGGCAGATCTTCTTGCTGTCCTGTCCTTCCATCTAAGAATGAGTCTACAAATTGGCAGTGATCTTCTCCATGGCCCCTCTGGTCTCCTATGTTATAAAATTTTCCTGAAAGCAAAGAAGCAGCAGAGTTAGTGAAGGCTATTTCCAAAAACCACCAGAGGCAATGGGCTGTGCTCTTTCCTCTGTGGGGAAGCCAAGGTGAAAGCTGTGATTCTTTTCCTCTCAGGACCTGTAGCTGTAATTTGAACATGACGTGCAGGCTCCAAGTGCTCAAGGCTAAGGCCCCACTCCTGGCCGAAATCTATGCCTGGACATAATTTTTCCCTCTCCTTACATTTCATACAGTAAGGGAAATCTGTTACTACCAAGAACATCATCAAAAAGCAAGTTTTGGTAGTGATTTGAAGGGAAGACAGGTTTGGTTCCCTGTCAGGAAGCCCCCAGTACCTTCAGAGATGTTTTTACAGACTACCTCCTAACATAGCCAAGGCCTGTTTTATAAATCATCATATTTTTACAGCATGTATGTGCAAGTGATAGCCCTTAACATATAGATGACCTCGGATACTAAGTACTTATCCAGAGTATGGAGTGTGTCCATGTGTTTGTTTGCTTGCAGGATTACTTAACAGGACACTTGACTGTAACTGAGTAGAAATCAAGGTCTCAAGTGTCCCATGTAGCATGTGCTGATGTGACAGACTGTGCTTATCCTGTTAGCAGACACAGTGAAGGAGCTTTGACAGATTTTTTTTACTTGCTGATTTGATTTGCAAGACATTAGTAAAATTCAGTTCAGAAGATGGAGGAGAGCATGCTATGTTCTCTTCCCGAACCTGGGATGGAAACCTTTGTAGATAAACCTACCATTCTTTCTAATCTCCTTTCACAGCACATAGTTCTCAATATGTTCAACCTTTGGTTGAGATGTTGAAAGGAAAGGTAAGAGAATTTAGGAAAAGGCTCAGGATGGAGGTATAAGCTAAGCAGAAAGTCCAGTTACTCATTAGATACTGGGTGTCCTGGAGCCTTGAATCCATGCCAGTCTGGCCATTTGAGAGGTGGTGGGGTAGGTTATTATACTGCTCCCAAAGAACAATTAATAAAAAAAAGGAGCCTACCAATAAACTCCAACGTTTTTGTGATCTGAGCAATACTTTGCCAGAATTTCTCACCTCCAGTTGATGGCCTCTGTGCATGTGGTTCTTCTCTAGCTTTACAAAATTATTTATTGCTATCTAGCTTTGGCTGAAAACATGTTTTTTTCCGTAGGAGAACTGGTCAGAGGGAGTTCCTCTCAGCAAATTTTTGCACTGAAATTAAGAACATTCAGGCTGCCCAAAAAAGCCTTTTTTTTTTTTTTTTTTTCCACAGCTGTTGAAGGTCACACATAGAATTTATTTTTTTCCTTCCCTCAATAAATACTTATTTTTAGGTGGCCTGCTTTTCTGGAATGCCTACAGTGACTGCTCTGGAGGACTGTTAAATGAGGTCAGCAGTAGATGGTGGTTTATGGAACAGTCCTGGCATGTGTAACGGAGATCAGTTTTTCTCCATAAGAGAGAGAATAAGCCAGATATTTTAATGGCTAACACCAGAACAGTAACTTGCAGATCCACACATATTCTTCTGGCCCACATCTTAACCTATGCATAACTCAAATAATTGGTCTTCATAATTTAGCAGCATTCTCAGTGAATATTACATTCTTACTACCCAATTATTTCCATAATAAAAGAACACACTTAAGACCATTCAGCTAACAAATAACGGATTTTCTGCTTTGGGGATAGCAATTCTAGCAAAAGTTAATTTTTCCCCCCAGTGTTCCCTTGTGGGTGGCCTTACAATTGTACATACCAACTTTGTTTTATACATTATACTTGTTTTATACATTATAAATTCCGCAGCACTAGAAGAATAAATTCACGCTGAAAAACAGCATGCAAAGATACAGTTGCTGCCTGCCTGATACCATGGCATTTGGACAGAGCGCCCAAGTTGCCAGGCAATTACACTGCTTCAACAGCCAAGCGTTGGAAGATTTTTCAGCGTGCAGTGGAGTTCAGAGCTCGGTGCAGCCCTGCACAGCCGGCACACACGCTCCAGCTGGCAGGTGCTGGCAGGGACACTTCCGCTGGCCTCGGGGACACGGCGAGGTGGCCGTGAGGCACATCAGAACAGAGCCTGGCCTCAGACGGGCAAACTTCTCACTCACACTCAGAGGCCTCACTTAGCAAACGGGGCAAAAGCTGCTTTCCTTCTGCATAAATATTTCACTTCTTTTAAATATTGTGGCAACTGGTCAGCGCTGGTTGTAACAATTCAAGTGCAAGAACCAGGCTTAGCGAGTATAATGAATACAGTGTGTCTACCTCATTTTTTTCCAACGAGGTTAGGCCACCACCCTTCCAGCAAGAACAAAAACAATCTAATGAAAATAGGAAAATGGGCTCCTGATATTAAACTTTTCAGAGTGGAGCTGCTTTCACTGCAGTGTTAATTCACTTGATTTAGGGTTGAAGTCTAGTCCTGCTAGATTAGCACTGCTATTTCCTCTGCTGGCTGGTTTTGGGACACATCATGCCTTGTTGCCAATGCTTGTCATTTGATCACAGCTGGTTAGTACAGCAACAGTTGAATGAATGATACATCTGTTCAAAACATTCTCTTATTCACATAATATCTAAGATATTATTTACATACGGAATGTTGTACTTGACTATTAATGACAAGGCTTTCCTTCCTTTTCTGCTCATCAGAGAACGGTGCCGGATGCAAAGCAGGGAGGCTTAAAATTATGGCAGCATGAGCTGCCCTACACTCCCTTGCTCTTTTCCTTCCATATTCTTTCCATGAAGCCCAGAGCCCTGCTCCTGTGAGGTGCTGAGCTCAGAGATGCGGCAACTTCAGGTCATGAAAGTGGATTCTTCCAGACACACTGTCACCCTAACTAATTCAATGCAATGTGTTGAACAAACTTGCCTGACTTTCACTCAAAAGGCATTTCCCACACATCTTTGTGCTCAGATGCCATGCTAATGCTATTGTCACAGAGCTGGCTGATAACAGGCTTCACACAGAAGAGAGCCAGCAGCTTGGGATGCATTATAAGAAGTTAACATATTTCTTAGCAGATACAGCTTGGACAAGCTGCATGAGACACAAAGATCTCCTATCAACAAACTGAAAAACACTTCTCACAGGCTGATTCCCCAGCATGTCTCACCTCATTCAGGTCTTAAACACATCACACTCAACTGGCCTTAAAACACCAAAAAAACCTTGAGAATGTAAGGCCAAGAAATTTCCCTTAGAAATGAAATATAACATGAGGAATACAAAAAGGTGGAGGAAAAAGATCATAAGCAAAAATGGAGAATGTGAAAACAAAGCAAAAATTTCAAAGCAGGTAAGTAAAACCTGTTGACTAGAGTTAAAGCCATGTCTTTATAATCCTCCCAGTAAAGAAGTAAGCAGATGTTTACTGAAAGGAGTGGGAATGACAGATGTAATCCTGGTATAAAATGAGGTCCTGATCCTCTAATTAATAATTCTAATTAATAATTCTTCTCTAATTGATAATTAAACACCAGTTTGGCTGTTTTACAATATATGATATTCACTCTGATCTTTGTTTTCTGTATGATCCCCAGTATATGAACAGGTGCCTAAAATAATCAGATGATCACCACAGAGAGGTACCTCTGGAGTCTGAAAACTCAGTATCAAACATATCAATGGTTACTGAGCACAAGCAGATTACTGATGATTAATCTGTGGACTAAATTAAACAAATCTGATCACACTTCAGCAGAGCTCATCTTGTTAAACCTCTTATTTCAGAAACCATAATATCATTCAGGAATGTGTAATATGGACAGCACTGATTTAAATGTTTCTTACCTGTAAGTGAATCACTGAGGTATATCTTGTATCTCAAAGAATTGCACAGCTGCACACCTACAAACTTCTTATACCAAGTCCTCTTTACATATTGTTTGCCTTTGCATTCCGAGTATGTGTCTGAATTGAATGGGATTTCAGTCCAGATAGCATCTTTCCCCACTGCAGGAGAGGAAAAAAGAGGCTGAAGTATGATGCTGCATACAAAATTACACACAACAAATGTGTTTGAATAACTAGAATTAGAAACCTTGATGAAGCAGAATGTACCATGACATCTGCATTTTGAACATGAGAAATATTTCAGGGAAGCACCAAAATATGCAGATACAATTGGTGCTGTGAACTCCTGCTGTCCTCTGGTGCAGGTTTGGAATAGGTTCATTCTAGGACCTTGTTAGGGGGCAATGCTTGTATTGGAAATACTTTCATTTACGAAGTGTGTGATACAGTGACCATTCTTCAGTGTGTTCAAGCCAAGGCAATCAACTTTCAGCAAACTGTGATCTAACAAAAACACATATAAGAACGAAGTGCCATTAATTATGTGGAGAAAAATGGTGCCACGGTGTTTGTCAAAGTGAAAGTGATGACTATTACAGATACAAAAAGCAGCCCAATTTGCTTGAATGATCTCAGCTCTTCTTCAAAAGCTCAGTCCACCTTCCATCAAGGACAGGAAGAGTCTTGTAAGTGGCCTAAAGCAGAGCTAGATCAAACCTTCTGAAGCAGAACATTTTCCTAAAACACAAAGACAGATAAATAGAACCCTCCGAGTTGCGCTCTGTTAACTCACTTAAAAAGTGTGGAGTAGCTTATTCATTTTGCAGAGCTTTCTCTGCTTTAATGACAAGGCTGAGAAAATATGAGGCTGTCCTTGGCTCATTTGTGTACATTGGTTTGAAGCCATCCCAGCTGCCATGGGAGCTCCACATCACGTTGGTTGCCTGAAGCTCAGGTAAACAAACAGCCTCGCATGAATTGCTTAGCAGGGGCATGGGTGGAAGGAGTGAAATTGTGTGTGACTGCTGTTTGACTCTGTAACTCATCCAGCTGGTGCAGCAGAGCCACCCTCCTCGTAAAATTCTGCTATCTCATTTCTGAAAAAACTGCTGATCAGATTTATATATAAAACACTTACTTGAAATTGGCTCACTCACTCTTGGGTCCGCTGGGGGAAGAAAACAAACATTCAATCAGACACTGTAAAATGAACGTTTCCAATAATTCTATGGAAAAGCATTGGTAAGTGATTTTTTACAGCTGACGTAAGCTGTAATTTGTGAAACAGAAAGAGTTTTGGAAGCAAAGTTAACTTTTGTATTAAATTAAATTAGAAGAAATATATTTCTTGTGTGAAACTCCAGTATCAATGAGCTTTTAATAATTTTACTTATGGGACAACACCAGCCAAGCAGAGCTCTAGTAAAAACAAGAGTTTAAACCTGTAAACAGCAGAACCAATTGTACTGTGCCTTATTAAAATTTCAATTGCAAAACCTAAATAATAAAAAGGGCACATCTGTAATACTTGCCACAAAAATCTTGGCTTTGAAATCCCAAATGTGAGAAATGGATGTGTGCAATTAAGAAAAAACAAAACTGCATGCTTAATTTGTCCAAACTAAATAGGAGACAGAACACAAGCCTTGTCATTCATGAAAATTGCACTTGGCACAAACTTTTTTTTTTTGCTTTTAACAATCTAGAATTACAAAGAGTGTATTCAGAGGTTTTAAATATGTGTGGCATAGTCTGCACTCCTCCCTGAGTAATCCTTTGCTCAGCCAAAACTCTCATCCATCAGTGACAGCACTAGCTGAGGACTACTAAATTATTACACCTGGCTCAAAACACAGATTGAGAAAGTCCTTTTAAAAAGGCTAAATCCATTTTGTGTTTTATGTGGTCTTTCAGTACTACCAAGCAATAAACACTTCTGCACAAAAGATGGTATCTTACTTGCCTAGAGTCAACAAGTCAGCAAGAATAGGCAAAGCAAAAGCTCTCTGATTCTCACCTCTGAGTCAGAGAGTACTTGACTTGGGAACCAACCAGTGGCCAAAACAGGCTTGTACACACCTCTTTAGGAGTTTCACTGGAGAGTAAACAGCATGGAAGGGGACCTACTGGGACTCTGACTTTTCACAACAGCTCTTTCTCAATCTTTGTTTCAGCCAAACAACATCACTGTTTACAGCAGCCTTATTGAACAGGTAGCAAAAACACCTATGAACACACCAGCCCAAAAATGTCCCTAATGTTCCCCATCCAGAAGCTGTTAATGAGTTGGATAGATGCAAAAAGGTCAGGAATATAAATCTTAAATTACTGAGCCCTCTCTAAGGATGAAGTAATTTTCTTTGCAATGAATACCAGACAATGTTCCTCTGTTTCTTTTCTCTTGCAGTCTGTGCATCTTACATCCTCACACAACACAGTTCTGGTCCCTGGCTGACTTTGCAGGCATGGTGGTAAAAAGCCAATTAGGAGACATTAAAGAGCAGGACTGACTGCACAAAATGAAGTGAGAGAGCCTTTCATGCATCCCACAGACATGGGTACTAAAGGCCTGTAGATGATGATCTGATCTTTGGAAGTTCTCACCTGATTCAGTACTGAATGTCACAACATTGCTACTTGGACCTTCGCCAAGGGGGTTCCTGGGTTTCACATGGAATTCATAACTGGGGAATAAAAGAGAAGAGATGAAAATTTTGCAAACTGAGCATTCTTGAATAGTCTGGAGCAAGCAAGCAACACACACATTGAGGCTACTCCCCTTCTGGAGAACAAAAAAGCCCAATTTCTTGCCACAAAACCACTGAGATGTTTTTTGTCCTAACTGTGTAAGATCTGAACCGAACACAAAATTAACCCGTCCTTTTGATAATTCTTTGCACACATACTATTAATATTTGATTTAATTCAACACTGACTTGTCTGTCTCCTCTCACACAGCAGTTTCATTCTGGCACAGGGAGCAAGTTCAGATGAGGTCTGAGGCAACCTGATAAGCAGAAACTGAGTAAAGGACATTGCTATTTATTTGTACTTTTTGCTTTTTTAAGAACACAAACCTCCAATTCAATGCCTGTCAGGCCCACCCACAGTGACAGACAGGACCAGTAGCAAAACACAGGGGAAGTCTTCCAGGACAGGGGCTCAGCCAAGGCAAAGATCCAATTGCTTGAATGTATGTTAATAATAAGTATATGAAGCAATGACAAGACACTGTGCAGTCTCTTTTGCATGTGTTTTTACTGATGTGACACAACACTGGCCTGTGCTGCAATTGTCTCATAATCCCTTTTCACCACTGTGTTGGGAACCAAAACCAACACAACTGAAGAAAAAATCTAAACCAGCCTCCTCTTCTTAAGCCTGCCCCACCTCTCAGTGCTTGATTGCCAGTGGAAGTGCCATGTACAGAGGGACATCTCCCATGCTCTGAGCACATGCATGGTGAATCTCTCATAACAGAGAGGGTCTCTTCATCAGTGACAGGGAGCCACAGGGCATGAGTCAAATGGACTGGAAAACAGGCCCCAAATTAGAGGCACTTTTGCTGTAAACACATAAAAAAATGTGAGTCCCAGAAGTGGGCAACTAAACCTTCAGCTCTTGACTCAAGAAGGATCATTTACCCATGATAATTTTGGTAGCTTGTGACTGTAACATAGCATTGTAACGTACTGCTGGAATCATTTCCAAACAGCAATTTTCTAAAGAAAGAAAACCCCCATACCACACTCTGCACAGTTGGAAATTTGTAAACTCCATTTGCAATTCCCCAGAAGAATAATTCAATCCAAACTTTGGATTACCTTTCATTCCTCCTTGGCTCCCGCAAAACCTGAGCTAATTAACCTCAGTGGAGTATTCATGCAGTGCCCAGCAACTGTTTTCCATCCACCATACTTCTAAGACAATATTTAAATTTAAAATTGCTTACTTAAGCATTTGACTTTATTTCTAGGGTTTTCTTTTCTTTTTGAGGGAAATACTTATATAGACTGGTATGCTGAACAGATGCATTGTGGAAGTTCATGGATATTACTAAGAGAAACATGGGCTTCTTTTGAGCTGAAAAAGTCTATTTGGAGAAATCTTGACATTTATTTAAACATGCTGTAGAGAATTTGGAACTACCCATATTACCCCATGGTAGGAGGGAGACATACTAAATAATCAGTTTAATAAATTTATAAATCTTCATTCCCAACTTCACATTGCTTAAACAAAGACATGCTTTTAAAAATATGACCTGAGCAGTTAGTATTCACATTGGCCACGTGGTACAGAAACTTCTTTGGTCAAGAAGTATTCTTATCTGGTAGGAAATGTCATAATATAGAGAACTATAGCAAAGGAGTCGGAGATTCTTTCTGAAGAACCACTGAAGCATAAACAAAGATTTCCTAATGTGTTGGGACTCTTAAAGTAATAGCTAGATGATACAATTTTAAAAATGTAGATGTTAATCCACCCCCAAAGAGAAAAGACTGCAAAGAAGTTTTCCTGCTTCCTTCACAGGGGGAACACCTGATCTAAAGCTATTATTGTAATAGTGATCATCAAGATGGAATGTTCTATTGCTTTATGGGCAGTTTATGGTTTGATCTCATGGGTGATAATTATCTGGTTTTGTCCCTTTGTATGTGTTTTGCTGATTGTTGAGCAAATATATTGTTCTCAATAGTTGCTATCTCTGCTTTGGGATGCATTAGGCAACATTCTTCATAGGAATCAGTCCTGTTCCCAAAAATCTTTAGTCTATGAACTTGGACTCATCAATTCTCTAATTCCAAAGAGACAAAAACAAGAACTGAAGGCTATTTTCCAAGCACTGTTTTTCAAATTGTGGTTTAGACATCACTAGGTTCTCTGCAAAAGACCAAACCACAGCTTGGGAAATTAGGGCAAAATTTAAATAGAGAACTAAAATCTACAGATAGGTATTTCAGCTTATGTAAACATATAAAGAAAATTGGAGAAAAGAAAAATAATAAAGAAATGTCCAAAGTTTAGCTCAGTCAATTAGGGAAGCCTCTTATTAACAATGTTAAAAAGAAATTTTAGAAACTAAAATACATGCAGTTCTACAGTTCTGTGGTATGTGTTTTTACAAGCATCACAGGCTCCTTTCCTCTGCCAATTTCAATGTTAAAACAATACCAGTGGCTTCTACAGTATAAAAATAACAACCAACCACTTTTGGAGATGAAGAGAATTAGCTAGTTGACAGAACATTGAAAAGGAGAGGAAGGAAATGTCGGACAGAGATCACAATATGACATGGTTTACTGTATTTTTAAAGCTATACTGTGGCTGTTTTTATAGGAGACAATCTAAAGTCTTCCTTTTTTGTGTAAGGTGAAAGATCTGAAAAATACAATTAAAAGTGTAAAAAAAGTGGACTATCTGCTTTGTTATGCAGTCCTATAGAAACCACAAAGAAGGGGGAAAATGCTCAGAGTTTCAAGAGGAATGTACATCAAAATTAATAGAATCCATGTCTGCTCCTTAGTTAGACTTACTTAATGAGAAACTAGAGTCTACATTCCATCTTTATATCTGCCTGCCTAATATACCAAAAACTCTGCTGCCCTGTGTAAGCAGCAATCTAATGCCTCACACCTTTAACATCTATAAGATTGCTATCCTACAAACTTTTGGAGACCAGGCTTTCCAAATCCTCCCAAACTGTGTAAGACAGTCCATTAATCTGCACAAAGTCCTTGTGCAGATTGAATGGACTTGACTTACAGTAATTACTACTTGGAGCATATTTTTCCACCACAGGAAATCGCTATACCACATGGAACTCTGGCAAATGCAGCTGCTCCTGCATTTTTCAAATCATGCAAAAGGAGAAGATTGCAGAACTGAAAATAGGCGAAGAGAGATTTTCACCATAATTGGAGAACTGGAGCAGCTGAGTACAGTCCTGGGACTTTAGGTCTGTTTCTGGGGAGATGCTGGTGTTGGATGACAATTGTGCAGGGCTCTGTGCACAGAGCTCCTCTGTGTCTGCAGAGTGTGCTTGGGTGGCAGTGTCAGCAGGAAAGAAAGGAAGAAAGAGAGAGAGAGAAAGAGAGAACAAACCGCTATGCTTGTTTGAGGAATCTTTCTCCTAACAAATTTGGAAGAAGGGCTAAGAGAAACGGGAAATGCTTATCCATGAACCCTGATATCCACAGCAATTTAGTACAATACTGTTAGTTTTTTAATAAAACAAATAGAAACCTCCAGCATTTTTCTGCCACTTTCTGAATTTTGTTGCATTGAAGCTTTCTTTACAGTTTCCATGTCTTGGCCCTTGCGGTTAACAAAAGCTAAACAGTGATAGAGGTTTTCTTGGATTTTTCCTTGTATGTGATTAGAATGTTTGGGTGCTAACTACAATAAAAAACAATATTAGATAAAGGTGATAACAGCCTTAGGACACAATCAAACCCAAAAATCCAACAGAAACCACTCAAAACATTTTTAAAAAGAAGAAAAGTATATTTGAAATCACCAAAATAATTAATGGGGAAGCAGATCAGTACCTAATGGGAAGCTATACAAAACTGTGGAATGCAAGCCTCACAGGCTTTTTGTTTCTTATTCATACTCTTTTTCTACAGTAGGCTGGTGGAACACATCCTCCAATGGCTACTCAAACTTTCCCAGAGCTATTTGTGACAAATCTTAATATCTTTCTTTACTACCTTCCTATTACTGCCATCACAAACATGCATGAGAACAGTTTTCAGCAGTCTTCAGGCTTTTTTGACGGCTTGTATAGAAATTTGGGCTGTAGAACTTTCTGGACACTATGGTCTGTGCTATGGGCTACACTGCCTTTAAACAAACCACCAGAATGAAACAGAAAATGTGCATTCAACTGAAAAAGAAGGGTTTCAAGATAGGGCAGGGATACAGAAATAAGAACTACATATTTTGGCAGAGAAACCAGCAGAAACAACAAAAAAATCTCACTGGAAAAAAAAACCCAAACAACATCTGCATTTAATATATTAGGCTAGGAAAGTCCATGAAAAAACTACAGATCAGTGAAACCATTTTTTTTCCAAGGAGAATATGCAGAGGAACACCATTATTACTACAGAAGAGATGGAATTAAGACAACAAAAACCACAGTAAGCCCATTTCTCTCAGGCCTCTCAATGTTGCATACAAGCAGCTCAAGATGGAAAACACTGAAAATTGTGGATAGTAACCTTATCTTGATTCACATATGGAAGATGTTGCTTGACTATTACCATAGGAGAAATTACTGCAATGCTTTCTTATGAAATTTTAATGTAAAACAAGGAAAGAACAGAGTCCTGGGTATGCCAGTGCTACTACCACTGGGAGTTCCAATGTGAGCAGCCTTTTAAGGAAACTCAGAAACAGAAGACTGTAAGACAACTTAGGTGGAATATTGCAGGTCTCATTCCTCAAATGGCTGCTTGGAAGTTAGACTGTAACTACTTTGACCAAAATGATCAGTCTTGCACTTTGACTCTTTTCCAAGTGGAGTAAACACTGCATTTCTCACTATAAGAATCACAGAATTTCCATGTGGAGTCAAAACTCGATGAAAAATTGTTAGTTCATACTAGTGCATTTGTTTCTTTTTTGCTAAGATAGAAATGACATTTGCATTAACACACTAAGCCATCTTTGCCTGAATTAAAGAAACCAGAGGAAAATGAGATCTACAAGACCAGAGACTCTCCCTAAGGTCCAATCTTACAACAATATGTGTTGCAAGGCAGCTGTGAAGGTGACCTGGTCCAGGCCCCTTTTCAGCTGCTTTGAGCTCAGGATTCATCAAGTACAGTAGTGGCAGACACTCACTGTTTGAACAAAAGAGTAAAGACTGAGTAACTCACTGCTGTGTTCAGAGCAACCAGGAGAAAGAAGAATAAATATTTTCATTAAAAGAATAAAGATAACAAAGACTGCAGAAATTTTGGTGTGTGCTTCAGTGGGATAATGAACAGGGTGCTGAGTGAAATGTGACCTGAACCTACTCTAAAGTCCTTGGAAATAATATAAAGGGTAACAAAAGCTAACTACAGGATAAAGTCATAATCAACACTGTGTATATGTGAATATTAGATCATAGTAGCACATCTATAAGAGAAATGTTTAAGTAGGAGACATAAAACAAAAGGAAACTTTCTTCAGGCACTGGTTATATCCAATTAACTATCTGTATAAGGAAGATGTATATTTTTACCTAGCTCACATAGCATAAAAACACTACATGCTTTGAGATATTTCAATTAAAGGTTACAGGAGCAAATCTGATGAAATTAAACAGAATTCTAGACTGAAGCCAGTCAATAGCTTACTTACAGCAAGAGTACCAATTTCAAGAACTCTGACCAACCAAATAATGGATATCAAGATTTGAACTTTCCGGGTTATTTAGACTATCAGAAATCTTCTAAAATTTGAAATCCTGCAATTACCACATTTGATAATTCTCTAGGGGAAAAAGAGGATAAAATGTTTGTCCTACAAGGAAAAATCCTTTAAATTAATGTGTGGTTGTCACCTGTGAGGCATGCCTTACTGTGGGAAAATGTCATGGATGTCTTTCCTTGGGCAAAAAACATATGGATGTCAGCATTCCAATAAAATCACATTGTACAGGCACCTCTAAAACATTTTTTAAAAGAAAAAACTCCAAAACATCCCGTTGCATTAGAAAGCAGCTGACTGTGCCCCACATTTATTTAAAGAGTCTACGTCTTCACAGTCAGAAGCTTTTCAAATCTCTATTTTACTTTCATCTCAGAGTATCAGACTTGCAGTCAAGTCACCAGGAACACATAAAGCTGGCATATATAAGACAGAAAGGCAACAAACTTCCATAATATACACAACCTGATTTGTTTAAAATTAACCTTCACAAGTTGTTGTGCATCTATGAAAGTCCATTTCCATTTCCATCTCCATATTATCATGGAATGAGTCTGCTAAAACCAAGTACTTGATAACTGTACTCAAAGTCAAAACTCTTTTTTCAGCCAGTGCATTTTTTCTGGATCTAGTCACTTTTCAGACAGCTAAATGGACACACAGAATACTACACCATAATCCTCATCCCATTTAACTTCTGTGTTTGTACTTACTGACAGCTGCAGTCTCACATGCAATTTTTGATGAGCGGCTGTAAAAGTCTCTTTGTTGCCTCCCTAACACTGTCCAAATTCCTGAAATATTTAAAGTCTGGCCATTAGTTCCTAATGTTTAAAAGCTGCCTTGTATAAAGGCCAGCTGAAAGGGAGAAGGGTGTCTGCCTTGCTGCAGAGCTTTCCAGAGGTGTAGCAGTATCACCTATTTGAAGAATGTAAAAGAGTGAAGCAAACAAACAGCATGATCTGGCCCCCAGCCTTTCCCTGCTGCTTGTCCTCCCCCTTCACACCAAAAAGTTGTTTGTCTTGCCCTCCTGTTGGTTGTGGGCAATTAACTCATTAGCTTCTGGGCGAGGCACTCCCATATCCTACCTGAAGTGCCTCAATAGGATGCTAGACCTTGGCCAGCATGAGTGCAGAACCTCTGCCAGGTGCAGCTCCCCAAGAGCCAACACCTGCACAACTACAGCCTGCTTGCTGCTACAGGGTCTTTCTGGTTTAGACTTACCCATGAAGGCTGAGATAACAGATTCACAAACATTTTTATGCCTTTTTGGGAAGTCTTTGTTTAGGTCTGTCTGCTTTAGATCTGTCCTGGACAGCCTTTAGCTCTGAATGCACTGGACCTTCAGACCAGCATGGGGGGCTCACACAAGCCTCACTGAGGGCTTCAGGAAAGCTGGAAAAAAATAGGTCTCTAATTCAGCTTGTCAGTTTCTCCAAAGTGTTCCCAGGCCAAGAGGTTCTTCCCAGTTAATTCACCTTCTGCTACTGAGCACCTCTGTTTCCATATATTGCTGGTACTTTTGAAAATACTGATCATTTGTGGGAGGGATTTCTATTTCTCTACCAAGTTTCTTTTCCAGCTCTACCTCTTCTGCAGCTTTTCCCTTTGAGGCTAGTTATGGAAAAGTTTCCTTCCCAGTCTAATGTATTCTTGATGAATTTTTAAACATATCAGGGACTCTGTTACAATGATTATTGAGCTGTGTTTAATTTCTGCTCTTCCTCCCATTTGCAGTCAGTTTTATCCACAAGCACATTTCCTTCATCTAATGAGCAGCTCCTGATAGACAGGAGACTTTTATTATGGACATGTGATGTTTCTTGGCAGAACAGATACTGTCTACATGATGCCACCTGTCTTAAACACCTTCTTGTTTTCCCTGAATTTAGCGTGCCAGCAAGCCTGGATTTAAGTGGTAACAGTGACTTGTACTTCTGCCAAAGCTCTCAAGGTGTCCTCACAATTAGGAAACACACATTTCGCTTGGAATGGGAGTTTTATAGAACAGAGACACTCTGAGGACTTTACAACCTTAAATCTGATGAGACTTGGGGGACATGCACCACTGCAATTTATATCAAAGGTTTTCAATTTTGGGCAGTGGCCCTCTGGATCCAGAAAGGCTTTCATTGTCTTTCTTTTTTGAGGTTGGGATGAATGAAAAGTGAATGGTAGCTGCTCCCTTCTCAGGAAAAGCTATACCTTTGTATCTTAGTTTATCTAAAACAGAAACACCCATTCACCAAAGCCAAATGGTCTTGCAGGAAAAACCGCAAGTGTTGCTCATTAACTTTCTGATGAAATTAGTAAACAATGTAACAAACGACAAGTGGTTCTCTTCTCTGCTCTGAATTTTACCATAAAAAGAAGAATACTTTTTAATGAGATTTGATATTTAAAGACAATCATGCTTATTTGAACTAGTTGCATGAGAGGCACACCATGAACTGGAATTCACGTGCTCATTTTTAATTTGCCAGCTCTTCTAAGACACTGAACGAAAATGATACATTCAGGACAATCGTGTTTTTCCTCTCACAGCAATTTTCTTACTTTTGACAAGTAGTCTTTCTGATACAGTAGGTCACTTCTGCAGCTTGTCCAGACCACAAATACTCTTGTAAATTTCCTGAAGATTGCTCAAATATGTTTTATCTGTTAACTTACAAGAAAGCTAAACCAAATCATACTTTTTTTTTTCTTTCAAAACAGGAGTAAAACCAATCAGGTCTTCTTTCCACAGGTATTTCCATTTGATATGGCAGACAGCTGACAGTAAATTAGTTGGATTAACTTAAAACATTATATTATTTATCTACCTTGTGTCAGGTTTTAGGTTTTCCACAGTAGAATGGGTTTGATTTGTAGTGATAATTGATTTCTCCTTTTCACCATCGCTTCCTCCATTTTCAGTTGACACAACCTCATACTCTGGAAAATTACAGCAAAGAAAAATTAGATCAAGTAACATCTCTTGCTTGAGCTTCTTAAATACAGCCAGATAGTGAATGAGTATGCAATTTTACAGGAATTCAGCCTTTCTGCCTCTTGCCAGCCTGAAGTCAATACATTATGTGGACTTTTAAATTCATTCAGGTTGGAAAAGAAAATGCAGGAAATGAATGAGCATGCAAATATGTGCATGCACACAGGCACACACCAAGAACCACGGAGTCCATCCAGTGCCTGCTTCTTACTCAGTGCACAAGGCAACAAACTGCCCTTCATTTCTGTGGCGACACAAACGAGCAAAGCATGAGCAGAATGGTCTTGGTTCCCTGACGCTTGCAGTTTTTATGAAAACAAGGAGGTGAGTGTGATCACTGTTTTGGTTGTTATTTGTCAGACCTTTCCATTATGCTTTGGTTTTGGGCATACCCAACGAAACCCCTTGTACACAGTTAAAGTCAAGCAAAGTAAACATTCAAAAAGCAAAATGATGCAACAAATTATGTTTTCTGTTTCCACCTTTCTATCTGAAACAGCACATTTATTAAAAAAAAAGAGATGTGATGCCTAAATAAGATGATTGGAAAAACATGCATAAACTACAAAAATAGAAAGAGATGACAGCAAAACTGGTTTAAGCCTGTCTAAACAAGTAGTGTCATACTGGTGCCAATATGAAGCAATCACTGTTTTCAGAAAACAGGATTCAATGCCTTCTCTTGAATTCAGAATTGATTTTGATGAGTCATTTACTGAGTTGTTAATGTTGTTCAATGTTCAATTTTTGTCAGCTAATGTTGAAATACAGAAGACGATGGAAGAATGGCCATGTTGCATGTTTACCTGTCTGTGTGCTGAGCCCTGCATGACTCACAGGCATTTATTCTTAAGACAAAGCCCTTCCTTTAGAAACGAACGAAAAAACAGATTCTTTTAACAGAGTGGGCATGTTGACCCTCTTGCAGTGAGTCATAATACTGCAAGTATTGTGCTGGCACAGTTCTACTGACTTACTAGATGGACGTAAGCTTTGATTGTGTCTGGCCCACTGAAACAACAGCCTCAAGTCAAGAAAGATGCCTAAATTATGTGTGTGCATCTAGATATACTGCTGTGTTGTTGGTACTTCTTGACTAGGTCTTACCAGATCCTGTATAGAGAGGAGCCAGAAAATTGGAGGAAATACAGAGTCATATTTCTTAAGTATCTTTTTGTGTCATCACTGACACCAATTATCCTTGTTGTGTAATCTAGCAGCATTTTCTTATCCACACTGGAGCTGACAGTAGCACAAAAATCCCCAAACCACTGGGCTCCTTTAATCCCTGGGGATTAAAGTCCCTTTAAATGACAAAAAACTACTGTGAAAGTAAATTAAGCTGGAAATACTGTATTACCACACAATGGAGGAAAGAAATCAAACCAACCAGTAACAGTGTCATTATCTGGTTTCTCCCAGTCCAATATGACAAAGGATGGACAGCCCTCTACAGTCACCACTGTGAGGTTGGTTGGAGGATTTTGTGGAGGACGAGTGGGTTCTTCCTTGCTGCCAACTTCTTCTTGAGGAAAATGCTCAAGAGAGCTTGTGATGGAACAAGGCACATCATCATCTTTCTTCATGTACTTGACATGGGGGGCTAAGAACAATATAGGAAAGAGCCTTTATTCAATAGAGTGTTTTTACAAAATGGCAGTGCTTTTCACCTGGTGCACAATATCCATCTCAGGACACCAAGCAAAAGTCTGCACAAGTGAAACACAAAGCTTTCAGAATAAACCCCATATATTCAATATTAAGCTCCTTGTTCTCATTTTTGTTTGCTTGTTTTGGATTTCGTGTTTTTGTTGTTGTTTTTTGGTTTTTGGCTTGTTTTTAAAGTTTTACTTATTGTTGTTTGACCTGGAATCTGCACTGCTTCACCCTCTTCCCACTGGCACTACTGATGAAATGATACTCTGAAGATATTAGTAGGTGATACACACTGTTCGAAAGAATTAGAATCTGTCACAAAATAAACAAATCAACTTTATTTCTTCTACAGTAAAACGAGACTATAATTCTACTTGCAGCTTTTGAGGGGTATGCTAATACAATGACATGCATTTTTGTTTCACCAGAAGGAGCAATAACTTTAGTCCAGAAAAATATGGTTTGTACTGCAGCTCTTACATCTGCCAATAAAGTGACACAGAATCAAATAAAATGTCAGTCTTTGAATAACCAAATAAGATAATTTGATGCAAGATACCTCAGACTTCATATGCCCCCTGAAATAAGAAAACCATAGCTATAAATATCCTACCTTGGTACCTTGGTTTTCCTGAAGAATCGGTTTCTGATGTAGGACTTGAGCTGAAGACTGTTGCATCAACTGCGGAAAACACAGTTATAATTTGCAATAAATACAAAGTTTCATTGTTAGAACTGCAGCATTTCACAGTTTCTTTGGCATTTTAAATAATTTTAAGAATAGATAAATGGTAGATATTTGCTGGCAGATCTGGCTCTTCATTTTAGGTATTTTTTCTGTGATGCTGTGTGAACCCTGTACTTACCTGCTAGTACAGCCAGCCACAATCAAAATTACATATTTCGTGACTGCAGCTGGATTCAATTAATGCAATATATGTAAAATACTTTTTAGAACATTGTCTTGCATTTGCTTTAATTTAATTTTTTGGTAAGGAAGAAAAAGGCCAGCCATGGAAAAAGGGTCTTTTTGCACTGTGCTGGCTATTTAGCTTGGAGACTTTTTGATGTTCCTGGGATATATAGAACTATTACATTGGCAAAGTAACTTGTCTAAAAATAACAATAAGGAAATAAAAAAAAAAAAAATTAAAAATATGTCTTCAGAGTATACAACTTCCACAAAATTTGAAGGAAATTGAAAGCAAATACACTGGTGAAGAGAAATGAGCTAAAGCAATCAGGATTCATGATACAATGTTATATTAATTAGACACTACACTGAACATGATCCAAGTACTACAGTGGACCTCAACAGATAAAACACAATACCTTCCCAACAAGCATTTATAAATAAATCTAGCATCCAGTGTGCTTTACTGGGCACTGTGGGTCACAGTGAGTTCATGATCATTGTAAGGAGACAAGAATTTAAGTGTCACTATAAATCCAGGAAAATTAGAAGCAGCATCATTCATGACAATATACCAAGAACTGCACATTTGGGCCCAAAAATTCTAAGCACATCCTCCTCCAAACCCATTACTGTATGCCACCTTGAAAAGACTTAGCTCTGAATTTGTTATCAACTCCCAGTTTCATAAAGGACAAATTACCCACTGAGCACTGTGATTGCACTACAACAATTTTTTTCAGTTAAAATGGTGGCAGTTTGATCAAATAAAGGAGGCTATCACATCTGTGATGAGGACCCTCAGTCACTGAAAAAATAATATGTTTAATTTATGTCCTAGGAAAATTGAAATATCCAGGAAAAGTACCTTATTCAGTTTTTGCACAGCTTTAAATAACCACAGAGTAGTATTGAAAGCCTACTAAGCATGTCTGGATTTCTGAAGATGGAAGCCTTGTCATGTTCTCAATTAACAAGATGAATATGAGAAGGGAGCTAGATCTCAGTCAAATCAGAAAAGCCAAAGGCATAAAAGAAATAAGAATCACCCCAGACATAATATTTTTATTTTAAATATACAATGCATCAATAAAGTTCAGGGAAGAGAAGCAAAAGAAAAATGGAAACATTAATGTTAATTACAAAAAAAAAAAAAAACAAAAAAAAAAAAAAAAAAAACAGAACTGTTTTCAACATGCTTACCGTAATACTCTGGAGTTGCAAAAGCTGTTGGTGTCTTATATAATGTTCCTGTCCTCACAGGTGGTGTTGGTCCAGCAGGCTTAGCTATAGTGATAGATGGAGGGACTTGTAGCAACAAGACATTCAGCATTTGAAGGAGTCAAACAGCTTTCTCATTTTCTAAGAGAACTCAGTTTGTGACAACTGCTTCATGCAACAAGTATTGTCATTGAAATCTTAGTAATCCCTCAGCTGGATTTAGGAAAGTTCTGAACTGTGCTAGTTGCAAACATAACCTAATCCTAAAACCCAGTAAGAAATTTCTTTGCTACTTTGAGGTTGTCTTGGAGGACCTTAGTTGGCTAGAATATAACCTGGTGTAATGCACAGAACCATCCTACACAGACTGGTAAAAGGATGCAAAATGACCAGCGCTAACATTGCTGTTCCTAGAAAAAAGGGCACGCTTGTTCCTGAGTTGCAAGGCACAATAGCTGAAGTCAGCAAGTGAAACTTGGATCCTTCCTTCAAAGATAGGTAAGATTAATTTCTGCTCTCAACACAGCACATACATTAGCGGTGCTGGAACATTTCCAACAATAAACACCAAGTCCTTAACTGTGGTCTGCATTAAGAGTTTAACCACAAAGCAGTACTGAAGCTTACACTACATGAAATTAAGATACACTTCAAATGAAAGCAAAGAAAATGCAGCCAAGTCCAGCATTTTCAACATTTATAGCACTATATCACTCAAGAAGAAAAGTTTTCTTGCTGAACTCATTTCTGTAGTAGGTTCCATAAGTCTGGACAGAAACTAACTGATAGAGGCAATATTATCACCTATAATTAAACAATTATTTAAAAGAAGTGTTTTAGTTTATGTGACATTGCTGTTATTCTTCAGCTGTTACCACCTAATAAAGAAAACAGGTTTCTAAGAGGCAAACAATCCATGGTAAAGGTCTTGATTTCTTGCATAATAGCTGTAAAAGACAAGAATTAAATTCATAAAACATGCAGATACTCCCAGATAACCATGATATGACAGTGAAATCTCAACCCTGAAGAGTCAAGAACTATATAATGTAATTACCTCCCCATCATATATGATCCAGAACAAGGCAACTGAGGGCAGAACTCTGGTGAGCCAAGTTTAAGGCAACAAAAATCCCTACTTTCCACTAATTTTCTTAATGAAGTGGAAATCTGAAAGATTCTTGCTAGAGTTCAGTTTCACAAAGTTTCTGGAACTCTCATTTCCATTTGTTTTTACCCGTTCAGGAGACTTCTAATGTCTGCATAGAAACCTTTCCATAATATCCACTGGATGAGTTAGAAAGATTCAAGTAAGGAATTAATCACAGTGTTAATGAGAAATAGGACAGAATCCTGACAGGGAAAATCCAAGAAGAACATTGAGGCAAATTTTTCCTGTTAGTACAGTGGAACTGTCTCTCTCTCCAGGGAACCAGAAGAAACAAAATTACAGTGTTTAAAACTAAGCTGGATAAAACACTAGGAAACACAGAAGAAGGAAAATCTTCTACTGTCCCCACAAGGAAGAACCAGATAATTTAACCAATTTATTCCATCTTAAAAACCTAGGAAGGTATGGTAAATGCTGACTACCACATAACCTGGCATCCACTGTCAGGAAAAAGGCTGAAATTTCAAAACACTGGTAAATTAATTAGACACTTAGTGGAGAGAATTAGTATTGACCCTAATACAAGCAAAATAAAATATATCAGGTCTAAGACTGATGATGTCTTCTGTTTTCTGGGAACTATTACTAAGGAAACACCACCCAACAACAACAAGTACAGACACAGTATTTCAATCTTGGCTCTGCTGATGAATAAATATATAGATTGTCTCATCCATCCCGGAGATACTTGCTACTCATCTGCCACACAAAATACTAAAGCATTATTTAGGTGTTTCACAGCAGATAAAGTCCCAAATGAAATAAGGAAAAAAAAAAAACAAAAAACCCCAAAAACAAACAAACAAAACAAAAAAACCCCAATCAACCAACCAAAAACAAAACAAAAAAAACCACCACCAAAAAAACCCAAAAAAAACAACAGGAAATCCAGTAAAGCCATATATTCATATATAGCTGCATATTCTAATATATAAAGACCTTTACATCTCCAAGGAACTACAGAGATCAATATCAGGAGGAAAAAAGCTGTCATGATGTTAAGCTTAAGGAGATGATAGTTTCTGGAATGGAATATGGAATAATGTTAGCCTAAGGATTCTTATATAGAATCCATTGACAGAACATCCATGTGGATACTGAATACCTGCTTCAGGATTAATTTAAAATAAAATAGGAAAGGTGGAATTTTCTATGTCCTCTTAAACCAATACTGAGAAGCCAGAATACTTTAGCACAATATTCAAGGTAAACTCTGCACATGAAACAACTTAGCTTGCTCTACCTCCCAGTGCAGTTAGTTGTCTAGGTGACTATTAGCTCATTTTTTGCAGTGGTTAAAATTCCATAACAAATAACCAGCTAGGACTAGGCACTGAAGCACAGTAGTCAACACCTAACATACAACATGCACATTAAATAGCAAAAAATGATATTAGTAGACATGACATAGTCTCGAGGTTGATCTAAAAGGATGACTTGGAGTGTGTTATTTTGCTTTCAGCTTCCTTACTAGGTGTGATTTTGATATAACTTGGTTAGGGAAAAAAAAAGAAACAAGGTTTTTGTAAGAAGACAAAAAACTACAAGGCCTGTATGTTCCAAAAGATGAGTTTCTATAGATACCACAGATCAAAGAAATCTATGCTATAGAATTCTCCTATACCCTGCTAGTCAGTATTATCTCACACACAATAAAATGTTTATGCTGAAAAGGCTGAAATACCTGGACTCCCTGGTTTACCAGTCACGGCGTTAGGAGGCAGAGGTTTTCTTCTCATTTGTGTAGGTCTGGCAGGAGGTATAGGAGGGTACTGAGGGCCAGGTGGTATAGTCACTGAATGACATTACAAGACAGCATTATTAATTATTTAACCTCAAATTCCATAAAATCAGAAACACACTACAACTTGTATTCTGACTTCTCAAGCAATGTTTCATGTCTGATTTAAAATCAAAAGTGGAGAGGTGAGATTAGGAGAAAATCTGAGTTGTATTTTCAGTCTTAAATCTCTGAGAACTGTGTGCCATAAAGTTTTAAACAAAGTTTACACTGAAAAAATGTAGTTCCTTTGAGATTTTGCACAAGTGTTTCAGTGATTCACTTTCTGTGTAGTTACTAATTTTTGTCAACAGTAATTTTTTGGCATTCAAATGGATACATCTTCACACAACAAACACCACCTCAATGTGCTAGGAAACATCTTAAGTATCCTACTCACAAAATTTCTGACCTCTTGTCCTTTCTGACTAATACAACTGGCCACCCTCAGCTTGAAGCAAAATATGTAAGAAAATGAAATTATCATTAGGAACACTTTATTCTATGTCATTCAAAACTGAAAAAAGTTGCCTGATACAGTGACATGGCTAAAGACAATTACTGTTGTCAAAATTTCTGAAGCACCCAACTTGGTTATTTCAATGTGCAGCTCCAGCCAGTACCCATTACATTTCTCTAATAATTTCTTTTGACAGTGAGGTCTAAAAGGAAAACCCAAGCCCCTTAATTCATACTTACAAATAATTTTACTGTAATTTCCAGACAATTATGAAGGATTTTATTATGCAAAGGAAAGGCAAAGGAAAAAATTTTTGTTCCACTATTCACCTTTGCCCTTCTTTCCTTAAGAAAATCCAGGAGATATGTGAAACACATTTATGTAACAAAAGCCTTTTTGTACCTAAAAGGAGAAAATGCTCAAGAGTAGTATAATTCTCATAAGGCTGCCAATGTCAACAACCATGCAAGTTGCCTGATACTGAATTCCTGGCTCCATAAGGTACCTCAGGTCCTGTGTGTCAGACCTTAGTTTACCCTATAAATAGAGAGACTGTGGGCGAGAAAGGAGCAGATCCAAAGACTCATTTAGGAGAGCTTTTTTGGAAATACTTACAATATACAACCAGGCATATCTCCATCTCTCTCTCTTCCTTTTTCCTTTTAGGACTCTTGTAGTCACTTATGAAACAGCTGATTTATTTTTTTTTAAATCACTCAGATCAAGACAGAAAATAATGGTCTATCTAATTTAGGAGGATGTCATGGTTTTGAAAATAGCATTTCTAGGTTTCATAGTAATTTTTAATTTCCAAATGGAGATTAAAAAAATATGCTTAAGGCCAGAAAAAATATAGTAAATTTTTGTATATATGTCATCATACCCTAGATATTACTATATGGTAGTAGTCATTATTACCTTTCCCCCTGCCTATAATTAGAGAAGGTAGAATTGTCCAAGATATTTATGAAGTAAAAATGTGCAAGTATTGATTGACTTGCCAGTGGTTTCTATCACATTTTCTGAGCAGCACAACTACAACAGTTGCAGGCAAACTAAAACATCGCATTCAGACTACTGGATCACAATTGAATCTACTGTACTGTACTCTGGAAAAACAAGAATTCCTACTTTTCCCTTCTGCTACTTCTGACAATGATTTGGGTGCTGGTTGATGATGCTACCAAATCTAATTACCAGTGTGTGGAGACTGAACTTGTAAACTAGGATGCACAATAGAACTTAGGGATTTTGTGACTGTAGATTCTTGTAAGGACAACAACCTGGTGAAATGTTCTTATTTAAATAATCTCTAGGCTTCTTTCTGAACGGCGAGTCCTTAACTCAGACACTCTTGATGAAAGAGAAGGACGAGCAGCCTCTTAGGGCAGACATCTTTACTGGGGACACAACAGAGGGAATGAGTGCCCCCTCAGCTATTCTGTGGGTAATACCAAGCTGGTCGTGCAGTGGACACACTGGAGGGAAGGATCCCATCCAGACAACCCTGGCAGGTTGAGCAGTGGCCAATGCAAACCTCCTGAAGTCCATCATGGCCAAGCACAAAATCCATCTCCTGGACTGGGTGCAATCACCAGTCTCAGTGCTGGCTAGATGAGAGATTAAAAACAGCCCTGCTCTGCAGATATGGACTTGAGGATACTGGTGGATGAAAAGCCAGAGGCAAACCAGCAATGTGGGCTCTTAGCCCAGGAGGCCATTTGTACCCTGGGCTGCACCAAAAGGAGTGTGGCCAGAAAGGTGAGGGAGGTGTTTCCATTCCTCTGCTCTTGTGAGGTCCCACCTGCAGTGCTGCATCCAGCTCTGGGGTCTCCAGTAAAACAATAACATGGGCCTGTGAGGGCAAGTCCATGGAAGGGCCACAAAAGCCATCAGAGGGCTGGAGCTCTTCTGCTATGAAGAAACTCAGAGAGTTGGGGTTGCTTAATGAGGAGAAGAGAAGGCTCCAGAGAGACTTTAGTGCAACCTGCACTGCTTAAAGAGGGCTTGTGAGAGAAATGGAGAAAGGGTTTCTAACAGGGCCTGCAGTAGTAGGACAAGGAGAGACAGCTTTAAACTGTTTAAAGGGCAGATTTATTAGATATTAATATATACTGGAAGAGAGTTGGTTTAGATTAGCTATTAGGAAGAAATTCTTTACTGTGAAGGTGGTGAGGCACTGGAATAGATTGCCCAGAGAAATTGCGGATGCCCCATCCTTGGCACTGTTCAAGGCCAGGTTGGATGGGACTTGGAGCAGCCTGGTTTGGTGGAAGGGGTCCCTCCCAAGACAGGTGGGGTCTTTAAATGTTCTTTGATCTTTTTCTTTGATGAATTCTACGGTTCCATGAATTTTGATACACATTCTAAGGCCACATGAAGAGAGCTGAGATTGCAGCTATACAAGAAAATAATGAAACAGTAGTAGCTAATTTTACAACCACACCCAACTGCCTTTTATGACTACAGTTCAAGGTGTTGACTGACCTCAAAGCTCTAAAAGCTTAACTTTAGACATCAAATGTCATAAAACAAATAAAAGTTGGTCTTAATGTTCCCTCAAATCTATGTGCATAAAAAAACCTTCAAGTCTCTGCAAATCACAAGTTGGATTTACTTAAGGAAACACCACTGCCTGACATTCAGTAACAAAAAGTGCAGAGTATCATCCTTGTTTTGAGTTTACACTTTGCCTTCAGCTGCTACTAATAGTACATCACGCTAGATTTAATCTTTGCAAAGTACAGTGGTCAGACTGAATAAACTAAAAAAGCATGAAACATCAGAACCTGGCCATCAAGATAGGCTCTTATCTTTGTAGAGGTAAATTAGGTGCAAAGGAAATCCAACAGGGATTAGGAACACACAGCAGTTTATAAAACAGTATTTTAAAATCCAGTAACATGTTCTCAAAGAAGAAGCTACCTAAAATGAACATCTGCAGCTGAATAATAAATAAATTTAAAAAAATTAATTTTCAGTCAGTTTCTATGTCAGAAAAAACCACAGACAAAGCAAATTTTGTGCCTGATAATGCTTATGAAACAGAGAAATTCTTTACACATCTGGGTACTCACCTGTTGCATGTATGTTTCAGTTAAAATGTTTTGATTTTTTTGAAAACATGATTGCAAGATTTGCCAGAAGAGTAAACCCTATAAATCTTGTATTATACATGTAAAAAACCCTGTAACCTGATTTACTCCACATTGTTATTTTCCTTCAAGCCTAATGTTCAAATTTTTCAACAATTCCAATATTCAATGAAAATTCCTCATACATGGGACTATGAGTTTGTTATGCTTTTACCTGATTCTCCTTTGCTATGTGAAAAATATTAGTATGAAAAAAATCAGTGCTTACAGTATTGTAGCTGTTAGATCATAAGGATACAGCTCTGGTGGTGAAAATTTCTACCATACCTAGTGACTAAGCATATGTGACTAAGGAGCGGCTATAAATTATTCTTATTTTTATCTTTTAGTAGCATCTTGAAGCCATAAGAATGTGTATTGATGAGGATGATTATGAATGATTTTTTCTTCTCAGTAGAGGTGCTTTGTGTGCAGAAAAGGCATAATTTTTTATTTTTAATAGCAACTGTTAAAAATTGCTCTATTGTTTACTTTCATTAACCTTACCAGAAATTGGCTTTTGCCAGGTGTCAACATATTCTGGAGGTCTTTTGACATCCATGTCAATTGGTCTGGCAGTAGCCTCAGGTGTATAAAGGTCATCTGTGAAAGGAAGGAAATGAAATAAGTATCTGCAGGTATACTTGTATATTGAATGTGTTCAAACTCCAGCTGACATCATGTGCAAAACCAACATGCGTCTCATCTATGTTTTTACTGATAACTTGGTGATATCCATTATCTTCTTCTTCAGCTAAGTGGAAAGTGATCAGGTTCTACAAAGTATGCAGTTTAATTTCAAACATTCCCCGAGTAAAGCATATTTGGAAAGAGAAAATTAATAAGATGAAGAGGTAACAGATGAGTTAAACCAAGATTATATGTGGAAAAATGAGTAGAGAGAACACTCTAGTTTTTCAGTGTAAAATGTCCATTGATTCTTGCAAAGGGCACAGTTCTCCTTCTCCCCATTATATGACCTCTGGTCACCCTCCATATTAAATGGTTAGAGCAATTCTGGACCAAATATATTCACCATATTTGGAGTACAGGAGACAAAGTATACACAACATCCAGTTTGTATATAAGAGAAAGTCCTACTTGAAAGTTATATAAACACATTTTTTTTAAAAAGTAAGTGGCATTAACAGACCAACACAACTCCTGGTACAGAACTTCTAGTTTTTCAGTGTAAAGAGTAAAATGTCCATTGATTCTTGCAAAGGGCACAGTTCTCCTTCTCCCCATTATATGACCTCTGGTCACCCTCCATATTAAATGGTTAGAGCAATTCTGGACCAAATATATTCACCATATTTGGAGTACAGGAGACAAAGTATACACAACATCCAGTTTGTATATAAGAGAAAGTCCTACTTGAAAGTTATATAAACACATTTTTTTTAAAAAGTAAGTGGCATTAACAGACCAACACAACTCCTGGTACAGAACAACTGTTTCACATGCTGGTATTTTTAGGATGGCCAAACTGTTAAATTAATATCCTGTCTCTACATAAAATAAGTATATTTGCTTTATAAAGACTGTATATACAGTAAAGAAAGAAGATGCATTGCAACTTCATCATGTTTGTGGGACCCCCCCCCACCTTGCTTAGTGTGTAAGACAAAAACTCCTAAAATCTGTTATATTTAAAAAAAAATAAATCTCAATATTTAATTATCAAATTCCAACCCTGTTCCAACATGATGTAACCACTTCAGCTAAAGATTTCACAGATTTATAATCTGGTTCTCAATTTGTTTTGATATTTCACTAATTTAAAAAGTAAGTGGCATTAAAAGACCAACACAACTCCTGGTACAGAACAACTGTTTCACATGCTGGTATTTTTAGGATGGCCAAACTGTTAAATTAATATCCTGTCTCTACATAAAATAAGTATATTTGCTTTATAAAGACTGTATATACAGTAAAGAAAGAAGATGCATTGCAACTTCATCATGTTTGTGGGACCCCCCCCCACCTTGCTTAGTGTGTAAGACAAAAACTCCTAAAATCTGTTATATTTAAAAAAAAATAAATCTCAATATTTAATTATCAAATTCCAACCCTGTTCCAACATGATGTAACCACTTCAGCTAAAGATTTCACAGATTTATAATCTGGTTCTCAATTTGTTTTGATATTTCACTAGTATTTTAATTGTATGAAGCAGATAATTTTTCAACTGCTTTACTATTTGACCATTTTTGTTGCGTTTTCATTACAAATCCACAATCCATACATGATAAATAATTTACTGAAGATTAAAGCAAGCTGGGAGTAAGACTTGCAGGAAGCTGGGAAATGGATGCAGGTGACCTGGTCCCTATGTAAAATATCTGAATACATCATATGGTTTTATATAACTGCAAATTGTCTTCAGGTAATTAAAAAGATTAATTAGATCTTCAGCTATACAAAGCACCAGAGTGATAATCAATGTTTCATGTGAATGATGTTCAAGGAAGAAAAGGCATGAGAAGACCAGCACCAGCCTTAAAAAATTAAAAATAATCTTGTACATCATGAGGTAGAGTTTAGTTTCTCAGCTCACCTTTAAGTGAAGATATCAACAAAATGTGGTTGCACATTGGCTAATTCACACTAAATCACCCAAGTGTATATTACAAGTCTAAATTACTTTTGCATGTTACAGTCTCTACAGAAAACCCATCTCTATTCTGCTCCTTAGAATCTAATTTAGATTCATAATCTTTCTTGAGTTATGGCAGCTGAAAATGAACAAAATATTGTCCATGTTTTAGTTGGAAGAAGTAATTTTATTTTCTTTTCAGAAACATGCATTGCTGTTCTGATATTAGTAAAGTAGTAACAAAAAATAAGTCAAAGTTTCAAACCACAATACCTTCATGCTGACAAAATCTCCTATTTTGAGTGTTTCAATATGCTTTAAAGTTACATAAAATTTTGTGTTTTCACACGAGGTAACCGCACAACCAAAGTTTTCTGTATTTGTCATAGCATTTGCCTAATGCTATGCTTAATTCTACCTAATGTAACTTGCTTATTAAAAGCACTTATCACATTCATCCAAACTTTTAATCAGAATTTAGAATAGACCTATTACTTGCATATGTCTTTGTGTCTTCTTTTAATTCTGTATTTTTTCCTGGAAACACTCATGGGGTCTGGAACATGTTAAACTAACCTCTCCATCTTTAATTGTAGGAATACTATTAGAAGGGAGGATCATTTAAAGGGAAATAATAGAAAAAGTCCCCTTGATAAAATAAACTGAAACACCTTTATACTTCAGTTCCTCTGGAACTTGGCTATACACACACAGTTTAAAAATAAAAAGAAAATAGAACTCAAAGTTAATGGTCATTTTAATGAAAACCATGTATGCCTCCCTTTCAAAAGGGAAGCAAAAATGTTGCTCAAAGTTTGTTTGCTGACATTTGTCAGAAAGCTCAGTAGATCAGAAGCAGTATTTAAATGGTTAGGATTAAATTAAAAAAACAACCCAGTAAGGTAAGTTACATACACCAACATCTGAATAAAATGGCATTGTAGAGAAAATGACTAAAACATGACAAAAAACGCAAAGGAATGCTAGTCATGAGGAAGAAATCCCTGCCTCTTTTCCACAGTCCAGTTTACCACCTGGCACTGCAGCTGGCCAGGAGGCTGAAGAGCCTGCCAGGAAACCAGCCACAGCCCCATGTGCTGGTGATGGAAAAAACAAATTCCGCGGCTCATCATCTGGGCCCTGCAGCTGCCAAGCCCTCCCTGCATGGGGTGAAACATCTTTGCACTGAGGCTAACAAACCCAGTCAGGAAGAAGAAATGGAGTACAAACAACAGCGGTGCCAGTCCAGCAAGGAATAAAAAGATCCAAACTGGTGTCCAAATAATGGAATATCCAAGAATAAGTGATGTAATGTCTAAAGGTAAGTCTGAAAACATACTGTTGCACATATAGAGCATATTCCTAACAGCTCACTTAAAAATGTTCATCATCTTAGGTCAAAAGTTCAGGATTTTGATAAGCCAACCCCAGAAAATAGTAAAAGGAACTTTTTTTTGTCTTTGCTCAGCTGGTAGGATTTGGGGTTCCAGGTTATAGGGTTCTTTCCCAAGTATTTTGCAGACTTAGGAATTCTTTTGCAATAGGTAATTCACTGTACGTTGCTTGGGATAGATACAGAAGATTTCTTTAATTGGTTACTTGAATTCCTTTTTGTGTGAATTTATTTTCGTGGGCACAGTCAGCCTTGTGTCTCAGACACTGGAGCAATACTGTGAAGTACTTGCCTTACAGAAGACTTGGGATTTCGCTTACTGATCATCAAGAAAAGTACAGACGGAAAAGTTGTGACAAGCTCCAGTCCCCTCTCAAGATGACATAAATGTATGAAATTCATTGGTGATTTATCTTACACTTCTCAGAAGAAAGGTGCAGACTCAGCAATGTGTCAATGATTTGTTGTGGCAGGGGGGTTGGGGGTACAAAGAAGTGGGCAGGAGATACCAAAGGCCTTTGGTACTTTGACTTACAGGGCTTACTTGGCAGCACACAAAATTTAGCTGAGACATCTACAGCATGTTTCTTTAACTTAGAGGAAAAATATGCTTATTTAACTTGGCAATGGAAACCACTACTGGAAGTATAATTTTTCAGAAGAATTCCAAAAGAAGGTACTTATTTACCAGTGAGTACACATAGCATGCCCAGTAATTAGTAGTTTTGTGGTGACTTCTGACACCATCTACCACAATGAAGCTCTAGTTCTTCCTGGCAACAGGCACTACAACAAAGGCTTGGAAATAATAACAAATGATGGGCACACCAAGAGGGCTACTTACAACATGATTGCTAAAAACAATACTTTGGCAACTTAAACCAACATTAAGCACATAAAACTAGTAGTAGTAGCTAGAAGTTGATACTACTGATTTACTTAGCATGTATTAATTTTTGCTGGTGTTTCAATAACCTACCAATATCTGCTAAGTTTATGCTTATAGAAGAGAAAAGCTCAATGTACTGTGTAATGTGATTGTGTATTTGTGCATAATTTCATAATGTGATCATTCCTGGAGACTTGTGTGCATTGTCCTATTCCAGTAATCAGACATTAGAAAGCTCACTTGTATAAGGTGATTTCCAGTGCAAGTTAACAACAAAAGCTTTTGACCCACAACTACTGAAATTGGGCAATTGATGCTTTAACTGGCTCTGATGTCCTGGAATTTGACGGCCTCATTTAATTTACCAGGTTATGATTATAGAAGAGAAGAGAAAAGCTCAATGTACTGTGTAATGTGATTGTGTATTTGTGCATAATTTCATAATGTGATCATTCCTGGAGACTTGTGTGCATTGTCCTATTCCAGTAATCAGACATTAGAAAGCTCACTTGTATAAGGTGATTTCCAGTGCAAGTTAACAACAAAAGCTTTTGACCCACAACTACTGAAATTGGGCAATTGATGCTTTAACTGGCTCTGATGTCCTGGAATTTGACGGCCTCATTTAATTTACCAGAAGGACTATGAAAGGTCAAAGAACGTGTAGCTCTAGCGAAGGTATTCACTCCATATGTAATACAGAAATGTATGCCATACTCTAAACAGGTTAAATTTAATTCAGTTTAAATATACAACCATCTCCGCTGAATTTTTACCATTTCTAACAACATGGTGGGCTTGTGAAAATGAACAGGAATGAGTAGCTCAAGACATTCTATGATCAGCAACAGGTATTAAATTGCCAAATACAGCAGAAAGAAACATGACACAGCCAAAATTATTTAGAATAGATGGAATATCACTCAGACTACCCTAATCTAGCTAGCATAGAAATAGTAACAGGAGCCAGCAATAATATGGGACAATAGAACTTTTTGTGGGTGGCCAGCCAAATATTTGCCTTGAATATGTACATTATTTATTTATTTATATGATTTATTATTTTAAACTTGAACTGTTGGTGAAGAATTCCAAAAATATATATTTAATTAACCAATGGCTGTATTAAAAAAAAAAATCCCCAATGCTATTTGTATTGACGTAATAAATTAATGCTCTATGAAATAAAAAATATATGGATTCATTTTGAATTAACACTGAAAATATTATGTTGATTGGATGGAAAAATCAAGTACAACTGAAAAAGGATAAATTATATTTCCTCCAAGCAGCCATATACTTTTAATAAATCTTTGTGGTTAGGGACGTTTGTTATCTGTTGGTTAAGGACTTGTAAACTGAAACTCTCACTGTCGCCTGCCATCCACCAACATGGAATTTTTTGGTGCTGAAGTATCCAAGCCTGAATACTGCACAGTCCAAATACTGCATGGGCTGAGTGTGAGTAGGTCTGATGCAAACACACCACGGGCACAGGGAGTACCTAGAGAGATACTTGGCTTTAAGGCTTCCCTACCAAGCCTCCTGACTTGGGCTCCAACAAATGGGTGATCTTTTTCAATGAAGCATTTTCCAGTACTTATTGTGGATCTGACATCTAGAAAACATTAGGAAAGAGTAGCCACACAGTAATAAATCTGTAAATTTACACAGACGAGTGCCAGTATAATTTCATAATCACCCTCAGGAATTGTATAACAAGATCAGTAGAAGCAATTACACATGGCACTCTGAGGAATTAAATCTAGAATAAAACACAGAGAGCGTTGTAAACTGAAACTCTCACTGTCGCCTGCCATCCACCAACATGGAATTTTTTGGTGCTGAAGTATCCAAGCCTGAATACTGCACAGTCCAAATACTGCATGGGCTGAGTGTGAGTAGGTCTGATGCAAACACACCACGGGCACAGGGAGTACCTAGAGAGATACTTGGCTTTAAGGCTTCCCTACCAAGCCTCCTGACTTGGGCTCCAACAAATGGGTGATCTTTTTCAATGAAGCATTTTCCAGTACTTATTGTGGATCTGACATCTAGAAAACATTAGGAAAGAGTAGCCACACAGTAATAAATCTGTAAATTTACACAGACGAGTGCCAGTATAATTTCATAATCACCCTCAGGAATTGTATAACAAGATCAGTAGAAGCAATTACACATGGCACTCTGAGGAATTAAATCTAGAATAAAACACAGAGAGATATTTTGCAGAGTTCAGGATGACATGGGGAAGCCACATTCCAGTCTTTTATTGATAAATTTAAAAAAAAACCACCCCAACCCCAGAACTCTACCTGTTGTTGGCATAATCCACTTTGGCAGTCCAGGTGCTTTTGTTCTGACTGGTGCTGGTGTGGTTTTACTAAAAGCTGTGAGAGAGTTTCAAAGCAAAAAAGGAAAAAGAAGAAAAAAGAAAGAAGTTCCATGAGAAAAATACCCAACAGACTTCTATGTGATGCCAAGAATTCCACACTAGAGAAGAAGTAACACCTGCTGTGATGACACACATAGTTTTGGTTTCATTTCTTTTTCTTTTCTTTTTTTCTGTTTTGGAAAGGCTTTACCACTAGACTTATTAATTGATTGAAAAATATCCCCTTTTTTTCCTCCCAGCAGTACTTAAAATTCAACTAAGAATAGACAAATTTAATTAACTATTTAACCTCCTCCCCATCCCAGACTGAATAAACAATTATTACCAGGTCTGGTCTGTGATTTATCCGAAGGCTGTGGTCTTGCAGAAGTCAGACGAGTTTTATGAGGTGCTAAAAGAAATAAGGTCCTGTTTCAATGTTGTGTGCAACAGAACACGGACAGCACAGAGCAATTTGCCAGACAAAAAGGTCCATGCACCAATGTGATACAGCAAAATGGACACATGAGAGCTCTATGAGTTCTACTCCAAAATGCATGTGGAAAATGCTAGTTTCTTTAGTGGCCAGATGACTCCATCATGCAGTCTGACCAGTTACATTCATATATAGGTTTAGGAAAAAGATGTAAAATATTTACAGCCAGTTACCCAACTGTATATGGATACAGAGTTAGCTCTGCAAGGTATCCATGGCCTTAAGACATTTAATTAGGTTCTGTAAAAAACAAACAAACAAAAAACCTCAAAATAAAACACCGAACTGAATCTCCCCAAACCAAAGACTTAGATAAAACTGTGAAACACTAAAATATTGCTGAGAAAACAACTGGGGGCATTCAATGCAGACACTGTGCAGGGCAGATGAAGAACAGTGTCATTAGCAAGGCTGAAATCAGAAGCCCTCAACCTTTTTTTATTATTGCCTTTCACTTGAAAAATAATTTTGATAGTCTAGATGTTATGGGATCTGTGGAAGCTGAAAGCATGAGCAGTAGTCACTGTAAATCAGCTCTTTTAAGTAGAGCTGGTTGTTTGATATTCAAGACAAACATTTGACTCATAACACTTAATCCAGCCTCTCCAAAGGATCAGAGAAAATACAGGACAGAACATATTACTCACTTTTAACATTTAGATTGGGGAAGTTATACAGATTTAGATTTTGTAAGGAAAAAGTTGGAACTCAGTTACATTGTTTGCCACACTACATACATATGAGTATCCAATATACAGCTCTAATACTGTTTAAGAACTTCATATAATCTTTGATATTTGAGGCAATACTGTGCAAATCCCATTTTCAGAGAAATAAACTAAAATATTTGATAAGGGGAAAAATAAATTTTCATATTACCTATTTGAAACAGTTAAATTAAAAAGGTAATAATGAACAGACCATTAAACATTAAACTGTGCTGATTTTACTTAAGATCCACAGACTCTCAATAAAACAACTTAAGAAAATTCAAAAAATTACCTGTATTAAACCAAGGAATTTCAGTTGCTTGACCAATTTTGGGCCTGGGTGAAATGTGGTATGTTTCATTGGGAACTGAAAATGGACATATTACTGCTTAGCAAGTGCAAATGATTTCCTTTTAAACATAAGACATCACAGGTGGAAAGGAAATTCAAACTGTCTGTGTAAATCATAAACAAAAGAGTTGGTGCTAGAAACCTGGCTGAAAATCATGCTTTTATACATGTAAAAGACTTTTCAAGTCTGGTAAGGTATATATCATTAGTAAGTCAGACAAAACCAGAAAAGATGATAGGGCAATGCCTTTTTACATGACCCCTCAGCCTCATACATGTAGTACTTATTTCTATAAAGAATCGCATGAATAAGAAAAACAGCTGGAAAATTAAAACCAGCAATATTTTGTACATGCACTGGGCTGTAACTAACAAATGAACACAACAAAGGTATATTAAGGTATTTCTGTTGATTAAAGTGTAGGTTTAGCCATATAGCAAAAGCAGAGAAAGTAAAGATTGATGAAAAATAAACTGATGTAATATTCTCATTACCCAAAGTTATTTTGGACCCATCAACAACATGAACTGTTACAAGGTTAATTGATCCCAGGTGTGTTGCCCTTGGAGCTATAAAAAATAAACCATTGTTCTGTGAGAAGGCAAATAAAAGAAGTTGGATTTCATGAAGGAGCTGTCTCCATTGTTTCCTAAAAACCTATCTGCACATCTGCTAGGACAATTTTAACAGACATGAGACAGGCACAATCTGATTAGTCTGGATGTATTTTCATGCTGACAACCAGACAGTGCAACTATTCTGCTGGGCCCCCACTAACTTCAGAACACTTGCCCTAAACCTGGAGTTCTGCCAGTCTTTGGTCTTTCTCATACTTGTTGATTAACTTACACTTCTCAAAAAAAATTCTAGAAGTTATGAGTAATGTATTTATTTTTCAGACCTCACTCAAATTTGAATGAATTAATTGAAAGGTCTCTAAGTTGCTGGATGAAAAGGACAGACTGGCAGGCAGAGGCACACACTGCATGGCTCTTTGTCTTTCAGAAATAAGGTAAAAATATGGAAGCTGGAAAATAACCTACTTATATAAGGAGCAGTGTCTAAAAAGTGTCATTTATATTTCACAGTAAACATTTGATTACAATTTTTCCTACCTATAGCTTGTTTTGCATATACACCTTTATAATCACTTAAACTTTAAATATAAATTTTATAATTATTTTAAAAAGGCAAAAAATAAGCCTCTAAATTCTCTAAATTCTGTTCTCTAAAATTCTTTCACTAAAACTAAATTTGTAGTGGTACCAAAAGATGGCACTTGTTAACTATGATATGATTGCAATTAGCTCTTATTCAACTGAGACTTAGGATCTAACTTGGTTGTTGATCAGCCTTTCAAAGCAAGGTATTTATAAAAGAAATCTTTTTTCTGGACTGTTCAGTTTGATGTTCACAGTAACATATATGTACATATGATGTATGTATAGATAGAATATAGTTCTTGAATGAATAGGGTCTCTGCTTGAAATCTCTCTGGCCATAAAAAATGGACAAGGAGAAAGAAGTGGGGGGGAAATTACTAAACTATTAATTAAGCTTTTTTCTAAGAATAAAATTTTATCAATTCAAAGGTTAGATCAGAGAGAAGGAAAGATATAAACATGTAGTCTCTCCTCACCTAACTATATTTTTCTCCAGTTACCTTCCTCCTTAGCAATTTCTATTGAAATAGATCACCTCATGGTAAAGCTCAGATATCACCATCCTTCAGTACAGATGTGCATCTCTGAATCTACCATGGTTACTGCAAAATCACTGGTATTAAAGGCACTTCTACTCTTAGCAGGTAAAATATCTTGGACTAAAACTCTGTAACCCGATTTTCAAAAGTACTTGTGAAATTGAATCAGATGTATTTAGAATAATAAAATTCCCCAAAATAAAAGAACTTTTTGAATGCAAGCACAGAAATATATTTTAATTACAATTAATTAAATTTCTCACATTTTTTAGATGGCTACTAAAGCCATTCAACTGCTTTCCATAGAAATTGATCCAATCCTTGTGCATTCACTTTGATATAATTTATTAACAACTTCTCAGCTGAACAATGATACAAAATTCTGTCTACTTATTATGCATGCCCCATGACTGCAAAACTCAGTAACAGCAGAAATATAACTAAAGCAATGCCACAGTAACACTTCTAAAGTTACAAACTGTAAATTACCAGGTTTAGTTTGTGGTACTTCTGGCCCAACAGATGTTTTGGATTTGGAAGGAATGAGCAGTGTTTCTTTTGGAGCTGAAAGAAAAGGAAAAAGATTATTATTGTATTCTTCAGGAGTCATGATCCAATGCCATACTTAGCCCACAGAAAATGCATGCCTCAAATGCCTGAAAAAAAGACAATAACAATTCCATGGCTTTCTGGAACCTGAAAGAAAATGACTAGCCAAAACACAGAAAAGTCCCAGCAGTGCGCTGTAGGATAAGTTGAGTTAGGGGCTAAAATTCTTGCTCTAAAAGAAAAATAAGGCCACTGACTTTGATTGGAGATCTGACAAATACAGACTTCTGATCAGACATAAGCTGTAGGCTATTTTTGCTTTACTTGACAAACAGAAATGAGAATCCTCTGTGCTAAGATACATGCACATGGCAGCAGAATGAAGGATAATGGACTGGTGTTATATAAATACCACATTGGAGCATGTTCTCTAGAAATTTCTCCACTGAAAAATTAGAAATACCTTCATCTTAATGTTAAGGAAACTTATTTACCCATTGTTGCCCTTGAATGACCAGTGGTAGTAGAAGATTTTGTAATAATTGGTTGTGGAGTTGTCGGATGTATTGCTGTTAAGGAGAAAATGTGAAAAATCTTAGAATACTTATCTGTAAGCTAAACAAAGCAGCATTTTCTAAAACCAAACTAAGTCCCAAAACCAAACTAATGTCCCAAACTAAGGAGTAGCAGAATATCTGCTGACAGATATAATTATCTCTCTGTTAACTTCTGCCATACATTTATGCCAAAAATGGGAAGCCACACAGCCCTCCATAACTATTTTTAAAGCTATTTTCATTTCAGTAAAGCAGACAATGTCTGTTCCTAACTGCACAAGCACATTGTAAAGAAGTTCTGTTGCATTTCAAGAAACAATTAAAAAAAATGCTTACAGAGGAGCACCCAAGATTACCAGTAATCACAGAGAGCTCAGAGACCTGCCTAGTCACTGAAATTTGTCAATACCCACATTACTACATTTCAGTCATCATTTGCTGTGTGTAATAGACAGAGGAATGCCATTATATATATTATACATATCTTACTATTATTTGTAGTGCAGTTTTGGCTTATTTTGGGTTTATCATCTGAAGTGTAATGTATTTGTTTCACCATAAAACTGGCTATGAATAATCCCATTAAGAAGCACAAAACCTGAAACTTGGGGGAAGAATGATTGAACACAAAATTAAAATAATGACTCCATTACCAGGTTTGGTGTATGGCACTCTTGGTCTTTCATTTTTGGTTTATCATCTGAAGTGTAATTAATGCATTTGTTTCACCACAAAACTGGCTATGAATAATCCCATTAAGAAGCACAAAACCTGAAACATGGGGAAAGAATGATTGACCACAAAATTAAAATAACGACTCCATTACCAGGTTTGGTGTATGGCACTCTTGGTCTTTCAGTTGTTTTTCGTTTGGTATGAATGAACTCTTTTTCAGTTGGAGCTAGAATAAAAACAAAAAAGCACCCAAAACAATAATGAAAAAAAACACATTGCTTTTCTCGGTGCACGAGGAACATAAGTACGATCTGATCTAGAATAAGGCAAATTATATATGAATAAGCTGAAAGTTGTAATTCCTGCAAAGAAAGGAAAACAAGTCAAATGGCCACTTATACAAGACTTTTACAAAAATATATACAAATTTGTAGCTTTGCATCAAGCAGACTGGAATATAGTCATTAACGTCATCATATTGTAATAGGATAAAACTAGACAGAGGTAACCTGTGTCTTCCTCATCTGCCACACATGAGTATATGAGAACAGGATTTCTTTTTCAGTGGAACATTTGTGTCAAACTTGATTTCTAAATTAAATTCTTTTGTTCTTATGTGGGAATGATTTAATATTGTTGTCTTCACACTATTCAGATAAAAGAAGTCTTGTAGATAAAAGTAGGAATCATTGTAGAAAAAGTAGGAAAAGGTTATCTTAGCACTTTTCAGTCTGTGGTCTACACCAATGTAAGAGGTCCAAAATGATCTGCCTTAGTCTGTGCAGTTTTCATCCCCCTTGCTCTGAGGAATCATTTTCTGCAGTGACTGTTACTCAGGTAGCTCAGGTGTTTACAACAGGGCACCTACTTCATAAAGCTAGATGAAAAGATACTGAATGAATACTAACCCAAGTATCACTGCATACAGAGAATATAAATTGGAATAGAAACATGTTTAAAAGCAGTTTTAATTTCCTCTTCCTCAAAAAAGAAAAGAAACATAGGTTGAAGATTGTAAAATACCTATTTATATTTTATTCTCAGAAAATCACAGTCAAGGTCTGTCTCTGAAGCTGGGGACAGAAAACTGGTTGAACAACGATTGATCAAGCAATGCTCCTGCTCCTGGATAGTGCTTGGGTTCAGCGACCCTTACTTGGTCCACATCTGACAATTAACTGAAGAAGGAAGAACACTCAGCTAAGGTTTCATATATTTAAACGCAAGTCTTTCCAACAGATCACTAGAAGAAAGCAGAGAGGATGGTTTCAAGAAGCAGAGTGGGATTTAGATGGTCACATAGCTGGTCTGGAGACTATGCCATTGTTGATATGTTAGAATTTTTTTCTGTAAAATTAAACCATGAGGAGTGAAGAAGAAGAGTATTTTGGAATGAAATTATCAAAATTCACATGAAGAATAGGGGATTAACTCAGTTGGTTAGAGCATGGTGATAATGCAAGGGTTGTGATGGACCAGTTTACGTCAGAGTTGGACTCGATGATCCTTGTGGGTCCCTTCCAACTCAGACTATACTGTGATTCTGTAAAGTATCACTATCTGCTCTTTAAATAAAGTCCTCTTTTACTGGAAAATAGATAACATCTGGAGGAATTGCATCATCCTGACTGGAAAGGCTAGAAGAGGAGGAAAAGAACCTTTGAAAGTAAATAAGCTCATGCATTCTTACCCTTATCAACACCAAAGAGCAAGAAAGTATCTACAGGTAGAGCAAAATTTCATTATTAGCTTTTAATAAAATATAATAAGCTCTCTCTTAGAAGATTTTCTCTAAAAAAGGTGTAAAATAGAATAATTAATTATGAAATAGCAGTTACCAAATATTGCCTTTGTTCTTTCAGGAATATGAGAAATCGTAGTAGCATCTCGTTCATCAAAGGTTGGAAGAATCTCTGTAGGAAAAAATGTCAATAAATTATCTGAATAATGAAAGTAATCTCCCTTTCCTCCTTTTCTCAAAAAACCTTTCAGCACTATACTGCATACAACAGGAAAGGGATGTTTTAAAACAGCAATGAACATTTACCCTCAGAAATTTTTGGTTAGGAAACAACAGTAACAAACTTACAGTGAAATAACTGATTACATTATATAGGTCAGTTGGATTTATGATGGGGAGTCACCTAAGCAAAATGTAATTGAAGGGAATCATCACTCTAACCTGGGTGAAAATGCATGTGTAATGAAAAAGCACTGCAACAGTGTTAGGAGGTTTCTCTCATAAAAGCTTCAAAAACATGGTGCAAACTATTAAAGTGTGTTGTTCAGATAGAAGCTGCAAATAACTTTTTATCCTTGATTAAAACATAGAGGTTGATATTATTTCTTCTGTTAATTTCTGCATAAAATACAAAAACTCTTGAACTGTTGACGTTTCCATCAGATTTAATTGCATCCCTGCAGAGGTTTCTTAACCTAGAATAATAACCAGGTAACAGTGGATGCACTGGTGATTATTCCCCCCATTGCCACCCCAAAAGCTATTGTTCAATTATCCACTGAAGCTTCAAAAAGACCAGATAATTTACCAGGCCTCCTGTATGGAGCATCCGGGATGGGAGTTGTTCTAGGTTTAAAAGGAATACGTTGTGGTTCTTTAACAGCTGAAAGAAAAGATCTGTTTTAAGGGTTTATATTTTGACAAAATTTTGTTTGTACTTTGACAAAGGTTTGTTGCACAGGCACTGCATGTCTCATGCTTGCAAAGAAAAAACAATCCCTGCATCACAGCCTGAAAAACTGAGTGTCAGATACATATCAAGAACATGTCAGATACATGTCAGAAATTCAAGAGAAAACAAAATCCTGAATGAAAACATGAGTGGAAAATTAATCAGGTAAGCAAAATCTGGAGTCAAGCAACAAAGTCAGAAAGAGCACAGACAAGTACAGGGAATATATTTCCGTCTGTATTTCAGAACCCATAACTGCAACACCCATGGTGTGCTGGTCTCCTACAAGTGTCAAAGGAATTACAAGGTGTGTGACAGGGAAAGAAATTTTATGTGAAGACAACAAACTAGTTAAGAATCTTTCAATACCTGCAACAGAGTAGAATGTAGTTCAATTAGCAGAAAAGAAAACAATTCAAAACCATAAACAGATTATGTGAAAAACAGATTAGTGATAAATAAACATTGGCCCAAGGAGTAGTGAAAAATAATAATGACCAGATCAAGGTAACAAATTTACCTGCTGATATCTTTTGTTGTTCAACTGTAAATGCACTAAGTGCAAAAACTCCATAAAACAATAAGATACACAGAGTTAGTGGTGGGTGTGAATTAGTGGTAAAAATACTCCCTTTGACATGACTGGTTTGTTTTCAATTTGGAACAGATTTTTTTTTTTTACCTTTTCTTTGTAAAATTAGTGAATACACACTCAAAATAATGTTTAATGGATACTCTCAGAACTGTTAGAAGTTACAGAGATTTGGCTGTTCATTAGTATGTAAATCCCTATTAAGTTTATTTTTAAGTGTGACATTCCTTTACCAGGTCACACAAACCTATCAACAGTTCCAGTTAGAGATATTTGGAGTCATACATGAAGGCCCTCAAATAGGTTTTTCCCTAAGCACCTTTTGACAGGCACAAAAAGATGCAATTTCTTCCAACTTCTAATGATGTTTGTGTGCTGTCTACCCTGCTGTACAGATTATTCATCCATGATAGATGTCGGGTGGCTGAAAAGTAGAGGGAAATACTAAAACTCAGACATTAAAAATAGAAATCAGCTCTGTTTTCCTTGAAACACCTATTTAATGACCATCAGAGAATGTATTTGTAATATGAAGAAATGTTAATCCACACTTGATTCATTGAGAAAAGACAAACCAAAAGAACCCCTGGACATTCAAGCACAACAAAACAACAATGTGTACCAGGCTTTGTGTGTGGTACATCCGGACTTGGTGATGCCCTGGGCTTGGAAGGGACTCGTCGACTTTCTTTGGGACCTGTGGAAATGAGCAAAGTTTTGAATTTATTATTGAGGATGATGATTCTTGGACTTATGAAGATGTGCAAAGTTTTGAACACATTATTGAGGATGATGATTCAACATGAGTCTTTCAATTATCCTGCTGCATCAGAAGATTCATTTTCTGCTAAGAAATTTTTTATGGATTATTTCTGTCATTTTAAAATAATCCCAAAGAGATCTTTGGGTTGGATACAGTGCCAGTGCAGAAGCTAAAGTGACTTTCACAGTGCAGTGTTAGATCAGTTTTCCACTCCTAACACCAATAACAAACACAGCTTTCTACAGAGTAAACTGCTGTAGTGCTAATACTTCCTAATTGTGCTTCACAAGTGTTTCATATTCCAACAACCTGCTGATCATTTAAATGCAATTAAATCAACTGTGCATTAAAAAAAAAAAAATCCTCAGCAAAGCAGTCAAAGCAGAAGAAACATGGAAATTTACCTCTAATTTTCAAATTGACAGAGCTATATAAACCTGCTGCTCATTTAAATGCAATTAAGTCAAAATTGCATCAAAAAAAAAAAAAATCCTCAGCAAAGCAGTCAAAGCAGAAGAAACATGGAAATTTACCTCTAATTTTCAAATTGACAGAGCTATATCCAAAGCTTTGGGAACAGCAAAGTACTGTAATTTTACACTTTTAAAGAAACAACACAAAAATACAAATATTGCTGTCACACTCCAAAGAAATCAAGATGCAGATTTTCCTGTGTGCAAGGACTAAGGATGAGTGTTGTCCCATACCTCTCCATTGTGTGTCACTGACGTTTATAAATATACAGCTAATTATGTTCAATGACAACTGTATAGCAAAATTTGATTATGGCAGCAAAGCACAGCCTAGACAATAAGTATCTCTGTATCTTCACAGATCTCATCAATTTTTAACATTTTCAAAAGGATGAAACTTTCATGCACTAAAGGGCAAAATACTGATAAGCTTACTTGCTCTAGTTGGAGGAACACGTGGACTGGGTGATGTTTTAGGTTTGGAAGGCCTGTGATATATATCTTTAGAAGCTGAAAGAAAGAAACTGGGTTAAGCATTATTAAATAATAAGTAGCTTCAAATAAAAATACACTGCTCTGCAATGGATGTAGTCCTGGAATGATTCACAATATCAAATTCAAGTGACAAAAATGCCTCTGTCAAATGGATCTGCCTCAAGCAATCATATGACCCAGAATTAATGAAGTGATTGTGTTCTGACAGTAAAATTTAGGTTTGAGTGGAACAGAATTATTTTGCAGTCCTCTATGAAGGACTGAATTTCATTTCATAAAACTGGAGGGGAAGGGGGGAAAGAGGAAGAGGAAGAGAAAGAAAGCTTTCAGGATGCAGCTCTGCCCACCCATGGTGCTCTGCACCTGCAATGGTGCCATCTTCGCAGTGTGACTGAAAGCATATAATTAGGATCCTGTTCTGATCTGGCTCTGCTTCTTACCATTACATGTTAAAGGAAATTTTCCTATCTTATGTGCATATCAACTTGAAAGAAACAAGGATTCTTCTTGATTGTTTAATAGAAAATAAGAAGACACCGAGAACCTTGACTGTTAAATTATTAAGGAACATGCAAAGAAAGATGACAATTTTTTTCAGGTCTGCTTTTAACAATTTGTGCTGAAGAAGAAAGACAATGTGACCATTCAAACAAGAAAGTATCATTACCTATTGTTGCCTTTGATTTCTCAGTTCTAAACCTAATTGTTTCCAGAACTGCATTAACAGGATGACTGAAAACCATATAATTAGGATCCTGTTCTGATCTGGCTCTGCTTCTTACCATTACATGTTAAAGGAAATTTTCCTATCTTATGTGCATAACAACTTGAAAGAAACAAGGATTCTCCTTGATTGTTTAATAGAAAATAAGAAGACACCGAGAACCTTGACTGTTAAATTATTAAGGAACATGCAAAGAAAGATGACAATTTTTTTCAGGTCTGCTTTTAACAATTTGTGCTGAAGAAGAAAGACAATGTGACCATTCAAACAAGAAAGTATCATTACCTATTGTTGCCTTTGGTTTCTCAGTTCTAAACCTAATTGTTTCCAGAACTGCATTAGCATAATAAAACAACAAAACCAAAGTATTACCAAGAACAATCACTGCCTCCACAATAATCATACCACCCCTGCTAGGGCTGATGACAGATAGTCACTCCTCCCTGAAACTCAACATTGAAGTATTGTGTTCCACAGAATTTCCTCCATTTCAAGGTAACAGCTCTAACACAGAACAGATCCCAAATATAAATCCAAATTTTTTGTAAAAGCCACAAAGAAACTCTGGGTGGGTTTTTTTTTACCTTCAGCTTTGTACACTTTCCAGACTTATTTCAAGGTTTTTTTTTTCAAGCAATAAGTGCAGACTTACTGGGGAGAAAAGGAACCTGAGCTCTCTCCCTGCCCATTTCTTCACCAACACGCCATGTACCTTGGATACCCGTACTGGGTCTGGCTGGAATGGAGGTTATTTTCTTCATAGCAACCCTGTGGTACTCTGTTTTGGATTCAGGAGCAAGGAAGTGTTGATAAAATACCAATGTTTTAGTTGTTGCTGAGTACGCCTTGCCACACCATCCAAGAATTCTTTGTTTTTCATTCTGCCCCCAGGCAAGAGGCCTGGGCTAGGAGTGGGCAGGATGCTCAGAGGACACAGTCAGGACAGCAGAACCACCCTGGCAAAAGGGATATTCCACCTCACATAAAGCCATCTTAGCAACAAAACTTTCCAAAGCACCCATTGTTCCTGGACTGACACTGCTCTGCCTGTGGGATGTGGTGTGTGGTTGCTTTGTGCCACTTGCTTTCTTCCACCTCTTTTTATCCTTCCTTATTAAACTGTCTTTATCGTGAACTATGATTTTTTTGTCCTCTTTTTTTTTTTTTTTTTCCCTTACTTCTGCTCTTCTCCCCCAAACCACTGTGTGGTAGAATGAGCAAGAGGTTAGTATGTGCTTAGCTTCCGGCCAGGGTCAACCCACTATGGAATCTCACATCATGGAAGTGTGAGTTGTGTAATTTACTTTCTCCCTCCTTAATTCTGCTAAGGTTGTATATGGGTATAACAACACATGCAGACACAATTATAGGAAGTATTACACATTCTTAAATCTCTGAACAATTTTCTCCCCCAGACCACTGTGTGGTAGAATGAGCAAGAGGTTAGTATGTGCTTAGCTTCCGGCCAGGGTCAACCCACTATGGAATCTCACATCATGGAAGTGTGAGTTGTGTAATTTACTTTCTCCCTAATTCTGCTAAGGTTTAATGCAGACACAATTATAGGAAGTATTACACATTCCTAAATCTCTGAACAACACAAGGGCTCTGGAAAAGTGAATCAACAAGTATGAATGAAAACTTGTGCCTGGAAAAGAAGAAACACGCACAATTTAAGAAATACAGAGCAGAATCCTTCCTCTGCAATGACACCCCTCATTTTCACCTTCACTTTAGCAGAACACAAGTTACATAGAAAAGACTTATTTTTACTGAGAATTGTACAGAAAACATCCATTTCTGCAGTGACTTACAATGCAATAAAGAACTGAAGATGTTTTAAACTTACCAGGTTACTTATAAATTCTACATGTCACTGGATTTTATCCCTCAAGGAATGTTCTAAAATATATGCCCAAGGAATAAATGGCACAATTTAAGAAATACAGAGCTGAATCCTTCCTCTTTGCAATGACACCCCTCATTTTCACCTTCACTTTAGCAGAACACAAGTTACATAGAAAAGACTTATTTTTACTGAGAATTGTACAGAAAACATCCATTTCTGCAGTGACTTACAATGCAATAAAGAACTGAAGATGTTTTAAACTTACCAGGTTACTTATAAATTCTACATGTCACTGGATTTTATCCCTCAAGGAATGTTCTAAAATATATGCCCAAGGAATAAATACAAATCTGAAGCTCCAGCGATCACAGAAGAATCCATAAGACACATGTCAGTATGAAAAGGTAAAAAAATAAAGAACTTACCAGGTCTTGTTCGTGGCACCTCTGGGCTTGGTGATGTTCTAGGTTTGGAAGGAACATACTGTGGTACTCTAGGAACTAAAAAAATAGCAAATATTAGAATTTTTGGGAACTGATACTGACAGAAAGAATAACATTAAAGAAGAACACATGCCTTTGGGACCCTTTGGAATCACAAAAATTTGAGTAATGGAGAAATATGAACACTTGGAACATAAACGCCAGTGCTGATGGAAAACCTCTGTGACAGGACAATCTAAAACAAGGCCAGCATCATTACACAGTATAAAAGTGAAGCAGGACATGATGGAAATGGAGCATAGAGACAGCAGTCAAAGGTAGGTTGTGGTGCTTCCATCCCCTTTGCAAAACACACTTGTATGAGGAAAAAAAGAGAAAAAGATGATGATGAATTGTTAGTGAAAAACCACCAAACCCCCCCTTACAGGATGAACTTTAATAGTAAAAATTATGAGAGTGGAGTGCAATGAAACAGTGTTGTGATGGTCAGTGAGAAAAAAGCTAAAAGTGATGGTTCCCAGGTGATTTACCCTGTAGGTAAAACTGTTACCTATTGTTGGTTTTAGTTGATCAGTTCTAAGTGTTATAGATTCCAGGACTGTATCAGAAACAAAACAGAAAATACGTTTTGAAAGTTGAAAATTTACAATTAGCAGCACTTTTTGAATCACGTACTTTGTATACTGCCTCATACAGAAACAGTTGTATTAAAAGAAATATCTGAGAAAGCAGTGTGATCTCCAACATAGCGTGAGCTTTGTTCTCCCATAGACTTCAATGAAATATCCAAATATCATCATTCTCTTATTCAGAAAATGGCTTTTTAGAGACACAAATCTCTTCCCATGGTGATGAGTTTCAAACTCCGTATACACGACTGGAATCAGGCAGTACTTACTTGTGTACTGAACACTATTATTAAAGAGCATTACATGGTGCATTGCATTGCACAGTTATATAATTCAGCTCTAAACTGGAATGGATTTGGAGTCCATTGGTTTAGAGTCATAAGGATGTGAAATTGATGTGTCAATTCTTATGTATGGATTACAATTCAAAAAAAAGAAGAAATGTCTTTGGATATTTTAAGACAATTACAAGATGAGTGGATGATGCTGTAGAAAATATTCTGTATATTACAGATTCTTGAAAAAACAGTGAGTTGTAGGGGCTTTTGTTTTTGTTTGTTTGTTAGATTGTTTTAAACACAGAACAATACAAGCTCATAACATTTGTGTGACAAAACCATAAACCATTTCTGAGAAGGCCAGACTACCATAACAATGAAAAATGCATACAAAGGTAAAAACTGAGTGTATGAGAAGTTGCATCTTAAGGTGTAACTTGGAAACAATGTTTTATAATCAGATGCCATGGTTAAAAATTTAGGAGAAGACAAAGATTTTGACTGCTACATGAGGAAATCACATCTAATAGATAACATCAGAATTAAAAAATATTGCTCTATGTCTGCAATTTAAAGGTTTTCAAGAAAGCGTTTATCCTTAAATTTTTCACATTTACCAAAGGATAACATATGTTGATATTTGAGACCATTGCAATTTTCTATTGCTATTACCAACTGGAGACCATGGGACAGAAAGTAATTTTTTTCTGTCTACCACTAAATTCAACTGCTCTCACATTTAATGACATAAAAATCCAGTATTTTGGAATACAATGTAAAGGATCATTAATGCCAATAAATGTTTACAAGCAAATACTAGGTATGCATGTGTAACTGGGTAATTTAGTCCCTCATGCAGAAAATAATAATGATTCCAAATGAATTGATTGTGGCTTAGAAGGGAAACAGATTTATTTTAACAATGCAAAGCAATGTTGGAAAGAATTTATACCCCCCAAGTAGCGTCAGTACACACTTTAATTGCTTTGTATTTACTTCAGTTAGCAAGGTTAATCTGAGTGTAACAACACCATTCTCATCCTGTTGCCTTGAAGTAGCAGAGGTTTACTCTTTTACTCAGTGAAAAATACCTAGCAAATGTCACTACTCATGAAAGCTGCAATAAAACTGCTGAACGGCACAGAGCAGAACTCCATTCTGTTTTAACTGCCTCAGGTAACTAAACAGCTCCTTATAAACACATTTCAATCCAAAATAAACTGTACTAGAAACAATCACAAAATAGTTTACCATCTTTGGCTTGTGGAACGTGAGGTTGGGGTGAAGGTTTAGGTTTGGAAGGAACACGTTGAGTCACCTTTGGAGCTGGAAGAGAAAACGTGGGCAGTAAGTTGATTAAATTGCACAGCAGTTAGCGTCTGATACCAGCTGAACACACAAGCACAAAAACCTCACACCTGCAACTGAGAAGTAGTAGGCAAATCAGGTAATACTCTCCATGTGTTTACAATAATCTAAGCAAGAAAGTGGAATTTTAGTAATTTTTGAAGCTCAGGGTTTGTTTGTGTTTATAAAATAAAAACTGGAACAAGTGCAAATAAGCATAATTATGAGAAAGGTGATTGAGAGCTGCCAGCATAATTTATTTTTTTATAAAGGAGACATTCCAGCTGTGAAGAGAGCAATAGACCCAACTGTTTTGAATGCCAAGCAAGATAATTACCTAAAAGAAAAATGAGGTTAAATGAAACAATCCTGAGGCATAAGGTGACTACAGTGATGTTCGCTGTGATGTAAATAAAGCAAACACAACAGCTTGCCAAGGAAATATTATTACCTATGGGAGACCTCGGTGGTTCAGTTCTAAGTGTAATAGGTTCCAAGACTGCAACAGAAACATTGTGACAAAGAGAGTGAGGAACAAACACCAAAAATTTAAATACTCCAGTGGTAAGTAGAAAAGCAGGCACTAACACAACACCACAGTAATATGGATCTGCAAGCTGACTTTTAAATCATGGACAAGTACAATTCTTAATAATACAGGTAAAATAAGAAATAAGTAATTGGACAATCTTGATGGCAATAGAAGCAAAAATAGGTGGCTATAAATCAGTAAATCCAAGAACAAGCAAGAGAAGAGATTGCAGAGTTTAACTTAGAGACAGCAAGGGACTCTTGATACACAGAGTGTCAAACTGAACTCTGCTATTTCAAAGTAGTGTGCTGACTGAGACAAAATAGTTTAATTTTTTCCCTAAAGTGAGTAATCAAGCAGAGGACTAAAAAGCTGCTATTGTTAGAGCTGTATTTATCAGTCATCTGAAAAAAAGTAAGTTTGATACAGCATGTTCATTTTTTCTTAAAATTTGAATCACAAAACCAATATATCATGACCTTTTCCCGGTCACAAACTGTACCAAATAAGACAAAAAATTATGAGATGGCAGAATCTATAAAAATTACATGGCAATAAAGAAAACCTATTAAAAGAATTTTAATGCATTAATTCTTTCATCTCAAGGCAGTGACAAGTCAAGTAGCTTATAACACACAGATATACATATCTAAAGATAGAACCTGTTCTATAACCCACATTCACTTATCTCCCAAATTCTCTTATGCATCTACCCATTTTTAAAATGGGCTACACAGTCAGTAACACTATAAAACTTTGATTGCAATTGAGGGGGCTAATACTAAAGTATTTATTACATGCGTATTATCATACACAGTACAACATTCTGTAGTATTAATATTGCTGCAAATGAAGAAAAAAGCCCAAAACAACCAGTATTAACTTCTACTGACAGTGGTCAGATACTCCATAGAAATGTCAGACCAGCCACTAATTTTTCAAATGTTCTCACTACATATGCCTGGTTTTCAAAGACTTTGCCATAATTCAAGTTCATCAGTTACCTTTGGAATTCAAATTCAAAATCTTTCCCTAGAAAACACTAATTTCTATTTTCAGGTTGCGTTTGAAAATTCAGTCATTTCTTACAAAGAGAAAAACAGCTTTCAATAATAGAAAGATATTAATATTATTTGTTAGGTCTGCATACTGTCTTCTGGAGCAATATGGGTTCCTTTTGTAGAAGTATTATCTAAAAAAAAATGAATGTCTCTTCTCCCCACCTAGAGGGAAAAAAAGTTGTTTTCTTCTTTACTTTGTGTACTAATAGCAAGTCACAAAGTACATAATTTCAAAAGAAGTGCCTCATCAGACTTAGCTTGAGGTGTTTTGATCTTAGCAGATCATTTGGGCTTCATATGTGAGGAATGTGTATTTTGGATACTGGGAAAATTTGTTTTTCCCATAGTAAATCACATTCAGATTCAGCAACGAAGAAATGAAGTCTAGGGAATGATCCTCTGTCCCTATCAATGAATAAACACAGAAAAAATAATTGTACTATGTGTTTAATGCATGAAATATTGTTGGATATGAACAAAACAAGCACTGATTATCCATTTGATGGATAATCAGAGCTGGATGTTCTTGTGCAGCAAAATTAACTACTCATAATTTAGTAAAAAGCCAAAGAAAAGACTTAACAAGCAAAGCTAAGAAAAGGATGTTATGCAACATTGACCTTGAGAAATCAATGTCATTAGGGGAGTTTTGAGAGTATTTCATGGTGTAGAACTTGTTGCTATTGAAAACTACGAGTTTAAGTGAGTTACTGCTAATTGACCAAACCAAACTGATTCTATTTTATCAAATCATTTAAGTAAGGCTTAAAGATGTCCTTATCCTGTGAAGTATCATACATGTAGTCAGCTTCATCCAGGTTTTAAAGACCAAAGCTAGACTGCTGAAAACACCCTGAAGCCCTTCTCAGAATACAACCTGCCCAGCAAATGCAAACAGTAATTCAAATTTTCCTTTTAACTAGATAAAGTATTTTAGGGCTCAGTGCAAAGGAGAGCTTTGTCTGCATTAAAAAATGTATATATTAAACACATCACTTAACATATATTCCCATACTAAAAAAAGGCCATGCATTATTTTATAGACACTGTGCTCCTCATTAAAAATAAAATCATTTAGTTTGTTTTTTTTTTCTTTAAATTCAGCACAAGTTTGAATGTATTAATTGAAAAAATGCAGTATATTCCATACATTTGAGAAAATATCAAGCAATATGCCACAAAACTCCTTCTGCAGGAATTGTTTACCAGTGTGTAGTTTTACATGTCATTTTAGATTATGTTATTTCTATATTCCATAAAATCTTTATTATTGCAATAATTCTTATTCTTTCTTTTTCTAACGAAAGTGAAACGTTTGAAGTGATATTCTCTTTTAGAAGACATCTCCGTGTTAGAAACATGGAGAAATACTAAAGCAACAAGATCATACTTCCATTTGCTGGGTTTGGACCACACATGAATAAGCAAGAAGCCTCCAGGAAATGCTGTTTTCAGCTGCACATAATATGAGACCAGTGAAAAGAAGAATGACTAAGGATGACTCATAATCATTACCCTCTGCAGTCTTTGGACGTTCATATGTGTAGGGACTCCTAGAAGTGACTGACACTGGAATGGTTGCTGCTGCAATAAAGAGAATTTTTTTAAGAGAAATACAGGTGTATCTGTAGCTGTTTTTTAAGTGCTAGTAGAGCTCAGCTGCTCTTGCTTCCCAACTAAAATCCACCTCTTCAAAACTCCTCAAATGGAAACACTGACTGAATGACAAATTTACTGAAATTACACTATGTGGCTGTTGCTGCTTTTGGAAAAGAAAAAGTGCATTTATGCTACAGGAACACACTGGGTAAGGAGCTCTCTAAAGCTTCACCTCCTGTTTTACTGGATTTTTAAAATCTCTTTATGACTGTAGACCACAGAAAAGAAACAGCTCCAGAGAACTCAATTTTCTTTGTTAAATTTTTCTATTAATTTTCCTGGGTTTCTCCCATAGTGATACAAAGGATAGATATGAAAGGCTTTGGGTGTAAATAACTGTAAAGTCCCAGAAAGCAAGGCTGAAGATCCCAGCAGATTATCTAGTGCTACTGCACATTAGATAATCAAGTCAACAAGCTTCCCATCTCCATCTAGAGTACTTAATTTGGTTTGAAAGGAACAAACCCCAAACACCCTGAAAAATATAAAGAACTTTGAAGTCAAAATAGGTAATTGTTTGATAGCAGCATGACTTCACAAAGAGAATCCATTTTCATTCCTAAACACATCTACAGTCATTGAGTAATCTTTGTGCTCACCCTTTAAATTTTGCTTTGTTTACTCTGTTTTGACTCTTAGCTCCTGTCCCTCCCAACAGATTTTAATTTGGAAAGAAAAAGTGATGGATAAATACTGTATGATGGGCCTTAAACTATATCTTTGGACATACTAACAATTTGTCATGTTATAATTCACAAGCATTTTAAGACTCACAAGAAAACTTACTTAAAGGAAGTTACCGTAAAATTTTGAAATACAATAAAATCTGAGACCTAACACTTCCAAAATTCTGTCAGTTCAGATAGAAAATCACATTCTTTATTTAAAAGTCTCTATTTACCCACATGAAGGTTTATGATGGTTTATCTGTGTGGGCGGTGTTTGAATCTAAAAGAGTGAATTCAGATTTCCAAATTTTCCCTCTTTTTTTACTGACATTTTTTATAGCTTAGACAGCTTTTATGTTTGATAATATTGCCTCTATTTTAAGAAGGCAAAATACTCCAAAATGTCTTCAGGACAAATAATTTGTGCATCGAAGTAAATGCCCAGAGAAGTTGTGGAGTCTCAATCCCTGGAGATATTTAAAAACTTTTCTGTAAAGAAAGTGTGGTAGTGTATTTGTGTCACAATAGAAAATTCATTACAATTTCCTTTCCTGAAAAATGGAGGATGTTTAGAGAGAGGTATTCATGCTAACAACAGTAAAAGTGAGGACAATGGTTTGGCATAATAACATTGGCAAAAAAACCTAATTTTTTTTTATGTAGGCCACAGATTCTGTTACCCAAATGCCAAGAAAGAGAATGAAATTGTGAACTTTCACTAGAATGTACAGTTTGTTAGCTAGAGAATCTGAAAAATCATTTAAATGGTTGGGGTTTTTAAAATGAAGATTTTTTTCCACTGCCAAAAAAGGCAAATGCTTTACCAGGAACAGCACAAAAATCATATTAATAATGAGAGCCAAAATTAATTGCTTCACCCAAAGGCAGTTATTTAGCAGTAATGGCAGTAATTGATTAAATATGAATTTGGCATATATTGTTCATTACTCTGATTTACTCGTAGGGAAGGATGACAACCACTATCATGACACAAGTTTCTAATTTAAGTTGAACTTCCAGGTGATGCTGGACCACAGACAGGCTCCAGCTCTTTTACCCTTCTGGCATCTACCCAAAAGCCAGCTTGTCCCCATGCACTGCATATTTTATGGTTCAAATAATATTTTCTGAACAGGAATATAATTTGCCACATCAGAACACATGCCAGTCTCACTACCTACTTACAAGAGAATCATTACAAGTTTCATCAAGATTAAGAAGTGTGTCTTACCATTCTACCTGATTGATTCATGAGACCACTACTGGGAAAGAAAAAACCAGAGGCATGTGTACAAATATTTAAAAATGCCACTTTCTTCTTAGGCATATAGAAACTAGGCTATACAGCCTCTCAGTGTGGAAACACCAGGATAAAATCTTGATCTTGGCAGTCCCAGAATGCAAAACAAATCCATGCAACAGCTTCCATATGAGTTGTGCATGAGTTGCTGAATATAAATCTGAGTCCTGCATGTTGTTCAAAAAACAATAGGCAGGACTCGGATTTATATTCAGACACAGACATCTACAGCAGAGACAAAAATAAGGATTCTTGTAATACAATACTGGATTTCCTACACTTAAAATTATGTAGGAGCTGTTATCCACATAAAAAACTAATTATGCTCAATATTCTGACAATTGCAAGTCCTAAGTGCCTTTCCTTTAACAAGCTTCACAGGGAATAATTTGGTATGAAGAGAGTTAATTTCTTTTTATGAGCAAAAAATAATTTGCAGGGAATCTGGAAAGAATTTAATAAAATCATCTGATCTCTTCCAGCATTGAGTAATATATTCTTACAGTAAACAATTATGCAATTTCAAGCTTTCTAATTTCATTATAAACCATTTAACACTAGAAATATTTTTACAACTCTATTTATTTATTCTTCAGGTCCAGAAAATGCCAGGTGTCTTTTACTCTCTGCCATATATCATACGTGAAATTTAACATTGGTGTGAAGGTGCTATTTCATTTGGGATAATAAAATATGTCTTTACCAAATTCCAGAACAAAATTCCATTCTTATTTTCACAGTTTCAGCTAAGTCTACATATGCTCTAATGATCACTAAATCAATAAAATCTTATGGTTCTATGTAAGATGCTATAACCATCAGCAAAACAGTATAATTTTTTTCTGGACCCTATGCTGAACTAAGTTGGAAAACTTGTTATTCCAAAATGAAAAGCAGGAAAACAATTTGCTTTGATATCTGGCTGTGTGAGTTGGTGACTTGGGATACAAAAGTTAAAAGGTTTTTTGCTTTGCTTCTATTTTTTGGGGGATCCAATACCAAAATATTATTCCTCAAAGAGAAATTCCTCACCTTTCTGATGATTAAGTGCCAAACTTCACAACTGCACAGAAAAAATTCAAGCTAAAATACACTACTTCAGTGATACACTATAACAAATGTTTGCTATGGAAATAAATTACCAGGTTTAGTTCGTGGCTTTTGGGGTCTGGCAGATGGTCTAGGTTTAGATGCAGAAGTAGTGAGTTTTGCTTCTTTAGGAGCTGAAAGAAATATACTGGTTTATAAATTTATGCTTTCCACTGTATCACAAAAAAAAAAATCAAATGAGACAATGAATGGGAACAAAAGCAAATTGTAGAATCAGACATGCCAAGAAGTCTTAAAAATTTTCCAGAGAATTCACTAGTCCAGCAAAATCCCTGTTTGTCCTAAACAAAAGCAAATGGTAGAATCAGACATGCCAAGAAGTCTTCTCAAAAATTTTCCAGAGAATTCACTAGTCCAGCAAAATCCCTGTTTGTCCTTCATTGTAAAAGTGAGTAATTGCATTTAAATATGCAGTTGAAGCTTGCCATCACATCTGAATGTTCCTCTCATTAAGTCATTTTTGCAAGATACCTAAGAGGTAAAACAATAATGTTTTTTATAATTTTGAATTCCAGGTCAATTTTAAGCCATAAGACGACATATATAGACAAAATAAATCACATCTGAATGTTCCTCTCATTAAGTGAGCAAATTCATTTTTGCAAGATACGTAAGAGGTAAAACAATAATTTTTTAATAATTTTGAATTCCAGGTCAATTTTAAGCCATAAGAAGACATATATAGACAAAATATACAGAAATGTCCTCACTTTTTGGCACAGTAAAGAAATTACTGGCAAACAGCAGAAAGAATATGGAATCAATTAAAAAAATTGAACTGCTTCATAGCTGCAGTCATTGAATTCTGCTAATGGAATAGAAGTAGCTTCTATAAGTTGAATAATATAAGTAGAATAGCAGTATCATGTAAATGGTAAAAATTAAGAACAATGAGTTCTAGAAACCCTTTTCCCACCAAACATGCATGGGTTGAAACTGTAATTAGTTAATCTGCCTGACTTCAGATAAAGTGTAAACTCAGTTTCAGGCAGAGGTAAGTAACTTTGTACATTTTTAAAAAGCAGTGCTATGAGACTGCTTTCCAATAAAATGTTTCATAGCAATTGATGCAGTGCAAAAATGTTTGATGTCTACAAAAAGAGCAGAGAGGAGTGAGCCATGAACTGACTGAGAGGTGTTTTTTGAGCCAAAATGACATTCAGAAGGATTCATAAAGCAGTGGAATTAACACGTTAACCTAGTACCACAGGTATCCTTCACTGAGAGTTCTGGGATTAACATCCACAATACTACCTTTACACTTGGCAGTTCAATTGTATTTCCAATGAGTTCTCTGAATAAAGAGTGTTGGCATAGAAAAGCTCTCAGCAAATTGGAAGACAAAAGTTTTTACTGTACCATGGAACTAGCAAAACTGTGTGAAAAAATTTCCTTCTTTTTCTCCTAAGTGTAGAAAAACATTTCTGAGTGCTTATCTCCTAACCTCTTCTTTCAGAGAAATGGATTAAATACAGCAAAAACTGTGAGAAAAAGTACCAGAGTACAAACTGTGGCTTGGACTGCAGAGAAGAGTGACTAACAACTACAGAAACATGTATTACCTAGGGTTGATTTTGGTTGTTCAACAGTCTCAGAAGTTTTAGGCTCCCAAACTGGTGGTTTAGGGGCTAGAAAAGAAAAATTCAAGTGTAATCAAATCAATTATGACCAATTTGAGAATGATGAGTTAGTCAGGATGCTCACATATTGCATGGCTCCTGTCCTTTTAAGGAAGTTTTCATTAGATATTTTTAGAGAACATATCTATCTGCATACCAACTTATGAAAATGAAGTGCACAATTACCAGGTTTCATATGTTGTACTTCTGGGGTAGCAGATGGTTTCGGTTTAGAAGGAATAAGTGGTATTTCTTTTGGAGCTGAAAGAAAGAGCTCAGTTTGCAATGAAAAATTGTTTAACAAGCATTTCCCACAACAAACAGCACATGTCACATGTTTATATTGAAGACAACTTAGTATGGAATGTCAAAGCCAGCTGATGAAATTGGATTTTGAAGTGTGGAATGGAGATGATACTTAAATGCTGTACGTTGATCAGAAATAAGATTCTGTGAGCCCAAAACAATTAAAATTTCCATTTTGGAGGCTTTACATATGAGAGACAATCAGCACATGTGTGTGCATTGGGAGTAAAAGAGACAGAACACTAATAAAAAGATGGTGGTGTTGTATCATGCAAGAGACAAGTTTTATTTCACTGAGACAGTAAATCCACCCAGAAGCTTGTTCTCATACACAGGTATGTCAAGAGCAATCAGTATAACAATGATGGAAGAACAAGACTCTCTAACCAGGAAGAAGAATGATTATGCATGTGAAATGATATGTGGAAGGAATGCATTCATATGGGATGGAGTGCTCAAAACAAACACAGAGTTTTTCACTGGGTGAAAACATTACCTAATGTTACCCTTGGCCATTGAAAAGGATGGGAAGTTTTAGGTGTGAAAGATTCCAGAATGGATTCACTTGTTGCTGCTGGAAGAAATGATGACAAGTCATAAGAGAGCAAAGAGCTAATGGAAGAAACTCTTCCTTCATGAGCAAAAATAATTTTATTTTAACAAGAACAACAAATATTTCACTAATGTTTGGACATTTATCAGTTTAGTATGCATTAGGGAGAAATTCAGAACTGCACAGAGTTTCAGTGACTATAAATCAGCACATCTGTGATGTGCAAAAATTCTGGATATTTATTTCCTCCTGCCTGCTTTGCAACTGGTCTGGATCTCAACCACTGCCAAGTAAGATTTTAAGTTGAGCTTTTGAACATTTTGGGTTTTGGTCCAATACTTAAGGGAGGTGGTACCGTGTACAATGTAGATATTTAATGAAGAGGACATGTTGAACAATCAATTAGTCACACATTAAAACATATAAAATTTGGAATAGAAACCTGACAACAGATCCAGCTGTGGTTTCAGTCCAAAACCACTGAATGACTGTAACTGTTAACCAATTTCACACTGTTCAGGATGCACCGATGTTAACATTTTTAGTGATACTACAACAATAAAATGCAACCTACAGTTCACATCACAGTGTTTTCATCAGAACTACTCTATAAATACTGTTTTCTCAATTTTCTATGTGGTACATTTTTTTAACATACTGAATCATGTGACTGTGAGTTGCCATATGCATTATTACTGTGAGAAAACACCAAGTTCAACCATTAGCAGCAACGTAAATTTGAAATCAGCTGGTAGGGGCTAATCCAAATGTCCACTGAAAATAACATCAGTATATTGATTTCAGTTGAGTTTTAGAGCATGGTTTGAGCTGCTGAATTAAGAACTAGGTAGAGATTATTGTACCTGGTCCAGCTTCTGCTATTTCAGGCTTACTAGGTGCCACAGGACTTGAAAGAACAGGCTGAATACCACTGAAAACTATAAAAAAATCATGTCATGTTAGCTGTGATTATTAATTCTACACACAGCTTTTTTCATAGAAAAACAACCCAAAAATGTGATATGTTATGGCACACCCAATTTGCGCTTCACCATAAGCACACCTAGCTTCAGGAATGGAGCAGTATTGGATTAGAATGTAAACTGAAGGTAGAGCTTAAAGTGAGAACTAAAACTAAATTGACAGACAACCAAAGCTAATGCATCACATGGTCCACACAGCTTAAAGAGACTCAGAAAATACAAAGATAAAAACTTCTAACACCACAATTATAAAGTACTCAATCCCCCCTCCCCCAAAAACTATAAAAACTAAAAGCACTGCAAGTTTATTTCCATGAAGAAAAGCACCTGCCTTAGTTCTCTTCAGTGCTTTGTTTTGTGTCAATATTTTTTAGTGAATTTTGGTGTCATAAAATCTGTTATACACACATAAAAACAAGAGTAAAGCTAAAAAATTGCTAAACAGCGAAGAAAAAAAACCACACAAAAAACCCAAAAGTAAGAAAGGAGCTTCCTATTTCCTATGCTGGCAAGACAATATTTGGTATAACAACATGTGTTCTAATTGAGCATATAACAATTAAGCATATAAGAAAGCCACAAGTAATTTAAGAATTCTTATTAAGATTTATAGTAGTATTGAACCTAGTTTAGTAGTATTAAACCAGGTTTACTTCATGTAAGTATATCTCAAAATAGCCCTAGAAGCTTTTTGAGAAATGAATGTAAGATCAGAACCCCAAAAGTAAGAAAGGAGCTTCCTATTTCCTATGCTGGCAAGACAATATTTGGTATAACAACATGTGTTCTAATTGAGCATATAACAATTAAGCATATAAGAAAGCCACAAGTAATTTAAGAATTCTTATTAAGATTTATAGTAGTATTGAACCTAGTTTAGTAGTATTAAACCAGGTTTACTTCATGTAAGTATATCTCAAAATAGCCCTAGAAGCTTTTTGAGAAATGAATGTAAGATCAGAAACACTACTAGGTGAGTTTCTCGGCAGAAAGCGCAAGTTGTCATGTGAAAAAGGATGCTGTCAGTGATCATGACTCGCACAGAAGACAACATGGAAGATGATGAAAATATCTAGGATTAATAACATTTCAGAAATGGCTGTCTAAACATCAAAAGGGGTTTAACTGAAAAGCTAATGCATTACTATTACCCGCAGTTGTTGTTAGCACGTGAGGTGTTCTGGAAAATGGAGGCATAGGTTTTTCCAGGTCAGCTGAACTTGTAACTGTGGAAAAATGTAAATATCCCTGAGACAGATGCATATTGATGCAGACATAGCAAAGGAAGCAAAAATCAGAAAAAGAAAGATTGCTGTACGTTGCTTCGCAAGATGCCAACACCACTACAACAGAGTTTCACACATTTCCAACTTAAAAAGAAAGTAACAAAACTTCAAAGTTTTGTTAATAATAGACACACCCTGACAGGAAATGCAGTCCTGTTAAATCAGATTTATCAACAAGAATCAATTGATCTGTACCAATGTAACATGAAAAAAGCTGTGCTTTTGACTTCACCTGCACCCATAGAAAGAGACCTATATAATTTAAATGCATGCAAATATGAATTTGTACAACCAGGTATTTCTATTGTCAAAGCTTTATGTGTTTCAATATAACAAAAGCCAGTATTTTGACTAATGGGTTTTAATGTACTACACATCATGCAATTTGTCATTTGTGGTATTTTACCTAATTGACATAATACAAATTAACAAAACTTCTGTGATAGATAGAAGAGAAAGACTGAGGCAGAAATTCTAACACAAAAGTGTTGAAATACTGACTGCCAGGTTTAGGATAATTTTCCTTCTTATCTCTTGCACATTCCTACCTTTGTAATAAATGCAAATATGTTCTTGCATACCTATGGCCCCAGCAATAAAAGTTTCAAGGTGCAACAGCAACATAACCTGAAGAAAAGTCTTATGAATAGAGAAAGCTGCAAAATTATGTGTATGTTATGGCTAACAGAAAATCCCCCATGGTGAAATGTCCCAGTCAGGAGCATATGTTTATAATTGATAATGAACCCATCTAGCTATTGGTCCTACTGGTCCTAATCTATTCAACATCTTAAAATCACATAAAAATATTAATTTCTGTGATTTCATTTGTATCTGATCCCATAACACAAAATATCACCATGTAATTATAGAGCTTATCAGACACTGCAAACAAAATTCTTCAGACACCAAGCAATCAGAGCAAACAGCTTGTAACTGTAACATCCTTGATGTAAAACCAAACACTAAGCAATGGAAATACTGTGAATACAATTTACCAGTCTCTGTTTTTGATATTTCTGCAGATGCAGAAGTTTGGGACAGGAAACTAATGTGATTAGAGTCCAGTGAAGCTGGAAAAAGAAAACCAAAAGAAAACATTTTTTGGCATCATCTGAACATATAGACTGAACAGGTTTCAAGACGTGACTAAGAAACTAGGGATCTGGGAAAGGAAAACATCTCAAATGAACATGCCATGGATTTCCTAATGTAAATGTGTGAAAATGCACTGATGATGAAAATGATGAGGAAGCTGCTAGAAGAAATATGAAGAAGAGATCACATTACAAGAGAAGTGGAATTGCCATAGCCAAAGCCGGAAATAAATGTGGTTTTGCATGTATGGCCCCTTTTATCTCTATAATTAATCTTTCCTGAAATCTAGGCCCAAGAGAAGGAGCAGGGTGGCTAAAAGCACAACAATATCTCTTGGGACAATACCCATCTTGCATCACTACCGGAGCTGCAAGAAATATTACTGCCACAGGCGCTGGTGTCTCTAACTGTGAAGAAACATCTTATGATTCACCAAATGTTGAAATGAGGTTTTGGTCTTAAAACCCTAAAATGGCCTTAAAAAGTAACAGCACAGCAGAGCATTCCTAGTTCCAGGTGATGGCAATGGAAAGGCATGTGTTCTTATGCCAGCCTAGCTGGATTTGCCTCTTAGGAACGCTGTCATGTTTGAATGCACCAGAGAAAGCAAGACCCACCACCCAAACACAAAGAAGCAGGGCAATGCAGCTGAGGGCCAGGGGCAACAATATGGTCCCTCTGCAGAATGTCACGTGCTTCCTGCAGAAAATGCTCATCGGCCATGGAAAAAGCGTGGGATCAAACAAGAGAATGGCAGAACCGGTGTGGCGAGTGCTTCGGCAAGCCAAGCTGCACCAAGAGGATTCCATCCTCCCCATGGAAGGTGACAAAGGATGCCAGGTGGTTTGGGGTGGGAGGTGTGATGGGCAGTGCAAGAGATGGCAGACAATGGGAAAAGAAGGCTGTTGCTAGTTACCCATCACAGTTCCTGGAGTTGCCAGGGAGGAAGGGGTGGTGGACTTCGGCCTCGGTCTTCGAGCGGCTAAGATCAAACACAGAAACTGCCTTCAGCTCCTCACACAGGCTGCTGTCACACAGGTCACATCAAGACACAGCTATAAAGAAGGGCACGTGGCCCTGCTTGGGCCAGGCTACCGTGTCACAGCTTCACTGCCCAGGGTGGTGGCACAATGCTGCCTTTCAAATGGCATTGGCAGCCAAGGCATGAGAGCAAACCTGGAAATGCTTCCCCAGAGCATTTACAGGTAGAATGATTTTTAGCTCCAGCCACACCACTGAGCCACTCTTTGGGACACCAGCACATCTGCAGAGGCTCATTGCTGCAGAGAAGAGCATGGCCAAAGTAAGCAGTGAAGGAGGGAATCGCTGGCTATTTACCCTTCCTTGTGGTTTCCCGTGAAGCAGACGTGGTCCATTCCAGATCTGGTCTCTTGGTTGCTATGGTCAGACACAGAAATGATCTTGAGATATGCACTCAGCCTTGCCACAGCAGCACAAGCAGCACCAGCAGTACAACACCCTAAAAGTCTGTATCTAGGGCCACACCTGCCCTTTCCTGGCAGCACCCTGTGACTCAAACCCACAGTCAAGTGTCTTGTGGTGGTTGCAACTAACACAATACTCCCTGGCTTTACTCAGTGGCTAAATGGCTCTACATCAGCAGAAAAATGCCAGAATATCCAATTCACCAAACCACTCCTTACACATCCTTGGAAAATCCAAAACCAGTAGGAAATGCAGAGAGAGCAGGACACAAGACTTATGTTAGAATTCAAAATTCAGGATGACAAGTGCTGGGTACGTCTCCCATGCAAGCAGCTGCAAATGCTAATTACTAATTTTTCTAGCATGAAGAAATAAACTGCACATTGTGCTATCAATATTCAGTCATAACTCCAACCTTTCTTAAAAGTTCAATAATTTATGCAAGTATTTTCTTACTGTTTTCACTATTACTATTTTTACATATAACAGAATATGTAAGCTCTCATCATTCACATGAAAGGTGTTGCAATTCCCTATGAAATATAATTCCCCTTCTTCCTTACAGTTAGTTTATAAGCCATTCATTAACATGCCCATACATCAAGCTTGAGCTTTAGTCCTCATTCAAAAAGATTAAAAAAAAGTTCTGTATGCTAACAAATCCACGTTAGTAAGAAGACACAAAATGATGTTTCTGCCATATTGGAATATTTCATTCTAGAAAGAATTTTCAAAATAACAACTGCATATAGAGTCACACAGGAATTCTGTGACAAATTCTTTTTGTCACTGGTTCCTTCAAAACTGACTTTTCAAGTAATGGAAAAAAACATGTTCAAACATCATAACCATGTCATTAGTATGGCAAGTGTTTTACAGTGCTTTAACAAACCACAGATATTGCTCAAAGCAAGTGAAAATTATGTCAAATGACATCAAGGAAAAACAAAAAAATTAAAATATGTTTTTACCCTCCACTGTTCCTTGGCTTGCAAGGTAAGGAGAAGAAGATTTCGGCTTTGGTCTCTGAGTAACTAAGATTAAACCAGAAAACTTTCTTCACAAATAGTGACAAACTTCTTTTTTTTAAAGATGGATCAGTACAGAACTGTGTGATTAAAGCCCATATTAAACTCTTTTACATAACTATTTGCATTCATTACAAGGTTATTCCACTTCAAAATCAGGAGTTAGTGTAGTATAAAGACAGTTAATCTTTTAGTGAACTAAGCCTATAGAGCAGAAAATTAGAAAGAGTAATTGAGAAGTCTAATGATTAAGTACCTCATCATTTACGTAAATGACTGATAATCTTGCTGAAATGTTTGGCATTGCTGCTATCAGTAAAAGAACTGAAATGTTTGGACTAAATTTTAAAATACAGCTTTTCTTATTTAAGTATTGTGAAATGATAGATAGAAATTAGGATTACTCTTTACCCATCACTGTCTTCGTGGTTTGCAGGAAAGGGAAAGATGTGGGCTCCAGAACTGGTCTCGGAAGAACTAAGATTAGAGATGGAAACTATCTTGAGATGTTATGGAAGTGTCTCGATGCATATGAAAGCATTACTTCAATCACACCCAAGTAAATCAATTGTGGTTTCTCATGTATGCTCTTTCTACCAAATAAACCCTACATCAGCTTATAGTCACTTGATATTACCACAAACCACCAGCCACTGGCTAAACACTGCTCCTATTGCACAATAGTGGCAGACATGATGCTCCAGAGCTGCCTTTTAATTGCAGTAAATGACACATTCCAAAATCCTTTTTCAGGCACCAAATATTTTCCAACCATAAATTTCAAACTAGTCAATGAATATATAGCCAGAAGTTTTGTTTGCATCAAAGATACTGCCCACCTTATATTTTATCTGAAAAACTATTAACTAGCTCTGATTATTATATACTTCACCATACTTAAAAATGAACTTTGATCTAAACTAATACATGCCTGGAAAAAAAAAAAAGAAGAAGAGAAACAATAGGTTCTCCACTAAAAAATGCATACAAGTCAACTTAATAAGGATTTCCATGAAGAGTTGGGCACTCTGGTAGAAGAAAACCAACTTGTGCCTTCTTAACCAAAATCTGTAAGAATCTCTAATAGACTAGCTTGATTAATTTACAAGTTTTCATTCTGAACAAGTATGAAGTACTATGAAGCACTTTGGACAGACAGAATTTCATATAGACACTGGAAGACAAGGATAAGTTACAAGAAGAGTCACATTTACTACACAGTAATTAGTGAACAGATATGGAAATGACAACAGTGAATGCAAAGATCACAATAAAAAAATCCCTTCTTTTGTCTAAGAATGTATTATTGAAAAGGAAAAAAGTTTCTCATAAAAGCATAGAACAGATTCCTAACACAAACAGATGATAGTCAAACAGTTTATCTCAGAAAATGGAATCAAAGTTTGGACACCGTCATCACTCTTGCAAGAACACAGTACAGAAAAATTAGAAGAGCACAAATCTGATGGACCAACAAAGAGAACATTTCAAACAAGGAGTTCTTGTTCTGAAAATTCTGTTAGACTCCTCCAGTCTTAGCACATAAAATCTTTAAAAATTGCATCAAAAGTTTGTAGGGTAAATTGACAGGGGAGTGGATTGAAGTAGTTTCAGAAATGTATCCCTTTTCATCTGACTACGCACTTCTCTGCTACACAGGGCTACTTACTGGCCTCTCCATCTTAATTTTGTTGCTGAAAAATGGAAATAATAAGAGCTTCACAAGTACATTTTCTGAATATTTTCTCCTTGCCTACCACTGGTTTAAAGAAGTGATCAACATAACTGTTATGATGGCAAATATAAAAATACCTATTTGTTAATGTACAGGGGGATACTATAGAACATTTACAAATATCTGTAGAGATCTGCAGTAGAACACAAGGTTCAGAGTGTACCAAGAGAAAAAAAAGGAGAGTTCCTGTGTTCAGCATTAAATTTGTCCTATAGAGGGAGAAAATATGAAAGAAATTGACTGGACCCTTTAGGACACATGAGGAAAGCTGGCAAACCTTTATCTCCCCAAATAAAAGGTGTTTTTTTTTCCCTAGATGTAGCTAGACTATCAAGTCTCAAGCTGTTTAAAAAAGCCCCTCACCCTGAACTTGGGTTTGCAATGCTCACTGTGCTACCTCTAATCTCCCTGAAAGGATTTTTGTCATAGCTGGAGAGTTCTCCTTAATGACAAATATCCTTGAATATTCTATGCAGCTTCAGGATTTACAACCCCAACAACCATGAAGCTGTTTTAAAACTGCAACCGAACGTGAACAATATATATAGAAGATAAATCCACAAAGAGAATTTCCTGCACGTGTCACTCTCTGCCCCCAACATTGTAACTGACCAGGACAATGTCTTAAATACCAATAGCCATGGAAATACACTTTGGTAATGCCAAAGAAATTAGCAAATAAAAAAGAGTATGACTTACAGCAATACCACAGCTATCTGTATCATGATGCACTACATATAGTAGAGAAATTATAGTTTGGTTACAAGCCCCACGGTATCACATGGTAAAGTTCTATGACATTAAATAATACTGGTCAGTGGCAATCATGGCTAATACTACTAATTAGTACTGTAAAAGTGAACTCAGAATTTGGAAAGAAGATCATAATCCAGTATGTTAAACATCATAGATATTAACTTAAACACAAATAGTAACTGATGCAGAATTTTTATCTTGCAGTTTTTCTTATCCCCAAAGTAAAGGAAATCAACATTTCACTAAAAGCAACCTGGGAACCCTTCTGATAATTCAAGAACACTCAGTTTGCAAGAAATGTCAATACCAGACTGAGCTGATGGTATTTCCGTGACTCCAGATGCTTTAGATGGGAATTGAGAAACTGTCTGTGTTTCATTAAGAGCTGCACAGAAAATCTGGATTTAAAATGCCGAGGAATCTGACTGTTGCTGGGATAGCAAACACACAAGCTGTGTTGTTCAAGATGATGTCACTGCAAACACAAGCAAAATACTGGGCACTTCCAAGTCCTTTCTGTATTTTGTTAGTAAGGAGAAAGACATGTGTCCCAATATGGTGACAAGAACCAGTATCTGATGCTAGACAGAACTCCTAAGAATCTTCTTCTACACTTTCTGGAGTTTAAATTACACCAACACAAGGAAGAAATTCAAACAAGTTGGTGAAAAAGATCACTCTTTTTGCACCTTGTACCAAAAATGCTTTCTAGCTGCTGATCAAGAAGTGACAGATACAGAACTGTCTTTTAACAGGCTGGCCACTTGGACTTAGAAGAAAATGTGTTCACAGCAGAAAAAAGGCAGCAAGTGGCAATGTGATGAAAATTAAACCTAACTAATTTTTGCTGCAAGGAGTGTTGGTAACAACTTGAAATAGACTTTGAAGGAAATTGTCATCATTGAATGGAAATTAAATATTTCTCCTTGCAGGGACACTAAACTAAACAGAACACTGATATTTGTTCAGTGTCCCATTTTGTAAGGTATTGGTAAATTGACTTATTTAAGAATTGAGGAAGTAGAAGAACACTAAAGCATAAATGCTGATAAGGAAAACCAAAAAAACTATATAGATTATTATATACTATTAGGTGTAATTAATTTAAATGTCAATAAAATGCTATTAATCCACCAGTTCAATTTTACTTGGATCTGGTATAACAGGTTTCAAGGGTGTTTGCAAGCATCAGAGCTATCATGGAAGCGTCTGGTCAAGGACAATTTTTTGCAAATGTTTTCTTTAATTACAGTGTTGTACCTTTTATTTGCAAAGGTACAACATTATTGTACTCAAGCAATACACTTGGCATTGCACATTTTTGTTTCTCCTGACTATGCAGACTCCCAGCCAAATGTCTAACTTAATCACTGCTTTAAATATATTCAAATTAACGTATTTTAGAGTCTATTCTCCACCATTGCTATTGTTCCTGCTATTTCTATGAGACTTACTCAACAGTTCCAACTTAGGATGGTTTCATTCAGGGATTTATACAAAACTTATAATACCTTTCACTCTATCCCTCTTCAGTACTGCAACTTAGAAAGAGAACTTTATGTAATAAGACACGACTATTAACACCAAACACAGCAATACAGACTTGTAAATATACCAGGAATATAGGCCAAAATTAGAAGAGAATATTTACATTTTCATGCAAAATTTCCTAAATTAGTCTGGTATTTGAGAGAACAACCTAATTACAACAGTTCTGAAGCTATTTTGAGTCATATTCAACTTAACTAAGACACAATTTTTTAAAATAAAAATCTCTGGGGCAATTCCTATTTAAAATCACATTTTTCAAGTATTACCAGGTATAGCTGATGGTATTTCTTGGATGCCTGATGTTTCAGGTCTTGAAGAAATGTGCTGATTTTCATCAAAAGCTGAAAGAAAATCTGGAGTTAAAATTAGAACTGGCCTCAGATCCACAGTATTTGGCCATTAGCTGTTGGGCAGTTCAAGACAACATTGATGTGAGATCAAGCAAGGTGACAGCAGCTGTAAGGATCAACTGAGAAATGAGGTGTTACATGAACACTGAAGCTGGTGTGAAATGAAGGAGGGTCAATTCCAGTAGCTCATGTGAGGCAATCTTCTTCTCACTGGCCTCTTTTTAAAGTACTTATTCTTTGAAAGAAAACTGCAGCTGCCAGAAGAAACCTAGAGACAACATAAGCTAGCAGAGGTCTATTTGTGGATTGCTGTTCAGTCACTGTGGGGAATTATTTTCCAGCTTAGATTGCACAGAAATGGCTGAGTTGAGCAGGGGTGGGGGTGGAGTGTGGGGAGAAAGCCCAGCATCAAGCAGTCTTTGGAGCAACGTGTCTGAATGAAGCTTGGCACTCTCCACAGCTGCTGGAAGGGATGGCAAGCAATGGAAAAGCTAATGGAATTATAGGCTATTTACCCATCACGCTCCCTCTGGTTTCCATGGAGGGATGAGAAGTGATTTTCAGGCCTGATCCCTGGGTAGCTAAGATCAAATATGAAAATAATCTTGAAACAGTAAGTGAAATCAGCCTTTAGATAAGGGGATCTTCAGTTCTTAGCAGGTCCAAGGGACATACATTTATTTTATGATTCTTGTGTATACACTTCTGATTGATATTTGTGGTAACCTACTACATTTTTGTCTCATGGGGTAATTTTTTTTTTGGACACATAACATCTAATTTTAGGCATTAGCTACTAAGCCAACTGTCTGCATCTGATTTTAAAATTCTGTCCAATAGCAACAGCTGACAGCAAAACCCTCCTCCCCTACACTTTAGTTTGGATGTGCCAGACAAATCAAATAAGGAGTTTATTACAAACGCCCAATATTATTTTGATACAGCATGCACACAATTTTCACACAGGTGGTATCAAAACACTTTCCTACAAATCCGTATTTTGGCCAAGAATGAGATTTTCCCTGCAACTGTCACAAAACTACTTTGATAGAAGCAGGATTTTTGAGACAGACCATACTTTGCCAGATAACAGCTTAAAATGTTTTTACGTTTTTCTGACAATATATTAATAAAAACACAAATTAAAAAAAAAACCAAAACAACAAAAAGCAAACAAACAAAAACAACAACAGCAAAAAATACCAACCAAAAACTCCCAAGAAACCCAGATTCTATCAACCCCTAAGACCACCATTTCCATTAGAGAAATTATGCAGCCTAGAGCATGAAAGAAACATTTCTATGAGTGGTATTATATGAAAAAATGAAGAGTGGGTACTCTTAATGTTAAGAACACTCATGATTTAATAAAGCCCAAGGCCAAGTAATAAGTAATCTAAGTAGCCCACTTCTTTAAAACAAGAGAGAAGGCTGGGCTAACTTGGTGAGAGCAATACTGCAGACCACAGCAAAGTCATGCCTGATAAACTGCTAAAAGTTTTCCATCTACTGAAGATAGAAATGACCTTGGATAGATGGAGCCCTCAGCTTCAAAAGAAAACAAAGATCTTGTGTTCATGCAGAGGCAAGATAACTGTCAGCACCACCCACTGAGTATTAGTACAGCTGTATCATGTTTGTGTTCAGTGTGAATTCTGAATAGATAAAAGCTTTTCTAAATTTGTCTGTGAAGGAAAACTAAAAGAACACTGACCAAACTGTAGCCAAATAAGACCAGAGAAAACACAAATAGTGTATGCATGTTGTAATTAGCTAATCTTCAGATGATGAACTACGTCAATGCTCATTTACCCAGTTCCATTTGATTTGGCCCCAGAAAGAGTGATGTCTGATACACTGATGTAATAAAATGTCACTTGTTAAATCATGCTAGCATGAACAGAACCGAGAATGAGAACCTCGCAGCAACCTTCTACTATGTTTTATGACTATATGCTGGGAGAATCTCATGCTCAAATAAAAAGTCATAAATTGTGCTTAAAAATCTATATTCTTTATGAATAAATTGAGGAAAATAATAAATTATTAGCAGAAGTAACTGTAGAAATAACTTTTAGGACCAAAATTATGTACTGCAGCAGCCTTTTAAATATCAGAGACTACTTCAAAAAGTTGTAAACAGTAAACCAAAGACCAACCAGTGAATCTCATTAAATGTGTCTACTAGGTAAAGAAAAACATTCCCACTGCAAAGGATAACTGTTATGCTGATATCCCAAAATTCATCAAAGCCTGAGGGTTTCCTCTTAAGTGCTGAATTCTGCCCCACTGACCACATCAGAACCCTTCAGTAAGACAGTACTAGCCTGAAAGTGCCAGGTAGTATCAGGATCACTTACTTGAGGCTAGAACTACTAATTATACACTGGTGATTACTACAAATAACATGAAGTTTAATGAACAAATGAAAGACCACTGGAGATAGTACTAAAAATAGAGGATATATGAGAGACATAAAAATTGCACACGAATATCAAGAGAAATCAAGGATAGAGTATACAATAAATGCCATTTACCAGTCTCTCGCTCTGACATTTTTCCAGCTGTAGAAGTTTGGGGAGTGGAAGTAACATGAAAAAAGTCATGTGAAGCTGGAAAAAATGGTGGCTTATTATTTAAAAAAATACAAGAACAATCACACCATTGCATCACCTGCAACCATGGACTCAATGGTTTAGAGTACAAACAATAAAGAACAGAAAAAATATGTATTTTGCAAATTTAGCAGAATTTTAAAAAGAAAGATGTTAATATTCAAAGATGTGTAAACACACAAAAATATAATGCAAAAAATTAAACAGAATGGCACAAGGAATATGGAAAAAATTCCCATGTGGTTAGAAGGAATGCAAGATTGAAAAAGTACAAGAACACTGGCCAAGAGGAGTCAAGGAGAAAGTGAATTTATGAGATGAAGATACTGGAAAAAATCCAATTTAAAAATTTGGCAAAAATAAGAGAACATAAAAAGTGATTCAGACAACATCACCAGGCAGGGAAACAGAAATGAATATCCTTAGTCCAGCCAAATTTATATGCCTTGTTATAATTACAAGTATCTGATTTCTCCACTATAAAAACAAGAAAGCTTAGAAAATTACTTCAAGTAATGCAAAGTAGGGAATGTAAATTCCCTGGAAAAGATCCTGAAGTGTGTGAAATATCTCAGTTGATATGAAAGCAAGACTGCTCCAGACAAAAGTGCCAAGTCACTTTTTACTGTTCATTAAATTTTTAACTCACACTCAACTTCAGATTTTAGGTACACCAGCCTGCTCATGTAATACTTTGGTACCCCATGGGCCACAAAATACTACAAAGACACAGGACTGGTCTTGCACACCTGCCAGTGTGAAAGAAGCTGTTACTACAAGCATCTCCACCACTGTAGATAAGTGCCACAGGCAATGCCTGAACTAAATATGGTTTGCACGTATATACATTTGTATTTACACTGAAGGTTTATCCCAATGTAGGCCCAAGAGCCATAACAGGCTGGCTAAAAGCACAACAATATCTCTTGGGACACTGCTGCCTTGCATAGTTGTCAGATCTGCAAGAAATATTGTTAGTACCACTGTTACCACAAGCATCTCCACCACTGCAGATAAGTGCCACAGGAAATGTCTGAAATAATATGGTTTGCACGTATGGCCCCATTTGTATTCACACTGAAGGTTTATCCCAATGTAGGCCCAAGAACCATAACAGGCTGGCTAAAAGCACAACAATATCTCTTGGGACACTGCTGCCTTGCATAGTTGTCAGATCTGCAAGAAATATTGTTAGTACCAGACGCTGCCAGTGCCTTAAACCATGAAGAAACATACCAATATTCATCAAAAGCTGAAATGAGGTATCAATTCAAAAAAACATAGCCACAAAAGCAGCAGCAGGGCAGAGCATTCCCAGTTCCAGGTGATGGCAATGGAAAGGCATGGGCAGAAGAAAACCAGCTGCCTTGAGTTTCAGTGGTGAGGAAACCAAGAAGTGCAGCCTTGCCCACGGAATGCCTGGAGGGTGGCTGAGCTGCTTTGCTGTGTTCTTGTGCCAGCCCAGCTGGGTCTGCATCACAGGAACATGTTTGAATGCACCAGAGAAAGCAAGACCCACCACCCAAACACAAAAATGCAGCTGAGGGACAGGGGCAACAATATGGTCCCTCTGCAGAATGTCACGTGCTTCCTGCAGAAAATGCTCATCGGCCATGGAAAAAGCGTGGGATCAAACAAGAGAATGGCAGAACCGGTGTGGCGAGTGCTTCGGCAAGCCAAGCTGCACCAAGAGGATTCCATCCTCCCCATGGAAGGTGACAAAGGATGCCAGGTGGTTTGGGGTGGGAGGTGTGATGGGCAGTGCAAGAGATGGCAGACAATGGGAAAAGAAGGCTGTTGCTAGTTACCCATCACAGTTCCTGGAGTTGCCAGGGAGGAAGGGGTGGTGGACTTCGGCCTCGGTCTTCGAGCGGCTAAGATCAAACACAGAAACTGCCTTCAGCTCCTCACACAGGCTGCTGTCACACAGGTCACATCAAGACACAGCTATAAAGAAGGGCACGTGGCCCTGCTTGGGCCAGGCTACCGTGTCACAGCTTCACTGCCCAGGGTGGTGGCACAATGCTGCCTTTCAAATGGCATTGGCAGCCAAGGCATGAGAGCAAACCTGGAAATGCTTCCCCAGAGCATTTACAGGTAGAATGATTTCTAGTAAGGAGCCATAAAGGTCCAGCCACACCACTGAGCCACTCTTTGGGACACCAGCACATCTGCAGAGGCTCATTGCTGCAGAGAAGAGCATGGCCAAAGTAAGCAGTGAAGGAGGGAATCGCTGGCTATTTACCCTTCCTTGTGGTTTCCCGTGAAGCAGACGTGGTCCATTCCAGATCTGGTCTCTTGGTTGCTATGGTCAGACACAGAAATGATCTTGAGATATGCACTCAGCCTTGCCACAGCAGCACAAGCAGCACCAGCAGTACAACACCCTAAAAGTCTGTATCTAGGGCCACACCTGCCCTTTCCTGGCAGCACCCTGTGACTCAAACCCACAGTCAAGTGTCTTGTGGTGGTTGCAACTAACACAATACTCCCTGGCTTTACTCAGTGGCTAAATGGCTCTACATCAGCAGAAAAATGCCAGAATATCCAATTCACCAAACCACTCCTTACACTTTCTTGACAGATTCTAACAGTTCTTGCAGAGGTAACATGGCAACTAAGAATCTCACCTATGAATTTAGAATTCAAGATCTGATTTCACTTTTTGCCAATAATTAATGAAATCCTTCATTCTATGGGTCAGAAATTAGTGTCCCTGGCACTAATAAAACACAGTGTAGTGTTTATATCTCTCTTTATATAAATGCTTGCTAGCAAGTGAAAAAAAGCAATATTTTCCACATAATTCTAGCACATCTTACAACTTACACTTGTACAACTCAACACTTTCTGCACTGAAGAAAAAGTCCCTTTACTCAAGTGATCTCCTCATACCCTCTTATCCTAATTTCACACAGGGAGAATGCACGAACTAATACATAAACTAGTGTCAAACCTGGACTATGTGTACTCACTACTACCATGCATATTTGCCCATTGCTTTGGGCATGGTTTCAGGTTTAAGGCAGGCAAGACTTGTGACAGTTTACAAACATGCCCTTGGATGCAGCTGATGGCAATAAGGAAATAGTGCTGATTGATTCCTCTGGGATATTTTGATATTCCCAGTCTTTGGAAATGGAAATCCTTCTGTTCAGTTCTCTTCGACTTGACCCTTTCCTAGCAACACTCGATGACTCACTAACCACAGTGTTTGGACCTGCTTAAGAATTGTAGATAAATCTTTTTTCTACCAGTGGAGGAGCTTTTCCAGTGTGCAAAAAGGAGCAAATTGGACATGTTAACATTTATTTAACCATTCCTAACAGTGATGGGCCTCCACATATACGTGCATATATATACGTATATGTGTATGTGTATGTGTGTGTGTGTGTGTGTGTGTATTCATCTATACAAACAAACCTTCACAAGAAAATATGGACAAGGTAATTGCTTACAGACATCAAAAAAAATTAATCTTATCATTGCAATTTTCATTTCAAATGTCTCAAACATTGCAGCAGGTGCAACTAGTTTCTGTCTCTCCAGCTCTATACAGAGCAAGTCAGAATAAATCTTTCATTTTGCAAAGCATTGCTGTGTTTTTGAGAGGGTGCCTAGATGTGAGGAGAACTACAGAAAAGACAGATATCATTACCAGCTGAGATTGGTGGCATTTCTGGCATGCCAGATGTTTTGACACTTGAAGAAAGAGGCTTCCTTTCACCTAAATCTGGAAAAATAATCTTGTGTTAAAAGGCTTAATTGTCTCAGAGCTACCTGAATATCTCAGGACTTAGCAAAGAGATATTGCTTTGTTAAAACTGAAGCACAGGGAAAATTTCTTGCAAGTCAGCTGGGCATTACTCTGTCTCATGGATTGTTAGGCTGGTGTGGATGGAATGAGGATGGTGATACAGGAGTCGAAAAAAAATATTATGTAGGGCAACACCCAAGGCAAGTGGCATTCAATGGCTGTCTGAAATCATCAACACGAAAGCAGCAACAAACTTTTCATCACCAACCAATCAAAAGGCTTTTGAAAGAATATTATTATAATTTACCAGTGCTTGGTATTTCTGAAGATGTAAAAGTCTGGGGAGTAGAAATAACATGAAGAAAGTCATGTGAAACTGGAAAATAAAAGCAAAAATAATGCTGTGTTGTTTTGAACTGATAAGAAACCTTCTGCAACAACATCGTATTCCTTCATAATCTGACAAAACTTCTGGGTAATACTTAACATATTATGTTCCACAGAAAGATAAAGTGTGAAATGTACAATAACTGATTGTACATTTGACTTGAAAATTATTTCCAAAAAGACACATTGATGCATAAAGCATTTTATGACCAAATTTTTGTCAGACTCACATAAAAAGGTGAAATAAAGACTTAAAAAGTGAAAATACAAAGCTATTCAAAATGGGAGAACATACTATTAATAAAAAGTAGCAAACTGTGACTGCATGGAATTTTTTTCTAGGATCAGGAAGGACAATATCCTGGTGCTAAAACTGGAGAAGGAAAAAGGATGACAAAACAGGAGCTGGACCAAATGAAATATGGAAACTGCCTTTTGTCAGACATGTGAACAGCTGACTATTGTAATCAATCTCCCCCTCAGTAATGGATTTCCTTCAATGTTAATGTCTTCCAAAAACATATGCATCAGGCATACTATTGGCATGACAAGGAAATGAAATCTTTCCAACTGGCTCTTATTTTATTATTTTTTCCCTTATTTTGGAAAACTGTCTGTTGCCCCAGGCAAATAACATCTTTAAAATAATAAAAACACATAATAGAAATTTTGTAAGGATTAACTAGAAAGCATCTGAATCTTCAGTGATATGTTTTTTATAGTGCCAGTTTAGAAATCTGGGCAGAATTACATCTATGTTTATACAGAAAGGCTAAAAGAAGAGTGATAGTTTCAAAATATGTTGGAAGTCCTTTGGTTTTCATTAATCTCTTACAACTCAGAATTCTTCAGCAAATCAGGATATTCTATTTATGAAACTCAGGTGTGGACAGTCCTATTTAAATTTGATATTTATAGTAAATCCAATTTACATTTAAAATGAAGAATTACATGCTGTTGCCAAACATGGAAAAACCTCCTGAATCACTAGCTTAGTATTTCACATAGACTGTAATAAAGAGATCTAATACTTGATGCAGTACTTTCATACCCACAGTTATTCTTCATTTATGTCAAACTGAACAAACTATTTCATGAGGGGCACTGTCTGCTCCAAAAATTCCCAACTGTCAGGAGAATTAACCTCATGAGGACCATTACCGGGTCGGGTTGGTTGCATTTCCATGGTACTGGACGGTTTGGATCCTGAAGAAACAGTCTGTTTTTCCTCAAAAGCTGAAAAAAGAATCTAAGCTTAAAATGCTAAGAGAGCCATGACTTGATGGATCAACATCAAACAGCTGAGCAAGGCTGTGCATTTCGAGAGGATGGCAACGCCAAGCTGAGCAAGATGGAGGATGGCCTCAAGTGAGATGTGAGACAATGGCTGCGACAAGGGGAGGGGATGGCTGGAAAAACAGGTTTCTGGCCTCGGAATGCAAGTGCCACATGCTTGAAAGAACTCTTACCAGCAAGGAATTCTCTCTTATTAAGTTTTCTGGGTAAGAGCTGCAGCTATACCAAAAGAAATAAGATGATGACGAGATATGACAACACTGACAACACTGACTTTGGGCAGTTTTTAAGCTGACGACATTCTTCAGGTGGTTACACAGACACAAGGATGGTGAATAAGCAGCTCTCTGTGAATGTTGGTAGCCAAGATTAAAATTTGCAGATCTATATGATGCCAAGATAATGGAAAAAAAATCATGGAACTAATCTGCTATTTACCCATTTCCATCTCTCTTTTTTCTGCAGAAGGTGGAGATATGGATTTCAAGGCTGGACTCTGCGTAGCTAAGAGCAAACATGAAACAAAATTTTATCATTGCAAGACAGACTATTCTGGCAAGTGATACAAAATCTAATTTCAACTGTAACTAATAAGGGTTTTTTTGTTTGAATGTCTCTTTGCTCCATTAATTTCTACCCCATTCATATTTAGCATACCCTATTTAATCAAGCTGAATCCTTATTACTTAAGAGGATTTTATTCACAGCAAGGCAGCTACAACACAACATTTGATATTCACACCACTTGCAGGTCTCTAGTCACAACTGCAGTATGTATAACTATTTTTAAAGAAGTGGTAATGGTAAAAGATAAGAGTAGTACAATGAAATCAGTGAAATAATTGTTGAAGTTAGTAACAACGCCTACTACCTGTCATCTGTGATGAGGATTATTACAAAGACCTTTTGGTTCCTTCACTTTGAAGTATGGAAAACCTGAAGTGTGCTTTAATGAAAATGGAGTCAAGATGGAATTGGGCACTCTTACCCAAAAGTCATCATGAACAAGCTTCCACCATGTGCAGATTTTGCACTACTGTGCTGCTGATGATCCTACTTAGCTGTGTGTACTGGTCAGTAAGCATTTTTCTTTCTGTTAAAACCCTCATTCAAATAATTAGGTGTAGTGTTCATTTCTAGTACAGGAAATATGAATATACATGTCAAAAATTGAACAGCCTTTTTTTCACACATTGGATCTGCTTTCCCATTTACTTTCAATCTACCTTACCACATTAACAATTTGGATCCCGGGTTACTATCCTGATGTAGTCGGACTCAGCAGCTGGACCAGATGATCACTGTAGGTCCCTTGCAAATGGAACCATTCTATTTTATATTTCTAGAGAAGAAAACACTGCCAACAAAAGCTGTATGATTCACAGCTTTTGGCAAAAGCTTCTATTGATCCTTTTACACCCAGCAAGAACTGGAAGAGATCTCCCAAAGGCTTCAGAACACTGAAGGCATGTTCACAAATCTATCTTTTCAAAAACATTTGAATCCAAAATATACTGACCACACAGGAAGTTTACAAAACAAAGGAGAGATCTCCCTCTGGCACAATCCAGATAGAAAAATAAAGAAAAAAGTTCTTCAGGGGAACTAGGGCAGAATACAGGTCACACACAGTTGAACTTCATAAATTAAATTTTGCTTTCTTTGCTGGTTTTATGACAGCAGGTGATCAAGGCATGCAGAGACACAGTGCAGAGAAATCTCCTCTGTATAACCATGCCCTGACTCTCACAGAATATCTTTGTCCTCAACAGTGATTTCATGGAGAGCACAGATGCTCCCTTTGACCCAATGGCTGGGCCTAGCCTCACATAATGAAATCCTACTTTTACCAAGTGAAACTATTCAAAGGGAAGGGAGCACATGAGAACAAAACCATAATAAATGCTTGAATGAAAACACTTATTTTTTCCTCAAATGTTGTTATTATTCCACCTTTAACACTGAGACCAACATAGGATTAGATTATTATTTCTTTTTTATAGAAAGAAAAAATACTTCACATCCCTAACAATTTTGAGTTTTTCAGCTACATTTATAGCAAATAGGCTCTTAAATAATTGTGTGTCTCTTTTTCCAGTGCTGGAATCCATCTGGATTTAACCAGATGTCTCTTTCCATCCCCTCAAACATATCTGGAAAAGAGCTGTCAAAAATATCTATCAAATTAAGAACAGATTATGAAGATTATTTTCATGTTCTTGAGAATCTACTTCAAATATGCATTTCAAGAACTAAGAGGTGTTCCTGGAAATTATATTTAAATTTTGCAGACTAGATTAAGCAAAAGTATGCAGTCCTAATAAGCCAGCACTATTCTATAATAACTTCTTGACTTATGCTTAATAACATAGAAATGCATCTGATTCAAGGGCCCTCCAGGTAACTAGTGTAATATCTATGAATAATGAAAGCAACAACAAGCAATAGTTCTGGTAGAATGAGCTGTTTTAACACAAACACAGAGAAAATACGGGACTGTTATGAAATCAGAGGTCTCGAGAAAGGGAAACACAGAGTACAATGTAGAGGAGCAGAGGCACGAGGTGGTGAGAGGTGGGACTAAGGTTGGCACTGGACACCCCCTGCCACAGACAACTCAATAACATCAGTTGTAAAAACTGCACACTTGGAACTGGACAAAAATTAATTTAGGGTAACAACAAGGACACAGAAATAATATCTACCACACACAAATGGTCCCCTGTGCAGTGAGCTCATATCTGAGATGTCTCCCAGCAGAAGAAAGAAAGGAGGAGGAAGAAAGCATCAAACATCATATTCTTCCCAGCACAGGACTCCAGATGCTCAAAACTTGCTGGAATATCCCCACTCATCACCAACACAAGCATCAAAGCACTGAGCTTAGGGTCCAATTATGTAATGAAGGGGTGTACACCACACCACAAAAAGGGCACAATATAAGACATCTGTGTGTTACTGTTTTAATTACATTACTTCTCTTATTGGAGCAAGCTTTGTGAAGATAATTTTTCAGTAAAGGTTTTACTCATATTTACAAAGAAAGTAATTACCATGTTCTGTCAATGGACTTTTTGGAGCATCAGGGATTCTGGATCCAGAAGGAAGTAGCTGTATTTCGTTAGAAGCTATGATAAGAAAAAGAACCAAAATGTCTCTTGATTAAGAATAATACAAGGCACAACATGGATTTGTATTTGGCTTCTGGACCACTCACTCCTGAAAAAAATGAGAATTAATAAAAAAAGAAACAGTAGTTCCAACCTAGAGAAAAACCCACATAAATTGGCACTTAAAAAGGTACGGGGAATATGAAGGAAGCCCTTTTCTCCCTAATTGTTAAACAAAGATCCATTAATAATGGGAATTTTACAATGCACATCTGTCAGTAACTATAAGCACTTAGTTTAAAATTAATCAATGATCCATCTTGATTAGTTTTCCTATTTTAATATTTGAAACATAACAAAACCAAGGAACGCTGGGTATGGTTAAAAAAAAGGCAATTAGAAATGAAAATGAAATTAGATTACTGGTTTCACTTCAGTACATTCTGGAAATCTGCTGTCAAATTTAAATGAAAAAAGAAAAAAAGTGCAAGTAAGATATTAATGTGAATTCACAGGATTGTGTAGAATGCATTTATTGAGAAGCATTAGCAGTCCTCTTCATGGGAAGATCGGCATTTCAGTCCTGCAAACATTCCTCGTCCTTCCCTTTATCATGTATCCTCCTGAATGCAGGCTAGCTGTGCTTTAGAAAAATCTAAGTGAAGCTTAAAAAAAAAATAGAATTAAAGACAACTTCAAGTTTAGATTTGTCCTCATAATTTTGCATGGCTTAGGGAAGAAAACACAAGCAATAAAATCAACATTAGAGAATTTAAAATTCTGAATAACAGAATGAAATAAGTGTTACACAAAACTAACACAAAACTAACCATACAACATTGAGATAAAAAATTTGAAAAATCAGTAGAGCTTCTCTTTCCTTCAAGGCAAATGCAGTTATATCCCATCACATGTTATATAAAATTGTTCTTACTCATTGCTCTTGGTGTTACCTAAATGAATCTGTAATCAGAAGAAAATCAAGGAGGTAATTATTTAAATTCTATCACCGAGGTAAATTTTACAGATGGAAATTTTATGTTATGTCAAACATGCACATCACATAGACAGAAAGCATTAAATTCAAAAATCAAATTGAATCATTCAGTGAAATCTGTGAAAGTCACAGTTCAGCCAGAGCTAGGTGCACCCTGCTTTACAATTCATCCCAGTATTAGTCACTGGAACCACAAAAGAAACCAGAATATTTTAATCAGGACTTCCTTTGGAGCCAACACAAAGAGGATGCAGAAAGTAGAAGAAAAATTCTGCTGAAGGTAAAAAAGTGTTTAATGCAGAAAGAATGTAAAAAGCAGAAAAATGAGTTACCCAGTATGTTTTGAGTTGGAACCAATTTGGGTTTAGGTGTCGGTCTAAAATCTTCAGGTCCGTGTGTTTTCTCAGCCTGAGCTAAAAGAAAGAAGCTTAATGTCATTTAAAATCCCCCTGAACTTCTCTTGATTTACGACACAAAAACTGATGCTTTTCTTGTCACCATTTCATACCACATGATTAGAACGATTTCTACAGCAGCTCAACTTCACTGTGATTAATATTTACTTTTGTTTTCAGATATGAAATTTATATGATGCTTTGTATTTATTTTGCTGGAATTTTATATTAACAAAAGAAAATAAAAGTCATGAACAGCAAAGGTAAGGTCAGAAATTCACACTGTACTTCTGTTACAGCCTCTTAAATTCATTATAATAGGTTATAAACAAGATCCATTACATCACAAAGTAATTTACACAAAATATTTACAAATATTTTCCCTGTTATTCTGAATGATTTTTAATACTTCTAATATAAAAATTTTCAGGAACATAATACTCACTTGTAATATCCCAGATCTTTCAATTTTCTAGTAATTATATAACTTGTTAGGTTATAGAATAGGTTTTTATTTTCATTCATTCTTCTAGTTGTATATTTTTAGAGTAATACACAGGCAGTTTATTAAACAGCAATTAAATGCACCTAAACTGAATTGCTGGCCATATTTTAATATACTCTGCAAGCTGTTTCACATAACAATTAATGCCAATAGCAAGTCAAGGTCACTTCTTTCCTCTGCATCTTGCTGGAGATCCCAGAGGTGTTTAATCAGTCATGCAGCACTCAGAATTGGTCATCTAAGACTGTAAAATGCCAAGGCCTATGGGTATGGAACACAGAATGGTAAGGTCTCAGCCTTGAATGCCACAAGCACATTAATGCCCTCCACAGAGCAAACTATACAGTATTTAGTGCATGTAGCTACTTGGAAGAGATCTTTAATATTGATGGTAGGCATTAATATAGCACTAAGTTTAGTGTTAATTTAATAAAAGATCACTCTCTTTTTGAGACACATTAGAAGTTTCCTGCATGCTCTCCAAGCTTTTTCCACAATCTACTTAACACAGTTCAAGCAAGAGCTGATCATGGAGGTTTATAAGCTTCTTCTTTTTGAGACACATTAGAAGACATTGTGGTTTTTCCTGCATGCTCTCCAAGCTTTTTCCACAATCTACTTAACACAGTTCAAGCAAGAGCTGATCATGGAGGTTTATAAGCTTCTTATTTCATTTAGTGAAAATAAAATGTGCTGTTTCCTACTTTTAAATATTAGGATTTGGATGATATTACGGTTACAACAATTACACTATTTTCTAGTTTGGAGTATGTGCCACATAGTCTGAAGCCTTTACAGATGCTATTTGTTATGGCTCAATTCATCTTCTAAGCCAGTCACAGTGCTGTCACTGCCATCAGTGCAAGGACGAATTCATTGTCCAGAGAAGGCAGAGCATTTCTCTCTATGAAACTTGTGGGAGAGAATTCACTCATAAGAAATACTGAAGGAACAACTAACTACCTGTACCTCAGGAGCAGTTCAAAATCTAACATTTCTTGTTGGTGAGGTGCAATAATGAAAAAAAACCCCAAATACAAGCAAATACACAACTCATGATATTTTGAATTTTTTTCTTTTTTAGAAGTCAGAGGGTTTACACTCAGATGAAATGTGTCTTTGCTGAGCAAGCTGAGCAAGATAAAACATGCCTAGAATTAGAACAAAAGAAACCAAGGCCTCAGTTTTGCACAAAACATTGTAGGAATGACGGACATTTTTGTTAAAAAGAAGATACAGGAAGAAGAAAGTTTAGGCTCTGAAAGCTAAATTAGAGAAAAGAGAAATGCCTCTGAGTATTCCAGGGCAGCAGGTAAGCTAGGCCTGTTGAAGTGGTTCAAGGCTGTCTGTAAAGTAAAGCATCAACACAGCCAAGTTATTTTATCATCACAGCATGGAATACAGCAAGAATGCACCCAGGCAATGCTTCTTAAACCATTTCCTCTGGTTTTCATCTTTGTGATGGTGAAAGACATTATGATGAAAATATTCATCTCATTCCTGATATACCCTGTGAGCATAAGGGGAGCTCTTCAGAGGGCAGGAGGAGGACAGGAGGAGCAGAACTTGGGAGAGGTGGCAGCAAAGGAGTTATTTCAACTGAGCATTAACCCTGGTTAATGGAGTCACAGGTGGCACTTTTCATTTCAAGCTTATTCCGTATTTCACAAATCTAATTCACTAAATGTGTAGTACAACCCCTGACATAAATAACTAGCTTTCTTTTTTTGCCTTAAAAAAAAAAAAAAAGAGAGACACTAGTTCTTTTATGTCCCAGACTAATGTGCTCTAATGTGTATTTCTAAGGGTTGGTGAGCTCCAATTTCCCTGTGAAGTTAATAGAAAGACATATTTAGCAGAGAAAAAAAAAGTTTTAGCAGTAGTTTGAGGTATATTAGACAACAATTCAAAGATTGAGGAAATCACTAGAGATTTGAGCTGTTGTGTTATGAATAAATTAGTCCCGAGTGGAAAATATTGTAACAAGCCCGGAAAAACAAAGAATGAAAGCGCTTACTAACAAGTCTTTCCATGGAAATGCATGCCAAGGGAGGGGAGGGTTGAAATGAAGAAAATTATGGGATGCCTGGTAGACAAATAGATGAAAAAAAGTTACTAAACTGTGTCACATCACAGAACACACCCTTTGATGAAGAGCCAGTGGAATACAAGAGCAGCCCAGCCCACAGAGCCTTTCAGATAGACTGCTTGCTGAAATTCTTGGAGCTCCCTTCTTCCCTTCTACCGTGGCTGATGACACAACAGCTGCTACAGCACAGAGCTCCTGCTAAATCACTGTGCTCTTGCCAGCCTGGCACCAGTCCTTAAACCTTCCACAGCAAATAATTATTATGCCTTACTCAAAGAATCCAGTATGATTTTTCAAACAGCAATGTCTGAATTAAATATAATGAAGTATGTCCTGTTGCTAAACTCAATTAATTATGTCTATATACTAAACTGTTTAAATGCAACCCTTGCAAAGGGTTGGTGCTCAGATCTCCCACCTAAGTTACTCACAAAAGAATACTTCAGCATTTTAGCCAGACAAGTTATTTTTCCATATTCCATGGCAAGACAGAATTACACTTGAAGAACATTTTTTCTTTTAAAGGATTTATTTTCACTTCCCTGTTTCCTGACTTCCTTTTTTTTTCTCTTTAACTGAAATACCATAATCACAATGGAGTGTGACATACTCTTACTTTAACATGAGGCACTGGTGCTGAGATCAACAAATAATATCTGAAAGAAATCAACAAATAATATCTGAAAGGAATGGTCACCATAGGAAGGAAAGGCATGGAAGCAAAACCACAAAGGAAGCTTGAAATGGAAGATGAAAATTATTCTAAATATTTCAGTAAGTAACTATTGGTGTGAGAGCAATAAGAATGGTTTTAGTTGTAAAAAAATATCACTAAATTGTTACAAGGAAAGAGAGTATTTGCCAATTATTACCAGAGTAATGAAAACTTCTCCAACTTCATAAACACCCAATTCTGTGCTGTGTCTAGACACGGCACTGTTTATGGTTAGAAATTCTACATGTTGGTACATAAAGAATGGAAAGGAAAGGAAAGGAAAGGAAAGGAAAGGAAAGGAAAGGAAAGGAAAGGAAAGGAAATTGAAATTAATCTCCACATTTCACACCCTTTAGCTGACTAACCAATACATTCCATCAACAAGGAATGACACCTTCTGATTAGATGAATGCAAGCTTGAGGGCTGAGATTTGAGGATATGGATTCTGACAGAGAACGAACCATACAAATGTATTCAGTTCTCACTTTTACAAAAAATGGCAAAGTTCTAGAAAATACATTTTCAGATTGCCAGTTCTTAAACAGAAGTTACTTAAGGTAAATAATCTAGTAACATAGTAAAAAAATTTAATTCCACAAGAGACCTTGAACTGTAAGAGAAAACAAACCAATCAAACAACCTAAAAAGACTCCTTACAGCTCTCTGAAAAGGATCCACACATTTTCAATGTGTCCTTTGATAATAAATTCTTGTGAAGAGGCATCAATGTTTTCCCTCTTAATATTTAGGATGAACAGAAAAGAGCCATCCCTATGAAGGTTTTGCAGACAGGAAGGAATGGTTTAAAGTAAAATTTGGAAAATATATCTATTGAGTAGAAAATAAAGTTCTAACATTTTCACAGAAGAAAAAAATATGGATCAGTCAGTCTGAAAGATTGCTATCAATGATTACATGATATTGCTGCATTTCTTTACCCCTTTTTAATGTCCTATGCATTTTTGAAGGGCTTTTTATTCCGCTTTGTTTTTTTTTAAGACTAAGGTGCTATGATGAAGTTGAGCATAGCATTTTTTAATATACTTAAGGAATACAATAAACACAATCATATTTAAGGGCAGTATCTGTCTGAGTCGTGTGATGTCAAAGAAACCACATGCTACACTACTTCATCCAGCCAGGAAAGACTTGACAGACAGAAGACAGTAATGCCAGCAAGATCACATAATATGTCTAAACCAGACCAAAGCAAACCTTCGGTCATTGTTTCCTCAAATTGCTTTTTAGCTTTAAATTCTTGCCACTGTTCAGGCATCCCTTCTTCCTTTCAGCAAAGAAGTTGGCAGAAGCCAGCTATTGTCTCTTGTGACAGCAGAACCAAGACTTAAACTCAGTTATAGGATTAGAGTCAGACTAGAGAAAATGAAGATAGGCATATTCCTTCTTAAACAATTATGAAATGTGGGTCAGTAAAGTGGGTGATAAGTGATCTTCATCATTTGACTCTGAACAATTCAGCTCTTTCCGATCCTTTCCTCCCCCGCTCCCAGACTGAACATGTTAAAATATATGACTGTATTTTTCATACAAATTCATAAAGTATTCGGTGTTACACAAAAACACTCACTTTGCCATTTTTCAAATTTCAAGGCATCCATCATACCACAAAGTATGGTTCTAATTCTAAGTAGTTTTATAAACCTAATAATTATATCACCTGAAACTTTCGTCCAAAATTAGATTCGGATTTTTATCCACATTACCACTCCTTGCTAACTCAGCCACTATCCTCCTGTTTTCCAACTACTATTTTAACTGTAGAGCACAAAGTTGGGTTTCATTTTAGTTTATGTATTTGGCAAAGAAATTCTACAGAGTTTCTAAAAACAGAATTTTCATTACCTGGAAGGGACTGTGGGGAGATTTCTTGAACTTCTGGTGTTTTGGATTCAGCAGGCCATAGTCCAGTTTCATTCTTAGCTAAAAGAACAGACATTAGAGAGTAATTACAAAGATATATCTGCTCTCTTTTACCACAGATTTATTTCTGTCCCACTTTAGTTTGACTAAGTAAGCCAACGTGGATAAATGTGGACAGTTGAGTACCTTCAGGACCCAATGAGCTTCCACTGCACAATCACTCCAAGCTATGTTAAACACATGCGCTTTTGGTTTTGTTCATTAAAAGATACTTTAAAAATAAAATTACTTAGGAATCATTATTTTTACAGTGCAAAATATTTTTCAGCATTTCTCATTTGTTTAGCACTTCTGCTTACCCAGTTTTTTCCTGGATGCTTGAGGTATGTCATCTATTGTCAGGAGAGGAGGAAGTTTCTGCTGACTTTCATTGAGGCCGGGAACAATAAGGTGCACTGCAGAGAAAGATGCATGCCATTAATTCCAGAAGTCATGAAAGCAAACAGTCTGCTCTCTGAGATATGTGAGTAACTACTACTGAACCACTGGGAGCTCAGTCTGAATATCTGGAAAATTATTTTCTTTTATTCTCTAATTATCTCTCCTATTTGGTGCTATTTCCCTTTTATACCACTCCTTCTATCACCACCATCTCATGATTTATCAGAGTTAGAAACCATTTGACACTGGAACACACAACTCTGGAATACTGCAGCATCACTGATAGATTCTGTCTGGTGGGCCAAGACTAACTAGACTGGGTTAGTATGTGTGGGTTTGACTCACATCAATACACTGAAACTCACACCAAAAAAACTTCAGCCAAAGTTACGCAGTCATAGAAAATATATAAAGGAATAAATAATTTATCCAGGAATAAATTGGTCACAAGGTACATGGTGCAGTGAGCCTTTCATGGAAATTTCAGGCAGACCAGTAGTTCACCACAGTGTATGACAGACTTTCCCCTGGTTTAGTGTTCTAAGCCAATATTGCATATTCTTATAGGTGAAACAAAAACATAAAACATGAAACTGAATGGCTTGGAGGGAAACAGTAATGCCCGAGATCTAACATCAAATTCTAATTGCAAGATTTCTGTAAGTTTAATATATCAGGTTTGTGACTGTAGATGTGATGTTACTGTGCTACCTTAAAAGCCCAGTAAGAACAATCCCTCATCTCAACAAGATCTTTGCCATAGAACTTCAATTGAAGTGTGAAAGAACTCCTTGGCTTAAACAGTGACAGTGTCTTCTTTTAAATACAATGACAATGAAATGATTCTACTTCACTAAAGAAACAACATTCTTGAACCATCTGTACCACCATAAAATGTAACAAATATTGTCTGCACCAGCTGTAAAATACCCTTTGATATGCAAGGAAAAACAATTAAGATCAGGAAAATTAAAAGCATTTGCACAATTCTAAGTTTCAACCGGGGGGTTAAGAGAAATAATAAAAATATCTTCTAGTCACCTAATATTGCTCCTGGGAGAGAAGAACTATCTGGTGCTTTTGACTGTGTCCGATTTTGAATAACTGTGGAGACAACACAGGGATATTAGAAGCTAATTAAAACAACAACAACAACAAAACTGAAATTGGAAGCAAAACCAAACCTGAAACAAACCTCAGCATTCTAAAACCCTTTCCTCAATATTTGCAGATGAGGATGCCATCTGCATCCTTAATCCTTTCTGTATTTACATTCAGTTTAAGAGACTGTAAACTCTGTTTCCTCTACATCGCCTCCTAATTGTGCATCTCTTTCTCCTGGCATATTAATTGTGGTGAAACTGACATTCTGTGCTTATGTTATTATAGGGCCAGCTGCAGGACATCCCAATGCCCTGACACTCATTTTAGTCTCAAGTTACTCTTGCAGAGTATAAAAATACATTTTTAAAAATGCACAAACTTACTTTGTTTGATTATTGTGACAGGGACCAATTTCTTATTATCACTCAGTATAATCTGAAAAAAGAGAAAAAATGGATAAAAGTAGTGCCTTGGGAGAACTGCCATAATAGTAATTGAACTGAGTAATAAAAATAGAGGGTTCTAATCCAATACCACGCCTGTCCCAAGTTAACACTGGATATGGCTCTGGCCCTGGTCCCTGATGGTTGTGCTATTGCTTCAGTTCCCACGGGCTAATGTTGTAATATCGCATTTTGATCTTTTTCTATCAGCTTGAGATGTTTTGCTCAATAAAACCAAAGTAGTTGACAGCTTAGGAAACCCCAATTCTTTTTTCTCTTAAGGATCTCTGGAGCACCCCCTGGGGAGTAGTCCAGAATGCTGAAGAAAAGCTAAAATTTAACTATAGCAAAACGTGTGAAACATATGCAATTACAATTTGGTCACAGGACACAAATGTACTCTCAGGAACACTATATTTAGAACATAGACTATTCCAGAACCAGGTGCACATTTGTAAACCATCAGCACTCTTGGGTGCATAGCCTGATTAAAGTAGATTAGCTCAGAAAAATTGTATTTAGTGGAGTTGTTTCCAAAGCACAAGTGGCCAGCCACCCACATGATTCTTACATTTTTATGCTAAATACTTGGACTCTTATACTGTTCATACCTCTTTGACCCAGACAACATCTTGCCTAAATGTGAATATCAAATTATACTAATACCATAAAAAAAAGAAGAAATACATGAATGGACCCCACAGTTAATAAAACAAAACAGTTGACAACAAAGATAAGAATTACGAACAAATTCTGAAAGCTTAATAATACACTCAAGTTATGAGAGAAGGTAGACTGTAATGTTAATGACATAAAAATGCTACATACATTAAAAGGGGATTGTTTTAGTTATACTTGAGTTACAAGAAAGAAAACTCCGACAATCATCTTCCATGCTAAATACATTCTGCTGAAATCAGAATCAGATAATGTTAATTTTGCACTTTATGACATCTGGCTTACTTCACGTGAAAGAACACTTAGTTGCATGAGAAGTCACATTTGATGACAAAGTGCTAGTCATTTACCCAAAGATAGCTATTTTTGTTCTATTCTAAATAAGTCTGAAAAGCTTTAAAAACAATGGTTGGGTACACATTAAACACATAAAAAAGTTTAAGAAGCTGGAAAAAAGGCCAATCTCCACAAGTGAGATGGACCTTTCCTTGGGGAAATGGATGAAGGCAACTTTATGGTTCCTGTCTGCTACCTAATAACAGTTTTGCATTGGTGTGAACATGGCTCAATCACTGTCATTATATGAAGATTAAAATAATCTTCCTTTTTTATTTTTCCTTTTTTACATTTCCATTTTGTTTTCTAGTGAAAAAATTATGTTACAGATGATCTGCTTTTGAAGTAGCCCTCCTATTCATGTGACTAACAAATGGGATGGAATGCATATATTAGAAGAAGGCATTCATTTTATTGCATTTCTCCTCAGCAGCCTTACAATCAAATACACAGCTCTGAAGTTGTAGTAAGTGCTTGTGTAACCTCTACTGTAGAACTTCTAATCATAATTTCTATCAGCCTTTTTTACTAGTAAACAGTTCTTATATTGACAAGAGCATTCTTTCTTTGTTGACTAATAATGGATGTCTACAATGATAACAATATAACAACTCCAAATACATTTAAATAAATTAAAAATGTAGGTTTTTTCTCAGGAATGAATAACTGAATGAAATCCACATTCTCCAGCTGCTATAATTGACTGCTCATCTGCACAAATCTGTAACTGCTGCACTTGAAATCTATCCATGCTGTCAAAGCTTTCTTCTCAGTTTCCACAAAGTGACTAATTTAGATAGTCCTAGTAATATTTACTACTTATACAAACTGTTTTGGAAATGTCAGCCCATCATCTGTAGGAATGGCACTATCAATCATATTTTTCAGATAGGGAATATAAAACATATAGGTATTACGAACATCAGTTATTTAAACAACTGCTGTCATCATGAAAGAAGATGGCAAATAATATATTCCTGATTTTCAGAGGAAAATGAGAGATGTAAATTATACCATAGGTCAGGCATCTCACTTCTTACCATATACATACAGCATATTCTTACAGGACTGCTAATCTCAAACATTTTATGAAACAGCACATGGTAACATTACCTTAAGAGGCTTGTTCTTTCTTTCTTTCTGTGTTGTATTGTGATACCTCAAAAAGCCAAAACTGACTGGCATGCACATAAGAGACTCCTCAAGGAGGAACCATGGTCAGACTGGACTAAATAAGGTTTGGAAGAGCAGGAATGTTTCTTTCTAGAGTTTAAAAAATGGTAGAAGCTAAGAGTCCTTTTTGGCTGGAAAACTGGGGAGGACCCCACCTTCCAGGCCAACATTATGAAACTAGAGGAACTTAACCAGAAAGAAGAGGAAATAAATTTCTACTGCATTTTTTTCCGCCCTACCACTAGTCATTGTTTATGAAGGGAAGAAGAATGACCATTTCTAGAACACCCCTTTTCTTCCAACCTCTCCTTGGTTGCTGCTCACACAGCCCTGGGAGCTTAGACAAACTTAAAGGAAGAAACTGCCAAAAGAAACAAAAGATGATATTTGACTGATGTTGAAAGGGCAGAATGACTAGATGGGTTGGTAACGTTTTTAATAAACAGCCTTTAAAAATGTCCTTACAGAGAAGAGTTAGGACCATGTTGATATGAGTCAGTTGTGTCTGTGGAACAAAATAAAGCACAAACAAACTTGGCCTAAATAACACTCATTCTGGCTTTGCATCAATGATCTGATCACACCACTGAAACATACCCCACCTAGTGCTGTGGAAACTGAAGGAACAATGTAAACTATCTGCTTTTTGCACCACTAAAGCAAGAATGATAAGAGGACATATAGAATAATCTATGGTACATTTTCATGATATTTCTATGGAGGGTGATAAAGCAGTCCTGCTCTGGAGCTGAGCCCTGTGAAGATCACAAAAAAGACTAGAGGTTGGCTCTAGTCCTCCTTTCATACTTGAGCCGCGCAAATATTTGGAGAACTGCTTTAGCTCATTTTCTCAGGACTTCTCCTGTATAAATAGATTCCCTACTTGCACAGAAGCAGCACAACAGTCAGGGTTCTGGCACACAGGGTTTGCTAAGTGGAGCAAAGGAACTCAGCTTGCACTCCATAGTCCAGGATGAACTCCCTCATCTGGGGCTGTGCAACTTTAAAGACACTCGTGGGACCAAGGGGAAGAACAGTTAAGTTGACTTCATCAGCATAATGAAATGAGCACCCTCCTGAATATCAAGTCAACTGGATTTATACTAGTCACAAATAAAACCTTTTCTTGTGAACTCAAGACATATTTCCAATAAGCATTCCACTGATCTAACTCTGTATGTAATGCAATTATTGAAGTATTACTGCCCTAAATGAATGGACACGGACTCAAGTTGCAGTGGGGAGGTTTAGATCAGATATTAGGAAAATTTATTTTCACAGAAAGGGGTGTCAAGCATTGGAAATGACTGCCCAGGAACCATCGTGCCTGGAAGTGTTAAAAAATACATGGATACAGCACTTGAGGACATGATTTAACGATAAACATGGTGGTGGTGCTGGGTTAGCAGTTGGACTTGAGAAACTTGAAGATCTTTTCTAACCTCATGATTCTATGATTCTGTGCATACCTAATTATTCCTAGAAGAAAATTTTTTCAATGAATTTTGATTTGATTCCTGAAGGAATTCCAGGTCTGATAATTACAGACTATTTATAATATTCCGAAATATTAAAAACAAACAATGAGAAAGCATGCATTACCACTTCCTACCATGAAAACATTTGGAAAATCTCAGACAGAAGAGAATTGTGAAGAATGGGCTATTCTTTTGTAATAATTAATACTCATGAGTTAACCCTCATCCCAGTAAGAGGGATTTCTGCAACTTTTCTTGGGAAGTTATCCCAAGAACTAGGGATAGTAGGTTACTCAGGGAGAGTAACCCAAAAAGAAGCAGACAAAAAAAATCCTCCAGAAGATTAGGTGCTGAAAATTGCACTTAGATGAAAAAATAAGGAAAGGAAATATAAATGAACCAAATTTAATCTCATAGTAGAACTGGTAATGCACAGAATCTATGACTTAAATGTCTATTTTTCACTGTATTAAAACCCACTAGCTGGTTTGATTTAGAGAGCCTTCATTTATGCTTCAGGTCATTGAAGAAAAAAAAAATCTGGGTACATGAATCCATAAACAAATTAAATCCATCCATCCATGCTTGTTTGAGAATGTTTATGGAAAATGTCAAGTGAAGGGAAAAAAAATCTTTATTTATAAAAATCAATTTTTTTAAATGAAATGGTAAAAATTCTACCATGCCACATAAAAGGATTTAATGGACAGCCTAGCAAACTTAATTAAATTGCCCTTTCCAGCTTCCTCTGGTTCTGCAAACACTTGCTTCACATATGGGAACTATCAGTGAATTCAGTGGGATGACTAATTTAGAAGACCTGAGTATATACACAATTACTCTATAAAATCACATTACCAAGTTATCCCAAAGTTAACTGATCACAACAAATATCACAGTTTAACAAACCTGACTACTACAAAGGAATAAGCAACTTCTAGATTTTGAAGATACAAATGGAAACCATCAGATATATCTTGGATAGGTTGGAATAAGTGTATGTAATCAGCTCAGTTACAGTTCTCAATTATTTTGTCCATCAACACATTGAAATATTTTCCATACAGTGCATTTAACAGATTGTTTTCTATATTGGCAGTTGGTGGCCTTGATAATTTCTTTCTCATTGAACAATAACAGAGAATAAAAAAATTGATCATATGAAACATGCATCAGGTAAAAAAAGAGACTGTTTTGCATACCTGTGTTTGGGAATTGGGTACCAACTTATACATATTCTGGAGTTGTCCATTTACTTTTTTACCTGTTTTGACAGAAAGAAAAATAAATTCACAGAATTAATTTTTTGTTTTGTCCAAAGGAAAGCAAACCAAGTTTATTCACCTTTTATTTGTCAGCTCAGAAAGTTAGAAGTCTTTATTAAAAACCTGTATAAAAACACATAATGGAAAATTTTTATTGTCCTGTGTCTCGAGATCCGTTAATACATCTTCAAGGCCTTCTCTTCACATTTTGACAGCAAGGAAATTAAATGTATTCTTCTTGTTTTGTTTATGGTTTTGTTTGTCTCAGTGTATCAACAAGACCCCAGATTTAAACTCTGATTTTTTTCTCTTAAGTTTTCCTCTTAGTTTCTAAGTATTAGAAGTTTCTTGTGATGCAGCTGTTAAGTCAAGAAACAGTCTTGTTCAGCACCTACTCTATTCTAGCATGCTGCTTCAAACTTTCTCTGTATCTTCCACTTTTACACTTTTCTGCTGCCCTTCCAACAATGGATGTGCAAACAAGAGCCAAGCTACATGTTATCATATTTTTTTCGAATTCCATCCAAAACAGATGAGAAGTAGAAAAAAAAATTCAACTCTAAAAAAATATCAATTGAGAAACATTTAAGATGGAAACAAGTCTTTCAAAGTACTTGATACTTCTAAATAACAGGACTTACTATTGGCCTAAATTCAAGGGAAAAGTGACAGAAGTTTCTCAATGACTTCATGAGAAAATCATGGCAAGACGGTCTGAAATAAGCTACTTTAATCTCTTCTGAAAAAAATCAGTTAAATAAATGTTGAACTTTTGCCATGTCTTTCATGTGTTTTCAAATAATGAATTAAAAGCAGATTCTCTTCCCAACCCCTCCCAACATGTTTAGTATATAACAAAATTTCGGCCTGTGGATTCAACAAATCCAGGAACATGTAAAAGAACTTTCAGTTTCTAGTAACTGATATATTCTTCAGTGGCAAAAAGAACATTTACAGTGAAGGATATTTGGTTTAGGTTGAGATGCTTCTCCTATATGAGAAGAACTTGATACAAACCAAGAAATTAGCACAGAAAATAAGTGTCTGTTTTGTTGATTGATAATCTTTACAGGCATCTGGCTGCACATTTATTATAAATATACACTCTCTGTTTGCTGCCCACATTTTCTGTATCTACCTGCTATATACTAAAAATATGAAAGGTTTGAATTTGAAAGTGCTGACAATTTTCCCATTATAAGATTCTTTATCAGTAGACCAGAATGTAGACATGCAGGGTAATTACAAACTCCTGGGACTTAGCTGCTGCAGAAGCATCCACTGAATACACAAGTCTACACTGCAGAAAAAAAGAAATCTTATGTAAATAGAATATGAACTCTTAGAAGAAGTAATCTTTCAACCAAACTCAATGGGTCTCCATAAACCTACAAGAACAATTTTCCTGACCTATTAAAAATGTAAAATGTCTGTAAGAAACAGCAGTTGGAAATACATTCTATAGAAAGATAAAATGTGGTCATGTTTTCATCAGTCTTGAACAAGTAATAAACTATAAACATTTTGCACTCATCACTCTCTCTTATTCTAAGTGTTGAAATATCATCACTTGTTCTACAGATGACTTTAAGATGTTTGAAATGTAGAAAAAACCCAGAAAAAAAAAACCACTTGGTAAGATATCTGTAAGGCTGCAAAGCAGAGCTTTTTGTGAATCAGGTATAGGAAAAGGCTACCGCTATTATCCTCTTTAAACTATGGAATAGCAATGGCATTATTCTGGACAGCTAAAACACTGGGCAGGTGCTTCAAAGTTACAGCTTTGTACTTTATAATTAAGGCCAACAAAGCACTTTATTAGGCAGTGTAAAGGTTTTACCAGTGTTATAAGCCACCATACTGCTCCCCTCCTTTATCCTCAAGTATATCGAGCTCTGTAACTCACCTAGAAATCAAAACTGAAGTACAAATTAAATTTCAGATGGAAATCTCATATGAATAAGGGTCTCTAATGAGAATTCTCATTCTTTATATTTTGAGTCAAACTGAAAATACTAAGCATAAGATTTTCCAGCATCTTCTGAGCAACATCATGTTTCAAAATACTTTTATGCAAATACTTGAGGAAAATAAATCAAAATGGATAATCTGTTAAGTCCTGTCTTCTTCTCATTACAAGGAGGAAAACTCTACTGATACCTATTTCCTCTACTGGTATGAGTGACTCTTTCAGCATTACATGATTTCACAAGAGTTAATATGACATCATTTTTTCCTGCATTGTCTTGGTCTTTCAGAGGAGAACCTTAAAATATGAATGGCAGACAGCCAGAGGTGTTATACACTGCTCCATGAAAAAAAAAAAGCATACATGACACTGCATGCTTCAGACATGATCCATATAATACTTTGACTGTAAATTAGCTTCAAATTCATCTTTTGAGTGGAGTCATAAAGGGTCCATTGAGGCAGGACAGGCCCTGTCTAGCCTGAAGACCTTCAGCTTCAATGTAAATGCAGGTGTAAAAGAAGATACAAATAATGCTAATAATTTCCATCACTCATGATGGAAAAGAAATTCAATGGATTAGTTGGATGATGGTTGATGGATTAGTTCATTACTTGATCATCTAATTATTCATGGACTAAAAAACCTTAGAATCCAGAAAGAAGTGTAAATATTCCTACTCAACACTTGATGTGTATCTGTACTAAACACCTCTAGAATTCTATCAACCTGCAGCAGATCCTCCGTTTGCAATGACAAGAGAACACCTTTCAGAAGACTAGGTGGCAGCTTTTCAAAACCAAAATATTTCTAGTTTCAGCAATTCTTAAGAGAATTTTTAGGGGTATAATGGATGGCATTTAAACAATAAAAACTTGATCAGTGCCTTACTCTAATTAATACCATAATAGAGGAAAAATACTGTCAAAATCAGCAGCTCTTTGACTAACTATTGTCAAATACTTACTAGAGAGAACTGTCTTATGATTCAAAGTCTTGCTCCAAATACTATCCTCTGCATTGTCTTTAACTCCAAATTCATAAGGTGTGTTTGGCTTCAGATTGTCAATCACTGTCTCTGTAGCTGGGCAGAGCTGAAAAACCCATTTCTTGTCTTTACCTTTTTCTCTGTAGCGAACTGTATAGAACCTGCTCGGGGGAAAAAAAAAGAGTCTATGCAAAGGAATTCATGACAACATCTTTTGTGAGAAAATTAATAATAATAATAATAATAATAATAATAATAATAATAATAATAAATGTTCTATTGTTCTTGTTCTTTCTGCCTCTTTATGGTCACCAAATATCAGAATAGCCAGATCTATTCCACATATATGTACCCCATCATATAGACCATGACATTAGGAATATTGTACAAAGAGCAAAAGGACAGACTCCTTATTCAAAAACACCCATTGTACGTGAGGTTTTAACCACAAAGTGTAAGCTCATTGTCCAAGCAGTTCCTGCAATTCCGACATATGCCAGAACCAGTCAATTGCATCATGAGTCTGCTAGTCAAGAAGCCTGTACTGATTTCTCAAAATCATCTATATCCATCCAGTGAAAGGTGTTCCCTTCAAAATTAGTCCAAAACCATTCTCCAGGGAAGACCAGTAATATCTGTTGTTTGCTTAATACATTCCTCATTCAGAGATCCCATTATGTATTGCCCCCACTTCAAACAAAAAAATAAACCGAGACATTACTTCCAGCAGTTTAAAACATGTTGAATGCTAACAGATTGTGAAACTAGGAAACATTTCTACAGAAATTGCCCAATTCTGGCAAGGAGCACCACCCTGAAAAAGTATGACTGCAATGTTAACCAATCAAAAAAAGGTAGTGGAAATGGTGAGAGCTTCAGCGCAAGAACTCCCCTGCTGAAATAGTCTCATTTTCAATATACGTGCTGAATCACCACCAAAATGCAATGGATGTTTATTTTCTTGGAAAAGCAAATCTCAGAGTGATTTGGCCACTTTTAATCCAAGTATTACTGAAAATTGTTACACATAACATAAGTAACTCATGGGATGAATTCAGTCCAATTATATTTTGCCGCACTTAATGCTTGCAAATCAAGGTTGTGAGATTTATTACAGGCATTATACAGACAATTACATAGAGACAAAGGAATCTCTTCCTTAAAAAAAACCAAACCAACCAAAAAAAGGTTTCTAAACTGAAACTGAAAAAGTTTCAAGTCCAGACTAAAATTACTTAGTGGATCAAACCTAATACAGTCAATTAATAAAGCTTCTTCTGCTGAAGTTACAGAAGAGTCCTTTCAGAGTACAGTTTACATGAAATGCGACTGTTGAGTTGACAGAAATTCCTACTTCACTATTAAAACACGACCTAAGACAAGGAAAGTGTCACTCCTGGAAGATATTGCCATACATAATGGTTCACTTTGTTTACATATTTTATCTCATAACTGTCAAATTGGTTTTCTTGGCACCAAAAATATAGATTCTCCTGGTAAACCAGGAGCTACAATTCAGCTCATTCAGGTACTTCACCAGGTTCCAAGATCAATATTTGTGTTGACTCACATAACTTCATTAACTGTACTACTTTGTGTTCAAAAGAAGATATAGTCTAACTTAAAACTTGAAAAGGAAAAAAAAAAAACCCAAAAAAACCAAACTAGTGAGGAAAAAAAAAACAGTAAGTGAAAAAAAGACTGACAAGTAGTCAATATTCTCTCCCAGTTCCAGGACTGCCAAGAAATAATCTGCCTCCTTACTTCTGTGGGCTGTGATCTAATCAAATGTCAGATGGACCTAATTGTCAGTTAAACTGACAAAGAACATTTTAAACAATCAATTATTGGCAAAATTAAAAGAAGGAAAAATTCTTCTCCTTTATGTTCTTAATCTATTTGTATGTGGTCACAGAGACATTAACCAACAGGAAAAACTTATTTGAAATGCCTGTCACTGTCTTGCAAAGGATGTAACTTTAATAAACAAATTCAGTCTTCAACACAAATGACTCTTACTGGACCCCATACAGTCTTTTGGTGGGGGATTTGGAATAAGTATAGACAGACATTAGATGTGAATTCAAGTGGAAATAGTCACCTTTTCCCCTTGCCTGAAAGAGAAATTTTCATTGGTTTTCATCGTTATCCTCACCTTGTCCTACCTATTTTAATCCAATGGGATAGAAATAAAGTGTTTGCATGTGATGGAAAAAAGAGAGTATACTGTTTCAGTTCAGTTATTGAACAATCTAAAAGAACAGCTGCATCAGAAATGGGGAGAAAACAAACCACTAAAAACTTGTTGATAACAAATAAGCTTTTAAGTGGCTGTCCCCTCTTGCTTGTAGTGGACAAAATGTTCTACTTTTTAATGCTGTCTCCACACCCAGAATATTCTTCACTCTAATATAAATTAAAATACTAAGAACACATGCACAACCAGGAAAAGGCCCCATCTTTGACTTAAATTCAAGACTATTATAAAATCTGAAAAGAATATTTTTATAATTGTGCCGAACTATGCCATTAGAAGGAAAGAGAAACATAGAGCACAGAATAAATGTGCTCTCAACTCCAAAATTTCCAAGCCTATAAAAACTTCACTAAGGGTATAATTATTTCAGAGGAAACTTGCCATAGTGAGTACTAAAAACACTGACTCTGATGACAGAATTTCCTCAACCATTTCAATAAAAAGCAATAAAAATGAAGTTCCATTTAAGAGTTTGCAGGTCACAATCATTTGACTATTAACAATATCTAAATATCTACATGTGCTTTTGGGGTAATGTAATCATTTGTTTATAGAGTAAAAATTCAGAAATGCCAAGTTTTGTCATCAAAGAACAACAACTCATTGTTAAACCAGACCAAAAAACTGCCAAATAAATGCAATTTCAGTGTCTGCCTGAGAACACTGTACTGATTGAATACTGTTGTAATTTCAATTTCTCCCTTTTTCAAACCTTTCTTTCATCAAAAATACAATATCAAACAGTCAACACATATAATTGAAGACATGAATAAGCAGTAAGATCCAGTCACCACTCACATCTATCAATCCCCTTGTGGCAGTGACATACATGCACAAAATGAGTGCAGCTGGCTGAACTGGAAACATTCAGCAAAACATCTTCATAGATTCCCTCCAGAACAACATAAGGCAGTTGAAAGCACTGAAAGAGAGTGCTTAAAGGGAAAGCTACGCTACATGTTTCTCGAATAAAACACTTTCCATTATCTCTGTGAGGTAAGAAAAGGAAAAATCGATTGCTCACCACAGGGTCCTAGCAGCTAATACACTGTGGAATGCTCCTGGGAAAGCTATTCCCACCTGTGAATACTGGTTTGATGTTTCAGCAAGGAGATGGCACACCCAGCTACTCTTGGTGAGAAATTATTTCAATCTAGATTCTCAGCAGGTATAAGACCCAACAATATTTAACTTAATTTAACATTTCATTTTGATTAATTGATTTGTTATGTGTTTCGGTCGGGGGACAGACCTAACAATATTTAACTTAATATACCATTTCATTTTGATTAATTGATTTGTTATGTGTTTCGGTGGGGGGACATTTTATCAGAAAAATGTTTATTGAATACTATTTTATTTATATTTACAACAAATATTAATCAAATTATTGCAGGGGTTACTCTGTTTCTTTGCCAGCTAGCACTCTATAAAACATTAGAGCTCTTTTGTCAAACTCCATAAAAGTTAGTACCTCCCTCTCTCCCACTAATAGGCAATGCTTCACTCATTTGAAGATAACCACCAATTAGACCACTCTAGGAACTGTAGAAAAACGTTTTTACTAGACATCTAAAACTCCAACAATTTAAAACAAAAGGTGTTATAAGCAAGTGAGAGGTTTTGTTGCACTCAGAAATAATCTCTGTAATAATGAGGGAAAAAAACCACCCCAAAATTTGCCACAGCAGAGGAATAAAGAGCCTACATTCATTAAGAACCTCTCTCCATACACATTTGCACAAAATCATAGAATGTTTAGTGTCTACATTCTTGAAACTCTGTGTCTTTGATGATGTTTTTTACTTTGCTTGCCTCTACATAAGACGTACACAAAATGTGATGGCAGAAATAAAATAAGTAAGACCAAGTTAATAATTTAAAGGAAGCCACAAGAGCACAAGATTACTCATAGGCTAACCACTGTAGTGATTACTGTAGCTGCAGTCAATGCAAAAGACTCAGCCTGACACAGAAGGTTGTTTCTCCTCCTCTATGTTCAGCTTATGATGTTTGTTTTCATAACAAGGCAGTGCTCAGTTTAGAGACAGCCTTTTTGTTGCACTAGAAATCAAAATTTTAAAAAATGACCATTTTAAAGAAAGAACACAGAGGGTTTTTGCTTTTGAGATGAAGCAAATCTTATTCACTGTTAAAAGAAGTAGAATTCTAGGATGGATAGGCAAGACATTAAGTTTTCATCTATCAGTGTGAATGATACTGTTTTGCCAAGAATTCCAGTGTCATTTTTCGATTTTTTAACCAAATCTCATTTCAGCCAGATTCCCAGAACATGCTTGCACGATCAAATATTCAGACACAAACAATTAGATACTGGAAATCTTGTAAGGCAGATGGTTTTGTGAGATTTCAAGACTAGGTCAGTTTGTATAAATATCATGGATTTATTTGGAACCAGGTCCCAACCAAAACTCCAAACAATTTAATCATGACTATTTTAGTCACACATAACACTAAACAAACAATTAAGCCTTGGAGATATAAGAACATTCCAACTCTGTGATTTTGTGTTGCCAGAGACAATAGATTATAAAGCTTTTTTCTTTTTTTTTTTGTTCATAGAAATGTAATCAGAATTTTTTAAAAGAGATTATCAGCATAGCAGGTATTTATTTATTTATAATTAGACTTAATTAGAAGTGCAGCATCCATTAATATTAGAAAGCAATAAAAGAAATTGTTTGAACAATGATTTCTCATACACTGAATGTTGCACAAATTGACCCACGAAGTTGACTGTATTGTTTCCTTTTTTACTGCTAAGTTTACTTTAAAGTAACAGACACTGGAATGCATAAAAAATTGAAAGAACAATTTTTTCAATTTTTTCAAAGAACAATACCAGTGACAGTTACCAGCTAGGTTTGCAAAGCATTTTCTAATTTAGTTTTGACTCTTACATGATCACTAAAATTCACTTCTTCTACTTAAAACTTTTAGTAGAATGACTGAAATAAAGAGTGAGAGGTTCTGAAAAAGGAGAGACTGAACAACAACAAATAATTCCAGTTTAAACAAGCTTTTAGCATGTACTCCCACAGCAGCAACTCAAAAACATCTGAAACTCAAGGAGTGTATTTGCTGCTGTATATTTTCCTTTAAGAAATTCTGCTATGTTTAAAATACATTTTGTATGACACTTGCAACACAAAGTATGATTTAGTTGGCAGCTGCATAATGACAGTTTGTAAATAGGCACAGGAGAAGATATGTACATTTCTTTCTGAATTTCAGATTTTAAAAACACTACTTCTACATACTATACAACGAAAAGACTGTTTGGACTCATCCCTGATTTTCCTTTACTGTTTTCCTTGCATTTTTTTTTAAAGCATCAGATAAAAACAAAATAAAACACAAAACCTCTGCTACTTGCAAGTATGACATTAGGACATTTAAATCACAGGTAAATAAATTAAAACAATGCCAATGTGAAATTGTCATAGCATTTAACTTAAAAAAGACATACCTTCAGGTTTTAAATTCTTATTTTTGCATATATCTGAAAGTGTGTTTGTTTTTCTACACAATCCATTCAATTGAATATTATATTTTACTGCAAGTATAAATTCTGATTTAATCTAACATGAAAAAAAAAGGGTTTTGTTCCATCCCCTGACTTTTCTTCCTAAAGAATTGAAAGTTGAAGTCCATCTTTTTTGACCCCCAGCTACAGAGGTGTTCTAATCAAAGCAAAGAAAGAAAAATCTACAGAGTATTCTCTCTTTTTCAGATCTGAATGGAGACTAAATGAAGCCCCAGTACTTTTATTTTGACTTTTACTTTTATTTCACTAATATTTGTCTGAACACAGCTATGCAGAGAGGAAACAAACCTCTTACTCTTTTGGAAATAATAAAAAGAGGAACTGAACATGGCTGTGCAGCAGGATATTGTGACTTTGCCATCTTCCCTCATCAACTGCCTTCCACTCATTTCAGAAAGCAGAGGATGCTGAGAAAGGTTCCACCAACTGTGCTTCCTGGTGTTATGTAGTTTTCATCAGTTACATAAAACTAATCACTTGAGTTTTTTTATTTCAATTTTTTTTGTTTATTTTAGATTCTAGTGCTAAGCGTCTGAGAGATAATAGTCACTTCAAGAATGCTTCAAAATTTCACCTTCCATTTTTGGTCCACAAAAATGGCAGTGAATATTTTTGTTTCAACAAGGGATTAGCATTTGGGGTTATCTTGAAGGAAATATGTAGCACTCCTTTGGCTTATGCTCTTAATCTCTAGGGAGTTAAGCCAAAATAATGATTTGTTGAAAAATGTCACAGTAAATTTTTTTCATCAGTGTTTCTTAAAAATCTCATAGATACAGAAGACCACTATGTTCCCTGAAGAAGCAAGCAGCAATTTCACTGAATCAGTAAAAGATATTCTCTTTGAGATTTCTTTGAGACTCTCTTTGAGAATATGGCACCTCTTATTCCAAATTCATTAGCTCACAAAACCAGATCTTCCAAGGAATATCCCACTGAGGTCAAACTTGCACTAGAGAAAATCTTGGCCAGCAAAACTGTGCTATTCCATGTGGTTTCTATCTTCTGACTCAGTAACACATTGAAATAATGCAACATTTTATTATGCAACTGTTGTACAAAAACCTAACATACACATGGAGATGGTAAAATCTGAGGCTGAGAACAGTGACTCCATTTCAGGTCATTGAGAGTTACAAATTTAAACCTTGGTGGGACATTGACTGACAGAACTGAGTTAAGAGGTCCTGACTGCTATGTACTGTCAATGCCAAAGGTTAGAGTTCAGCCACTAACAGCAGTCTTGAGGATGATTAACAGTCACAGTAAGGAGAATATGCCAGATGAAAAAGCATCAAGCCAGGTACACTGCCCCTGAAATTTTGGTGAATCTGTTACTGGCTTTTTAAGTCTTGTACTTTTATCACAACACAAACTTGCTAAGAATGGGCTGCTTCCTATTTTTTTTCTTATTGTATATTATGAAGTCATTCAAATTATTATAATAAATTAATAGTTTTTCTTCTACACACTGACTTGAAATATATATGGATCTAATCTCTCTTAGAATTCTAGATATACACACCATGTATGTCTACATGTCATGGTCACATGGACAACTGTTCTTATAATTTATACAAATCATCTCGCAAGCACTTTGGTCCAGTAAAGGTAAAATTAATAAGAGTACCACTTAAGTGACTTTTTTCTTCATTAACTTCCTTGTAATGCTTGATTGAAAAACAGAAATCTGGTTATAAGTATATACCTAACTTTCATAAGATCATTTGTAACGTGATATAAATATTTTTAAACTATCTACTCCTGTCTGCCAATATTCCACTGAAATGTGCACTTTAATTCCTGAGAGGAGGAATACCTCAGAATGTATTCTAAGCATAGCAAAACACTAGTAGCACACTGTCCTAACTGAAAAACTATATTAAAAACTTTGTTCCAACTTTGAGTCAAGGAATGCCCAAAAAGAAAATTCAGCTACTGAGGAGAAAACAGAGAACTGATGAAGGCATGGTGGTGGATACCATTTGCCTGGAATTTGCAGGTGCATTAATATAGGATATAGGCTTCTCCTGAAGTGTTCTTCATTCCCACTGCACAATGGCTGCTGCAACACTGGTGCTGACACATCACATAAAGAAAAATTCCTTGGTAAAAACTGTGCTAAAACCACTATGTTGGAACACTCTACAAGTTCATCCAAGATCAGCGCATTTCTTCAATTTCAAGCAGTAGGAAAAATATTTTCTTCTTGCTTTATTGAAAGAGCAAAATCTAAGCCTTAACCAATTTTTATTTCTATTGAAGAAAAATCCGATCAAATTTCATCTTTGGACATTTACTAACATTCCATAACTGTTTCCTAACAAACATTAACTTTTTTTTTTTCAATGGTGCTTGAAATTCTGGTTGGTGATGAAGATCCAAATGTTTTTCATGAGCAATTTCCGATGCTTGAAAAGGATCAGTCCTTTTGAGAAGTATGAAACTTTTCTAAAGGCAGGAAAAAATAATCCTGGCTAAATGGGATGTGTTTTTTAACATAGCCTATATTTGACATCCAGTTTAATCATGTCCGCTAGAGTTTTCTTACAAACACCAGAGTAAGAAAAGTCAAGTCTAATGAGACAGCTACAAACTCGACAAATGTTAGACAGGTAAAAGAAATGTTTCTGAATCATAAAATAAAAAGAACATTTAAAAAGTTGCAAAACAGATGTAGATGCATCCCATGGTTCATAATGTTTAGTTTTACAAAACACTGTTGAGTAGAATAGAGCTTCACAAAATGTAAATGAAAGTAAAAATATTCTTCTGTCATCAAGGAACAATGTAAAGAGAAACACAAGTAGAGAAAACATCTGCATTAGCAATTTAAATAATTTTATTCATCTACAGAGGGTTGACTAAACCATAATAGTGCACTTAATTGAGAAGCTCTTCTGCACTATGACTTCTCTTGAACCTGCTACTTGAAGAGCTTTTCTGAGTTTCCCACCTCCTGTGCCACTCAGTTAATGCCAAAAATATTGACATAGAAGAGATAATTTTTTACTTACAACAGAAAATTAATGAAAGCTGTACTGTATCAGTTTTAATGATAAGAAAAATAAAGGAAACAAAATTCAAATGGTGTTAAAAAAAGGCATCATTCCCCCCATCTCAGCACAACAAAAGACTTCTTTTACACTTTTTCAGTCCACTCTAAAGTAAAATATTTCCTGTGATTTAACAAAGTTTCAATCGGTTCAGATACAAATGAAGGAAGAGCCAAGGCCATTATTTTAAGAACAAAGGATTCAGTGTGAAATAACAAGATTTGTAATTCAGTGTGTAGACATCTCAGTAAAGTTGCTGTCAAGTAAAGAGTTGCAAAGCACTAGAGTGAGCAAATGAAAAAACTGACTTCACATCCAGAACTATTGTTTACAACGTTTCAATTTTTACTGTAAAAATTATATTAATCACAGCAGAGAGCTGCACTGAGTGAACTCATGGTGGTAATAAAGCCCATCCTGTTCTGTTGTTACCTGTCACTGGCACAGTTACTTGTTGCTGTCCAGTCATGTTGGGGGTTGACTAGGATGCCCCAAGAGAGAAACACAGAGGTTGGGGTGAGAGTGCCAACCACCAGCTGCAGAGGCTTCTGGGTCTTGTTCCGACCTACATAAGAAACATAAAAAGTTAATTTCTCCTGCCTGCATTATGCAAAGGAAAGGTTTTGCAGATTGATAATTAAGTAAATGAAGATGTCTTCTAAGTTGAAGGGAAAGGTACAGCAGTTCTCTAATTTTCATGGTCACTATTTCTAACACATGACTTACAAATGTGACAGTGTCCATGGTCACTTTTTCAACCTAACATTCCAGTTAAAACTAGTTTTTGAAAACAGTCATTTGGTCGTTTAAGTACACTTAGTATAAGAATAAGCTATAGGTAGATTAAATTAAAAACTCTTGCTATCTTGGACTACAACACAGAAGACATGAGAGAGTCCAGGACATTAGAAAGCCTCCATGAATGTGATAAAAATAGCATTTCTTGGCAGGTTTCTCAGTTACACTGCAAATATATCTACACATAATAAATATTTTCTAGAGCATTCTTAAGAGCAAAATAAAACCTACAAAAGTTCTTTAGCTTTTAACTGCAGGCAGATCTGAATCAGTGTCTGTATCTGCAGAAATTTTCTCTTTTAATTACCAACTATATTGAAATCAGGTTTTGCATGATACTGAACTTCAGCTTTGCTCTGTATAAAGGAGTACAGTCCTTGTGGGGAGCAAGAACTTATTTTAAAGAAAGTTTAAAAGCTAATAGATGGAAATGAACAAATTATGTAGAGAGTCTATTTTGAACCTGTATTATATGGACTGCTATAGGCCCAAGGAGAATCTCTGGTGTTTGAAAGATTATTGACCATGGGAAATCAATATATTCTTTACATCACATTACATACTTAAAAAAATCTAAGGGATCTGTACCTTCTCAAAACATACAGGTGACCAACATTTCCTGAAATTTATAAGCCACTGACGTAAAGGGTTTTTTTCTCACAGTTGTGAACCAAATTTGACTTTCTACTCAGCCTTTTCAACCCTATTATCTCTTCACTTAACCAGCCCCAGTGACAGCCTGTTTTGTATTTTCAACCAATAGATGTGTGTACATTTAGAAATCTTAACCATGTTGGTTTGAACTTTATGTTGATGATGAATTTGTTGTTACAAAACCTACATTAAAAACCAACATAGATATGTTGCATCTGAAGGGTAAATCACTTTCCAAAATCTTTCCAGCCATATTGTGTTATACCTCACAAAGAACAAGAAAATATCCCAAACATTACCAGGAGTTAGGAAAAAAAAATCATCCAAAGATCATAGAATAATTTGGGTTGGAAGGGACCTTTAAGGACCTTCTAGTCCAAGCCCCCTGCCATGAGCAGGGACATCTTCAATTGGATCAGGTTTCTCAGACGTGATCTGCCCAAAATGACCTTGAGTGCTTGCAGGGATAGGTCATGAGTTTATTTTTTGTAACAGTCCAGTCATCCTGAAAGAAGTCTCCACATTAAAGTACAGAATTAAGTCACTATATTAAAGTAATATATTCAGAATTCAGAACTAACAATACTGATGGCATGATTAAGGTCATATAGAAATACTTTGAAACAGATGAGAACAAAATTCAGATTTCTACTCTGCTGTGTATAGATTCAGCTGGAAATATCACTTTCTGTAACTTCTTGCATTAGCAAACTTTGTGGTATATTGATATAGAGACAGACACACACTACCACTTTCCAACGAAAAACTAGGAGCATTAACATGTCTATGGATGAAGGAATCCTCACTTATAGTTTGGGAAGAATAACTTTAATGTCTTTAAACATCAAAAAATAGTAGTTTAAATTTCAATTCTCATTTGTAAGAACTTTATGCGAAAAAATCTTTAGGTATATCTTCATGTTTTGAGCACTGTGTGTGTGGCTACTGACTGGGAAACGCTGTCCCACATTTTACCTTTCCACACATGGAATTTGTGCATCCCAGTGAGATGCCTACAGGTAGAAACATCTTTTCAGAGAAACCCAGCACAAGGGTCTGTTTTCTTTCAAATATTTTAAGAAAGAGATGCAGCAAGATTAAAATACCTGAACAAGATTTCTTGTTATTTGAAACACGTGATGGTCTTACTGAAACCAAATACCGCGGCTCTGCATCTGCAAATGAATGAAAAATTAATTAGTACAGATGTGCTATTTATTTGAAAAAGAGATTAATCTGAAATTAATAAGAAAAAGTCAAATAGTCAGTGAATTCTTGACACATTGTCCAATCTTCATGATCTTTAGGCTTTTTTCTTTAAAATTCATTGAGTTTAAAATTATAAATTATTCGATTAAAGGAGATATTTATTTTAGTTTAGGGAATTCCTCTTCAGAAATAAGATTTTCTCTTACACTTAAAACCAGATGTCAGAGATTTCTGCCCTTCTTAATTATTTAAAACCAAGCTTTATTCCCTCTTAACTGCAACATGAGAGAAGTTGTCCTAGGATATTCCAGCAAGATATCCATGGGCAGAATTTGGCTCACTCTCTACTGACCAAATTTCTTTACTATGGCTTTTAAAAAACAGGACTACTCTCCATAGAATTCTTATTCTAGTTTCAATACATTTATCTAAATGCATAAGTACAAATAAGAGACTGAACTTCCTGCACATTTCAGGCACCTTGAATTCTACCAACTAAACAGAACTGCTAAGAAATCATTCATTTTTCTCTTACACTCAGATTTCTGTAAACAGAGAAAGGAAAAGCAGTACCAAAAAACCCAAAAGCTTGCCGTACTACTGAAATGGTTCTGCCAGTATGGGGAAAACCTCTCTAACTTAACTTCTCTGATTCTGTGCACCTAAAGCACTGGAAACCCATCTATGGATGTGCTTTAATTGTTTAATTAGTCTTTTTAAATGGGTTTCATCTGCACCAAATAACCAAATAAGCATTGAAAACAGCTGTTCAAAGCAGTGTGGAAAAAATAATTAGTTAAAAAAGGAATCCCAAAGTGAAAATATGCCTTCATTTACAAATTATGTTTTTTAATATTTAGAAGGATACACAAGTGTAGGAGTTGTGTAACCACTTGGATACTTTTTGTATTGAGACTGAAGAATAGAAATAAGCAACACTTTAAAATAATTTGGTTTCCCTGTGTTATAAACCCAGTTTTCTGCTCTGCATTTTTGACCACTTGTGAGATGTTATAACTCTCCCAAAGTATTCAACAGGATTATTTTAAAGCATGACCTTGAAATTTCTAGAACTATAAAGCCAGTCTTCAAAACTAAAAATTTATGGGTTTATCAGTAAAATGTCCAAGGATTGTGAAAGAAAATTATTCAAATACTTTGAAACAATTTTTGCCTGCTCCATAAATGAAAAAATTAATTCTGGCTGAAGTCTGAAATTACTTGTATAGCAGTATAGAAATAGATTAACTGCTAAACAAAATATGGCAATACACAAAGACCGTTAATGCCTCACTGCACATCTCAGCTACAAAACCTGGCAGTTTTCAGGATTCATTAGTGCTAGCAGGTGTTTATGTTCTCTAACAAAGTATTCTCTGTGGAAATATTTTGTTCTACATGCTGTTCATTAAGTTTTATTTTGGTGAATTTAACAAATGTTGCCTTAATAAAGAATACAACACATTCCCATTTTCCAGTGAATTCATGGCTCTTCCGACTGTAACACAACCTACAAAAGGAAGCATTTAGGAAAACAGGATGAGACTAGATGTTGACAGAGGGAAGAGGTAGGTTTAAAAAGTGCCACTTCTTTAGAACCACTGAACTTAAGACAATATTATGATCATTATAACTGAAATCAGAAAATGAATTTGTTAAACAAATCCATTCAATACCTGGGATACAACAATACATTTCTGTACGGTGTTTAAGCTATATCTTAATTTGGAGATATGATCCAAGATTCCTGAGCAGAACCACCCATGCTACTACATAGATCTTAAGAGTAGAGCGACTGTAACTTAAATTAAATTCACTGGTTTGATGCACAGTACCCAAGCATTATGCATGGACAGGAGGACACATGCCTTGAAATGCTTATACTCTGGGCAGATATGCAGTCTATATCCAAGACACATGAAATTAAAAAATGCAGAGAGCTTTTTCAATATCATATAAGGAGCCCTGACTCATTAGAATTGGGAGCTCTTTCTTAGTCTTCCACTGCAAATCAACATTTCTTTTAGTAAATTCAGAAGACTACTGAGTTTCTACAGTGATTCAGTTTTCTTGCTGAGAAATATGACTATCAGTCATCATCACAATGCTGAAATCAGCTGATGCTACTATGACTCAATTCATTTTCAGGGCGTTCAAACATTGCCTCACCCATGTATTAAATTCTGTCAAGTTACAAGAAATATTTCATGATAATCTGTGTTCTTTTATGATGCTTATATATTCATAATCCATTTCACAGATCCATGTCTATAAGAAGCAGGAATCTTGGGAAGAGATGAGTAACACAGCAGAAGAAAACTAAAATCCTGCAGAATATCAGAACATAAATAAAGCCATAATTTGCACTAATTCATGTAATGCTTAAAAGATAAATTGCTGAAATAGGAGGCAGGTAGGAAAATGTAATAGTCATAAAAATATGGATGTTTGACTGCATGTAATTATGATTCACAGAACAGATCAGCTATTTGCATGAAAATATATTTAAGAAGAGAAGCTTGTTTGAAAAATAAAATTATAACCTCAAGTAAAAGCAAACTACACCACAGACTACAGACAATCCTGTTTGCAACTGAATATTTCTTATTTTCTTTGAATTGTATTTAGTAAGAAAAGGATAGTTATGTAATTAAGATCAATGTTGAAATGTCTGGACACAAATTCATGAATCCAGCATCTGCCTCCAAAAATAATTTAATAATCAATATATAACAGAGAAATTTATGATAAAGATGCAAAATATAAATCTGTCTGTCTCCCATCTGTGAGGATCTATAATCTCATAAATGAAGGATCCCTACAAAACAACACAAGCTTTAAGAAGTTAAGTTTGAAAAATATTTGCAAATTTGCTACTAAAAATCTTAGTAGCTCCTTGATGCCTAACACATTCTTGGAGGGATGCTACTCCAAGACCACTTGTTTGAATCTACTACTGTCTAACCCCCTTAATCAAGGCTAGAACAACAAATATCTTGGCTAAGAACTCCTTTCAGATCAGAAATAAAGTCCAAAGAGTGACCACCTTCAATTCTTTAACCACAAAATACTCTAGGAAAACACCCACATATACCAGAGAAATGCTCCTCCATGAATCCATGCCTAATTATTAGTGAAGTAATTCCCCAAACATAGGCTATTATATTAATAAATATAATTATTAAAAGAATAAAGCTTCTATTAGCCACTTTAACAGCTTATGAAGACAACCAGAATGTAACAGACACATGTCACTGAAATATTAGATTAACAAAAAGATGTCTTACTTTCACGTGCCAAGAGCTAGGCTATCAAATCAGTGGCAGCAGGCAACTAACAGGCACTACAAAATGCCCCACCTTAACAGCTCATGAAGACAACCAGAATGCAACAGACACATGTCACTGACATATCAGATTAACAAAGAAGATGTCTTATTTTCATGTGCCATGAGCTAGGCTATCAAATCAGTGGCAGCAGGCAACTAACAGGCACTACAAAATGCTAGGAAATTCTGCTTCTGTTCAAGCACACGATTCAGGGCCCAGCCAATATGCACTTGCAAGCAAAACAATGTAAGTATGAACTGACTGATGAACTTAGAATAAATCTTAAAATAGTGTTACAAATGCATTATTAGAATTCATGGACCACAGGATTCAGAAATCAAAACAAAGTAATTTTTTGCTTCAGGCTGCAAGCCCTTAATCTGTATTTAGGGATTGCTAAAAACTTCCCATGGGATGTTGTTAAGGGCAAAGTTGGAAGAAGGGGAGGATGGAAAGTATTGTAGTGTAACAAGCATGGGAGAAGACAGAGAAGTGGGACAAAGAGGCTGGCATGAATGAACCTGCTGCTGATCAATGCACTTATCTAGAGGAAGGGGCATCTGCTGGACACCTCCAGTTCCTCTTCTCCACGAGACTCTGCTAACATTAGCAATGAGAACTTGCTTCCTGGTAAGTTAGCAGGAGGCAATGCTGAATTAACATCACGTTATTTGGCATCTTGAAAAGCATGTAGCGAATACAGCTGCCAGTTTCTGGTAACTGATAACAAACTGCACAGCAAGATCTTTTAGCTAAGCACTGCTCCAGGACAGATCCCTGAGTTACACTTCTAAAATGTGCTCAAGGTGGTACTAGAAGCCTCTCATATACATACATAAACATGAAATTCACATAACACTTACTGGCATTGTTACGAAGCAGGATTACCAATACATTCTCCTCTTACACTGTACAATCTTGTACAAGGAAAGGAAAAGCAAAAGCATTGCCCAACTTTGAGCTGGTTTTAGAAACAGAAAGGGAAAATAATTTTGTTAATTCTGTTAAGTAATTGCTGTTCATTCTTGCAAAAATTTCCTGTCTCCACCCAAATTTTTGGGTTTCTCCAACAGTATCAAAAATTTCTAGGAGGTTGGCTTGCAATCTTCCTAGCCAGGTTAGGAAAGACTAACACAAATCTCTTAAGCAAATACTTTCTTTACAAGTCAGGAAGATGGAAAAAATTAAGATAAAGTTTTAAGTCAATCCCAGAGCTTTTGGATGGGTCCATTCACCTTTCTATTATTCTAGTGGAATTAACCTCTTGATACCTTTTGACACTGAATAACTTTCATGACCAAAAATCATGTTGTTTACTGTCATGTGAGCACATAATGTACACTCAGCACAAACCAAATCTGATGTCCTGAAGCAGAGGCATAATTCTTGGGAACAAACTTGGCTGCTGCCTTGTCATTGTCATTTCAGTATATTCAGATCTATCTAGTAGAGCATGAAGCTGCTCAAGACTTTGCTGCCATCAGAAACTCATCACAAGTTCAGGAAATCCAACAGGATCCTTTTCTCTTTGCCCATGCCTTCTGCAGGCAGATCCCAATTTATTGATGATGTTATCCAATTGCTGCCTCAATTACTATATAATTTGCAAAATGAAGGGAAAACAGATATTTTAAGGTAAGAATTACTGCAGAGAGATGCTGAATATTTTAATGGATGAAATGTAGGTGAATGTCACACGTACAAAAGCATATCTCTCTTCTCAAAATCCTAGGACATGTCATGTCCTTAATAATTTTCTTAAAAAATATATCCATCTATAGACATGTAATTTTATAAATTAATACATCTGCTGACTTCAAGCTTCCTGTTAACAGGATCATAAAAGGTGTGTGACCCAGCAAAGAAGCTGACAATAAATTTCATATTAATCTACAATGGGTGTGTTGGAAATATGGAATTTGTGGGCCTCACAAATACATATTGTTGTGTATATTGTCATCTTCCATATTCCAGTTCCAACTGGGGACAATTATCCCAAACAGAATACTGATTATGCTGCTCCATTAACAAAACCAGGGATGCAGAACTAAATCAAGGAAATGTGGAAATTTCTGCAAGGCACTTCATTCTACTTGTAGACCTACACTCTTTGTTAGAAAGCAGAAATTATAATTTAAAGGACTACCATATTTTAGGAAGGGAATAGTGGTTTATATGTGAAGCCTGTGTAGTTTTTTACACTAGCCTAACACATAAATTAATGCCTTTTTTTATTATTGTTTACAGCTGATTGTGTATCTGTATGATTGTTTCTTCAACATTTTCACAGAATAAACAATTTTAATGCTACCAGAACAAGATCCACTTTCATGGATCTTCCATTTTCCTGGATCTAATCTCTCTCCCAGGGATTATATTCCACAGCATTGCTCCTTAATGAATTAGAAAAACATACATATTGTTTAGAGAGTAACAAATGCCTTTAAAAGTCCATTTCTAATCTTTACCTTTCACTACAAACTAATTTAAGGGTGTGATCATAGTCCCTGAATGGACTGGGAAAGGTTTCTCTTTCCACAAACCACTAAAACTGACAAGAGAGGAAGTATTAAATTGTATTAGTCTTGATCTAAACAGACCATAATAAATTTTCATATTTGGGAACCACTTCTTCCACATTCTGCTCAATAAAAACCTCACCTAACACTGATCAGGGAAGCCTATAAACTCACCCGCATTCTGTAAAATTCAGATCAGTCAAAGCATGAGAGGACCAAAAAGGAGTTCTCAGGGCAAATATGAATGGTGTTTTTTGTATCAGCCTAGTTGCTTTGACTGTGGAAAAATATGTGGAACACACTGAACACTATTTTCAGAGCGTGCAGTGGCACTTGGATCGTTAGAATATGTAGAACATGGGATAGACAACTTTGAGTGTGAAATTTAAAAGTACATTGTTTCAATATGAAGACAACATACTAGGCCAACTTCATCACATATGAGATGTACCAAGAGTACAAAGATAATCTGAGATTTTTCAGCAATAGGGTCCAGAGGGTTTATTCTTTGGCATATTTCTTGAGAGTATTTTCATTGTCCCTCTATAACACCTCGCTTTTTCTAAAATCAATATAAAGTGTATGCTAGAGCTGAGGTCTCTGGCTGCCACAATAAAACTTAATCATTTTTCCTAGAATTGAGAACCATTCTGCAGTTCTTCCAGTTTCTGCCAGCAACTGATCCCTAATAATGGTGGGGAGGAGGGAGTGTGCTAGCAATCATTTCTGTCTTCATTTCTGCCACACAAGTCACTCTTAAGTAGAGCCAAAAGCACAACTGATGTTTATTGCTTTAGCTCGTGTTCCATACATATTTGGAAAGCACAGTCAAAGCTGCAATTTAATGTTGTGTTTAATATTTGTGAAATGGGAAAGATTACGCACTCTCAGCTTCCAATAAATAAGTCCCCAAGGCACTCAATCTAACCCTAAATGTCTCAAATAAAAGCAGCAGCTCCAATAAATGTACTGGTAATTCCTCGAATTAATGTTTGCAACTTCAAGTACATATTGCTGATAACTTCTTTTACTCCTGTCTTTTCAAAGATGACATTTTTCTGAAGGTTAGAAATGCTTGTCTTGCTATCTATATTATGTTGTGTTTTGCATGTTTAGTTACTGGACACTCAGAAGTCACAAGCATAGATTTATTGTCAAAAGGAAACTGACAACTTCTATTAGCATGAGGGAGATAAAATTTTGATGTTATTCTCCTTTGAAATAATCATAAAAGAAGAGTATTCATCAACATTTGTGCTTTTCTCTCTCCAGACACCCTACAGCAAATGGATATGCATATGGTCAGTGCTCTGTGCTGTGGAACTAAAGAAAGGTGCCTAGATTCCAGCCATTAACTGTTATGGTTGAAGCTACAAAATATCAATATTCCTGAAATTCCTGGTAACTTTGAGCTTTCAGATTTGCAAAACAGTAGATATAAAAGCTTCTATTACATAGGGAGGGAAAATGATTTTACACAATGTTACATTCAGTCTTTTTTTTGTTCTTCCCTAAGATCTCAGAATACCTGAAAAAATTAATCCTCAAAAATTAATCCTCACTACTCCTGCAACAGGCATTGTTGTGCCTAATGCACAGTATACTACAGAAAATCCTGTACATCATTCTTAGTGAACTGATTCAAAAGTTACACACAAGATGAATTAGGTAAGCCAGACCCAGCTTAGGCAAAGGTTATGAAGTCAAACACTGGATGGGTGATAGAATTACAGAGGGATCCCAGGAGTACCAACTCATGAAAAGGAAAGTTAACCTTTGCCACAGTGACCCTATCAGTCTCCAATATCTTAATTATTTTGTGTCTAACATCTTTTTTTTTTTCAGATTTTATTCTGCAGTTTTCAGCCTGGAGCAGACACCCACAGTGGCCTTAACTGAACCCACTAAAACTGTGGCAATTATTACTTCTATGCTCATGCATCCTTTCTTCCCTCTTGCTTTACACCAAGATCATAAGCATTACAATGATGAGGGTGAACTGATTCATTTTAGGCTAGAAAAACTTAAAGAAATCAATAGAAAAATCCTTAGGGATTTAACAATTTCTCAAAAGGTCGAATCCTGATAAATCAATGTTTTAATAACTCGTTCTTTCTTCTCTCTATTCCAGATAACAGGATATAGCATTCTTGACATGGTTTAATCTCTTCCATAAAACAGTTCATGGCATTCCATCGGTAACTTCTGACATGGTAGTTAGAGGTTAATCTATAACATGCAATACTGGCGTAGATCCCTACAAGAAGAGGCATCTTGTTGATATGAATGTTTCTGTCAAAAAGAATCAACCACACAATTCTCAAGACTCTCACTGCTTCTTCTATTGTTTGTTAAAAGCATGTGAATTTCCCTTATGCTCTACTTTATAGCTGCATCTTTAGGCAAACCATCCCATTTGATGTGTGATGTGTTCAAGTATAGTACAGGCTCTCACTAAAACGAAAATCCCCAAAAGAAATACCAGTAAGCAAAATTTCCAGACAACAAGATCTAGTTGCTCTCCTTGAAGGATCTGCTAATTTCACTTTCCATTGAAGTTCTTGACAGCAACATTTTAAAAAAAACAAAGAAGCTGTGAGTAAAACAAAAAATTAGGTGAACAAAAGGTTCATATTCTTCTCAGTCTCTTCCCATAATTCATTACAACAACAGCATGCAAAGCAAATATGGCTTACCAAGTTCTGTTATGTAGTTTTTTCCTTCTGAAGGTAAAGGAATGTACTGATTAGAAAAGAAGTTGCTTCCATAACCCAGGACAAAACCTTCTAGTTTGGTGCTTTGACTTGGTCGAAGATACCTCATGCACACAGTGTCATCTGTCGCGTTGATCTGAACCTTCAGACTCTGCCTTTTCACTGGGGAAAGAGTGAAAAAGAAGAGATCAGACTGCATTACCTTGACATCACATATTCAGTAATGGAACATGACAATATAACAATACAGTGCTGTTAAATTTGTTAACAGCATGCAACTGAAAAATTTCTTATAGGTGATGTCCCCTGGAAACACCATGTATTTATAGAAGTGAACTAACAGTCATGTATAGTAATGGTTGCCAACATGACTGTTTTTCCACTAGTTTAGCATTATCATTTGCTTTAACATCTACTTTTGCAGTAGTAAAACCATGCATGAAGTGGAAAAAATGCAAGTGTTTTTTCCTTTAAATGCAAGTGTTGAAGTAGTATTAGCCATATGTAGGACTCATGGGAGAGAAATGTACAAGTTTTTGGTTTGATTTTTTTTTTTTTTCTTAGTAGAAAATATGAAGTTCCAAAATTAAGTTAATCAGTTAATCACACTCAAAAATTATGGTAGATTATAAACAGCAACTAGAGCCAAATAAATCTTCTACAATTTTTTTCCCCCTATATTGGGCTGGAAATGTAATTCTGTATTTGGAATTACACCAGGACACCTAACTAACATAAATACTTTACTCAAAACTACGAAAAAACTCTTTTTAAACATTCATTTTTATGCTTTCCAGGGGAACAGCACATAAAGTAAGACACATCTTGTATATCCATCTGCAAAAATTTAACTTGCAGCAACAGAGAATGACTTCACAAAAGAATAACTAACTTTTTAGGCTACAAGTTGGTGTTTTGGCTTCTTCTTGGTGGGGTAAGGGAGGATTGGCTTTTCCCTTTTCCTTCCTTGGTATGTACAATTTTAATACTCCCTTGTTACTGTTAGGCCTATCATATTTTCAGAACTGTGGAATTGCTGGCTTTTCCCCAAACTTACGACACCAGCACTAGACTAGTACATTTTGTGTACTAGTATTCTCAAAGTATAAATTTTTACCCCCAGCAGTTTTTCGGGCATCTGTTCAATCATGAGGGTTGAAATTAACTTATCAGGAAAAACCAGAATTTTTCAGATAGTAATTTTGCTTCGGGAACTAAATCCTGAAGAACAACTATGAAATAAATGATAAATAATATATCATTAAACAATAGAATAGAGCGATACTAAACTTTTCTTTCTTTCTTTCTCTCTCTCTCTCTTTCTTTTTCTCTCTCTCAGTAATTTCTCTCTCTCAGACTGATATTCAAACTTTCTCTAGACAAGTACATACTGATTCTCTGGTATCATCCCAACATACCCTGGGTTTTTTTAGAGAAATTCTAATGACTAGAGTTGCCAAGAGACCAAAACCCTCACTTTGTTTTAGTAGATGATTTGAGCATCTGCAGTTGTCTGCACACAGAATGTAAAGCCTTAAGCCAACACTTTATGCCTCTTCCCTTTACAGAAAGAAATGTACAAGTAAAATTGATGGAAAACATCTGCCTCCCTTCCTTTATCTAAAGACTGATCAAGAAAAATCATTCAGCCAGGAAACTGTCACAATTTTCCGAAGGCAACTCTGCCAGGTTCCAGAAGACTGCAAGGCTTCTAGAAAACTCAGTTCTCTGGCATTCTCAGCAGAGCAATGCCTTCATGGAGGAAAGGACAGCAGTGGCTTCTAATCTCTGTGACATCCTAGCTCATTTAATTTCAGTACACAAGAGTGCTGAGGATGGGCAACTCTGAATATTGACAGGGCTCCATATAGCACAAACCAGGAAGAAAACACAACACACTTCAAACACCCTAAACTGGGTTCATAAAGACACTTAGTGAAAACTGGTAACAAAGTTTAGAATTATTATCTCTGGCTGACAGTGAGCTACATCTGATTAAATTATGGATTCTTCAAAACCCATTAAGCATTATTGAAATGATGGTCTCCTGGTCTCTAATGATACTCATGTCTACAAAAAGAAGACTTACAGAACTTAATTCAAATATGGCAATTTGATTTCCATAATAAAATTCTTAATCAGTCTCAAACCTGAATTTATAAAAAAATACTAGAGAACATCTATTTAATTTTAAATTTATAATAAATTAAACCATTTTCCCCACAATTGTATCTATGTATCTCTGTTATACTTTACATCAATTTGATGACTTAATTCTACATCAAGATTATATTCAACTGGGTCTGATTTGAATTATATGGATACCATTATTTATTCCTAAGCAGTCAATTATAGTGACAAAGAGTCTTGATTTTATGAAAGCCTGAAAACTCAGTGAGGTTTCTGCAATTAGAAAGCCTAAATGGGATCCCAAAACAGTAGTAGCTTTAAGATCATACTCTTTAGATCTCTTTTTTATAGCTAGCGTATCGAAAGCACTAAGAGAGCTTTTAAAATCAAACAGAGTTCTAGCAGAAAATAAACAGGAATAATATATTAAAAAAAAAAAGATAATAAGGCAGGAAAGAAAAAAGAAGATGCACTTGAAATTTAAAAACAGTTCTAGCAGAAAATAATCAGGAATAATATATTAAAAAAAAAAAAAAGATAATAAGGCAGGAAAGAAAAAAGAAGATGCACTTGAAATTTAAAAAATAAATCCTTGTCCTCACCACCCTGTCTTGACCAGGCAGGTAATTTTTCCTCTAATTTACTTTTAAGTACAGTGATGGCAAAAAATATTGCAGAGTCCCTGTAGAGTTTAGGAAGAAAAACATTAAGAAAAAATTATTTAGGTTGGAAAAGACCATCAAGATCATCAAGTTCAACCATAAACCTATCACTGTCAAGTCTACCACTAAACCATGTCCCCAGGTGCCTCATCCACACAACTTTCAAATAACTCCAGGGATTGTGCCTCAAACATCATCAGTCTGTTTGGATGTTTCATGTTTTGGTGAAGATATTTTTCCTAGTATCCAACCTAAAGGTCCCCTGGCACAACCTGAGGCCATTTGCCCTTGTTCTGTCACTTGTTACTTGGCAGAAGAGGCTAATCCCCACCTGGGCCCTACACCCTCCCTTCAGGCAGTTGTATGGAGAGAAATAAGGTCCCCCCAAGCCTCCTTTTCTCCAGCTCCCTCAACTCCTCCTCATAAGACTTTTGCTCCAGTCCCTTCACCACTTTTGTGGCCCTTCTGTGGACATGCTTCAGCCCCTCAACATCTTTCTTGTAGAGAGGGACCCAATACTTAATACAGGATTTAGAATGCAGCTCTACCAGTGCCAAGTACAGGGCAGTGACCACTTTCCTGGTTCTGCTTGGCACACCATTGCTGATAAATGCTGAAGGTACACAATATCCACAACCTTTTCCTCGTCCAGTCATAAGAGGAGATCAGTTTAGGCAAGCAGGACCTATCTTTCCTAAAACCTGACCCCAAAGAGCAGCAAAGAGCAAGCAGACAAATCTCCTTCACTTTAACTTAGCCGTATGTTTTTCAGGAAAAATAACTGCTAAAGCAACAACACAGATGCCACAATTCATATGACTAAACCACATTCCTATTCATGGACTGTGTGCATTCCAGAATCAGTGAAAATGAGGGATGGATATTAACTGGTAAAACAATAAATGACCAGTTTCTGGAAGCATATGAACAGAAGTGGAGCAACCAAGGACGAGGAGAGCTCAATCCTACGTGCTGCACAGACACTGCCAGTCTAATCAAGAGAGGGCCAGCCTGGAGCAAGGCAGATACAAATGACATATAAATTATCTTGGTAAATGGGTACTGCCCCCAGCAGCATATTAACAATATAGATTGTTAACCTATAATCTATAATCAGTTAATCTAATCACTTGTGCTGATCTCAGTGTTTTAAACAACTAACCAGGAAAGCATTCTCATTCTGAGTAATATGTCTCTTTTAGTCATCACTCAGATAAATATTCATTAAATATGATTGAATGGACAAGGGAAGTCATAGGAACTTAACTCTTATGATACTGGGATAAGAATTTATTTGATTTTGAGAAAATATTTTTTTTGTATTAGGATTCCAAGAGACCTTTTTCCCTGCATCTCCTTGATAAAGGACTTAAATAATAGACTATATGCTCTCTAATTCCATTCATTTGTGTCAGTTTTTGGCATTTGTTAGTGAAACCCTGGTCTTAAGAATTTGTAATGTAATTCTTTTACATTGAGGCCATTTCCAAATGGAAGATTCTGAGATCTATAGCTACCTCTGAAATACAATCTTTCCCTCCATGCTTGCCAACAGAAATTCCACACTGATGTGCAAGTATTCTCTTCAACAAAAGTCATTTGATGGCCAAGATCAGCAGGAGAAACTGTGCAAAGCACAACATCTGAAGTAAAAGCACAACATTAAGTGCACCAGAGCACTTGGAGTGTTGGAATCACTCTGAGAAAAGGAGTCTGTCTACACTAGGAGAGAATGAAAAACAGCTTAATAACAAATCAGCTGCATCATCAGAGAACCGGCCACCACCAGAAAGAAGAAAATAGCTACTAATGCCCCAAAGAATCCAGCTGGAAGCACCATAGTTTGGCTAGTTGGAATGTATAGGCAACTGGAGACAAAGGCAAGAACATATTGAAACTTTTAAAAGTTTAGATGTTACTTTCACTTATACCAGGAATCTCCTGCAGACTTTAAGTGTGCAGGGTCTCTTGTGATCAAACACAGTCCTATTTTTTGTTTTTATCCATACAGTGAAGATCCTTAAACTCTGCCCTACAAAACCAGAGGGCGAATACAAGCTGTAGTGTATTACAGCAAATTTGGCTTTGTTGCCAGAATTCCTTTTGCCTTACATTGAAACTGTTTATTTTCCACTATTTCAAAGATTTTAAGGGGCATGAAGGCAAGACCCAGCACTGCCTCCCAGAGTGCTAGATAAATGAAGTGTGCCTTATGAAAATATATTAGCACCATCTATTTGTGAGCACTACCTCATTTATTCAAATCATTCACAGCAGTGCTTGGATTTCCCCAAATCTGGTGTAATAGTACCACCAGGCAAGTTTTCAATGATAATCTAAAACTATGAAACCTTTATTTTCTGCTCTTTT